AAGTTCTTGAAGGGAAGTATTATGAAAGCGTTACTCCAGTGAACACAAGAATTATAAGAAAGCAAAACAGCCTGACTGCTGATATGGAGAAAGTTTTAGTGGTCTGGACAGAAGATAAACCAGCCACAACATTTCTTCAAGCCAAAGCCTAATCTAGAGCAAGGCCCTAACTCTCTTCAATTATATGAAGGCTGAGAGAGGTGAGGAAACTGCAGAAGAAAAGTTGAAGCTAGCAGAGGTTGGTTCATGAGGTTTAAGGAAAGAATTCATCTACGTAACACAAAAAGCACAAGGTGAAGCAGCAAGTGCTGATGGAGTAGCTGCAGCAGGTTATCCAGAAGATCTAGTTAAGATTAATGACGACAGTGGCTTCACTAAACTACAGATTTTCAACATAGATGAAACAGACTTCTATTGAAAGATGCTATCCAGGACTTTCATAGCTAGAGAGGTCAATGCCTGGCATTAAAGCTTCAAAGGACAGTTGGATTCTCTTTTTAGGGGCTAGTGAAGCTGGTGACTTCATTTTCTTTAGAGACATGGTCTTGCTATGTTGCCCAACCTGGACTCGAACTTCTGGGCTCAAGGGATCCTCTTGCCTCAGCCTCCCAAATAGCTGGGACAACAGGTGGGTGCTACCATGCCTGGTGCAGTTGGTGACTTTAAGTTGAAGCCAATGTTCCATTCCAAAAATCCTAGGGCCCTGGCCAGGTGAGGTGGCTCACGTGTGTAATTCCAGCACTTTGGGAGGCCATGGCGGGTGGATCACTTGAGCATAAGAGTTCAGGACTAGCTACGGCAACATGGTGAAACCCCATCTCTACAAAAAATTTTTAAAAAATTAGCCAGTTGTGGTGGCACATGCCTGTAGTCTCAGCTACTCAAGAGGCTGAGGTGTGAGGATCAACTAAGCCTGGGAGTTTGAGGCTGCAGTGAGCCAAGACCGTATCACTGCACTCCCGCCTGGGAGACAGAGCAAGACTCTATCTAATAAATAAATAAATAAATAAATAAATAAATAAATAAATAAAGTGCCAGGTGTGGTGGCTCATGCCTGTAATCCCAACACTTTGGGAGGCCGAGGTGGGTGGATCACCTGAGGTCTGGAGATTGTCACCAGGCTGGCCAACATGGTGATACCCCATCTCTACTAAAGCCCGTGTGGTGGCAGGTGCCTGTAATCCCAGCTACTCAGGAGGCCCAGACAGGAGAACTGCTTGAACCCAGGAGGTGGAGGTTGCAGTGAGCCGAGATTGCATTATTGCACTTCACCTGGGTGACAAAGCAAGACTCTAACTCAAAAGAAAAAGAAAAAGAAAAAAAGAAAAAAAAGAAAAAAATCCTAGGGTCCTTAAGAATTACACTAGAGCTATTCTCCCTATGCTGTATAAATGCAACAACAAAGCCCAGATGACAGCACATTTGTTTACAGCATGGTTTACTGAATATTTTAAGCCCACTGTTGAGAGCTATCACTCAAAAAAGTATTACGGCTCATTGACTGTGCACCTAGTCACTCAAGAGCTCTGACGAAGATATACAAGATTAATGTCATTTTCATGCCTGCTAACACAACCATCCATTCCACAGCCCCCATGGATCAAACAGTAATTTCAACTTCCAAGCCTTAGTATTTAAGAAATACATTTTGTAAGGCTATAGCTGCCACGGGGAGTGATTCTTCTGATGGATCTGGTCAAAGTATATTGAAAACTTATGGAAAGGATTCACTATTCTAGGTGCCATTAAAAACATCTGTGATTCACAAAACAAGGTCAAAATATCAATAGTAACAGGAGTTTGGAAAAAGTGGATTCCAGCCATCATGGATGACTTTGAGGGTTCAAGACTTCAGTGGAGGAAGTAATTGCAGATATGGTGCAAATAGCAAGGGGATTAGAAGTGCAGCATGAAGAGGTAACTGAATTGTTACAATCTCATGATAAAACTTGAACAAATGAGAAACTGCTTCTTATGGATGAGCAAAGAAAATGGTTTCTTGAGATGGAATCTATTCTCGGGGAATATTCTATGATTGTTTAAATGACAACAAAGGATTTAGATTATTCCATAAAAATAACTGATAAAGCAGCAGTAGGGTTTGAGAGGACTGACTTCAATTTTGAAAGAAGTTCTATTGTGGGTAAAATGCTATCAAACAGCATCAAATACTACAGATAAATCTTTCATGAAAGGAAGAGTCAATCAATGTGGCAAACTTCATCTTAAGGTATTACCACAGCTACCCCGACCTTCAGGAATCCCTATCCTAATCAGTCAGCAACCATCAACATCAGGCATGCAAAAAGATGGACTCACTGAATGCTTCAGATGATCATCAGGACTTTTTTTTTTAAGCAATTATGTATTTTTAAATTAAGGTATATATATATATATTTTATATATATATATATTTTAACCACATAATGTTATTGCATACATAATAGCCTACATTGTAAACAATTTTTATATGCACTGGAGAACAAATATATTCAAGTGACTTGCTTTGTTGCCGTATTTGCTTTATTCTGGTGGTCTGGAACTGAACTTGCAGTATCTCTGAGCTATGACTGTATATACATTACCTCATTTGTTCTAACCCCAGCACCACCACCAAGATAGGCACTACAATTATCTCTATTTTACAACCTGGAAACTGAGGTCAGATAAGCATAATAAAAAATAATAACTCTAGTAAAAGAAAAAGGCTACAATTGAACTCAGGTTTACTTGGCTCCAGAATCCAGGCCCTTAGCCACAGGGTATTGCTATATCTCAAAAAAATTTTTATTAACAAAATGAATTAGCACAGAAGAACTATATATATTCCAGTAGACTCAGTGGGATCTCATTTTAACAGTTCATTGGTATATGGATTTAGATATCTCACAAACTGTATCATGTCTCTTGCAATGCTTCTAGTTCATGTAATACCTAGGGATCATTATCTCTGTGGAAGATGGGTCATATCTTAGGTGTCTTTGATTCCTAATGTTCTTCAGAGCCTTGCATATAGCAGCTGCACAACAAACAGGAACGAGACTGTGAAGATCTGACATTACAGGGTTGGCCTCTAACGTGGCATGTGTTTTATGCCCCATAAAGCTCACTACAATTATAAGCTCATGAGAGATGAGCAAGAACCTTCAATACTCTCTTCAGGGCTGTAACTCTACTATCTACAAGAGTGTCTGAATACATAATAAACATAAGTATAACAAAGATTTGTAGAACAAATGAATACATGGCATTAAATCTTTTCTTTGTATTCATATAAACTATGCTACCAAATAAAGCCAGCAAAAATTCAAATACATATATATCTATATGTATATATATATATATATATATATATATGACCATACATTTTATTCTTTTGGCAACTTATTCCAGAAAGATTAACTTTACATGAAATGTTCAGTCTCCCACATTTGTATTCCAACACTGCATCTTCATAAGATCTCTAACTCAAACTACTTTAGACTTGAAGTATCACAGAAATGTCTAAATGTGTATTTCTTTACAGTGCTTCCGTAGGGTTCTTTACAGTGATAAATTTTCACCGAAAAACTACCATTACAATTCATTAGAGTCATCATTAGAAGTGACTAGGATATCAATTTCATTTGAATTTAAAACGAAATATTCTTAACCGACAAAAACAAACAGAACACCAAAAAACACGGTGCTTCCTTTAATAGATGACATTAAATTTTGTTTTCAGATGAGCGAAGAGGCCTCTAATTTGATTTTGCGTTAACTGTTTCATTTGGCAAGTGAATGTATCCTTTCACAGAACATTTGGCCAATAAAAAATAGACTTTTCGTAAGTATACTAGTTTTCTAACAATGTTATTGTTACACACCCATGTACACACACACAAATATTTCTGAATGAGCTTTACTAAACTCACCTTATGCTGAGAATCTTTGTGTCTATCCAAGGTAACTAGGGGAAGCTACTAGGTAGAGCTCTATCACATCAGTAGAGAAATCATGAGTTGAGTCCTGTATCAGAATTTAGCAACTTTAGCTTAATTAAGGCTGCAGACCTTCTGGCTAATACTTACTGCACTTTTAGCTGTATTGACAGATCTTTGGTTAAAAAGATGTAAGAATCAAATTGAACCTACCTGGGCTTAACATCTGAGGATTTCTTTTAATGTTATAATGTATTGAATTTTCTATTACAGTAGCATTTATCCTTTCTTAATATATTTACAAATTTAAGGGATGCAATGATGACAAACTGAAAGATCTAGAAATCAAACTCATCTCACTTAAGTTCCTGAATTAAAAAAACAGAATTAGGCCAGGTGCAGTGGCTCATGTCTATAAACCCAGCTACTTGGGAGGCTGAGGTGAGAGGATCACTTGAGCCTAGGAGTTTAAGGCTGCAGTAAGCTATGATTGCACCACTGCACTCCAGCTTGGGAAAGAGTGAGACCTTGTTTCAACAACAAATAACAACAACAAAAAGAGAGGGACAGGCCGGGGGTGGGGTGCTGGGGGCGGTAGGAAATGAATAAATTTTACACTTGAGATGAAAGAAAAAACCTGAACCTCCACGCAGTGGAATCATCGCCACCAGAGGAAGACATAATTTATTTCAAAATCTTATTCAAAAATTATTTTTATATAACACTGGAAGGTTCTAAGTGGGGTTCGTTACTCTATTTTGGACTCTATTGATCCAAAATATAGTGGTACACACTATTAAATGTTCAATATTTAGGCCTTTGAAAATAATGTGACAAAGTCTCTCCAAGAGATTCCTGCTAAACTAGTAAGGTATGATTATTGTATCCAAAAATCCATGGAAATCTTTTCCATGGAATCTGCTTTATTTGAGATGCTAAGAATTCTAATTTGCCTGAATAACACAATTTGGCTCTCTTCAGTGTTCTCATCCCATTCAGAAGTATCCTTCTGGAGAGGAAGAGCTATAAAATGAAGAGTGAAGTCCAATAGCCTTTGTCTCCTAGTTCTTGTCCACTTACTCAAATTTTCAGATGAAGCCAGGAAGTGTTCGGCACTACTCTGGTGATCTGCCTGCTACAGTAAGCCCTTCCTTCCAGATTAGTAGTCATTCTCCTCCTGAAGTAAAGGGAAAGACCACGTCGGCTGAAGGCAGTTATCTTCCAATTGCTATTAAGGCAGTGTTTGAAGCTAATTATAAACATCTGTAATTTCTGAAAGAAAAGAAATAAACAAGACACAAAAACAGCCTCCCTTCTGTAACAACTTCCATGACGGCAGTTATAGTATTTCTGTAAAGGATTCAAAGACAACATAGATAAATTCAAAAATACCTGAAATGTTTAAGAACACACTATACTACACCCACAGGACAACTCAGCTGTCAACATTCAGACACAATGAAGGACACAGGAATTATACACACACATACCCAGGCATACACATTTTAAAAGATTTATTTAAAGGGAAGAAACATTTTTTAAAAAGTATAGAGTCAAAAGGTAGAAATGTTTAACGAAAAAGAAAAAAGCTTCTACATCAGGTATACAAACAAAAAACCCAGAGCAATGGATCACGTCTGAAATCCCAACGCTTTGGGAGGCTGAAGTGGTAGGATCGCTTGAGCTCAGGAGTTCAAGGCCAGCCAGGGCCACATAGCAAGACTCTGTCTCTACAAAACATTTTTAAAAATTAGCCTGGCATCGTGGTACATGCCTGTAGTCCCAGCTACTTGGGAGGGTGAAGCAGGAGGACTACTTGGGTCCAGAGTTTGAGGATACAGTGAACTTATTCAAGCCACTGCACTCCAGCATGGGGAACAGAGTGAAACTCTGTCTCCAAAAAAAAAAAAAAAAAAAAAAAAAAAGAGTTCTGCTAGGTCTTTACATGCTCCATAAATAAAGACTAGGTTTCCAACTGGGGATATTTCTAGGAGCGGTATACTTTTTTTAATCTTTAGAAGTTAATGCTGCTGCTTATAAAAATATGTAGTAAAACATAAAATAGCAATGTATACTTTTGGGTCATAACCAGGTGAATAAAAAAATTTAAAAAGGAAATATACCATAAACGGTGGGGAGAAAGGATAATTTTTTTCTTTTCTATAGTTTCCTGCTTTTCTCTATGAGCATACTTTAATGAAGAAAATAATCTACTTAATGTAGAAAATAACTAATGTTGAAAAATTTCCTATCTTTATAAAATACTAAAGTCAACTGAGAATCAATGTCAGCAAATGGATTCACAGGAAGTTTTTAGCTTTTTCCATGGAAATGCAGGTCTGTAAAATTTTTAATTCATAGAAATGCCAAGTTTTATTGAATATACTCAGAAAACCTTTGTAGACATAATGTAGTTAACAGATTACTGATAAATGATAATTTATAGTAGAAAAATATAATATGCTCAATTAAGATAAATTGAATATACTTAGCTAAATCTCTGACTATCCTGGTTATGTTTTTAAAAAACAAAAATAATGCCTATAATATTTTCAGTGGTCACATATTTGAGGATCTCTAAGATCCAGAAGAATGGCATAATGCAATTCAGTAGAAATCTTTACAATTTCATTGCTTAAAACATGTGTAAGCAATGAAGAAGATTCATCAAAAGCCAGTTTTATAACATTGTTAAACGTGTGTTTTAAAATTGATATTTGGAGGTAGATTGTTGCTATATATTGGTTGCTATGGAATAACTGCTAAATACTACTACTTATGGAGAATGATAAATAATCTGCCATGTTAAAACAAACCAGACAATAAATCCCTATGAAAATCATAAATTATTCTAATTAGTTCTCTTAACACAGACCTATTTGAAATTGTTTTACTTTCCTTTGATGCAGGACTTTCTGTTTTGTATAATGCTGGCTGTACTGACTGTACTTTATGAATTCACAAATTCATTCACTAATATTAATGATTAACAGCATAAGCATTTTTAATTGAGCTCCCTTTATTCCAAAGGTGCTGGAATAAATAAAATTGACATTTTCACATATCCATCATAGTTATTATTTGAGCTAAATAATGTGTGTACACTTAATGTCACCTGATTTAGATCCATAAGTCTCTTTACTATTTTGCAAGGAAATCTTGGAAACAAAAAGCTGAAGTTTGAAGATGCAGTAGAAAATACTCAGTAACAGTTGGGATGGCTATTTCTGGTCCTTCTCCCACCACCATAAAAAAGCTGATTGCAAAATTTCATTACAAGACTTAAATCAGACAAACTAGTAGCTCCTATAGCAGTCATTTATCACCTTGAGACACAGAAACAACAGAGTATTTTTCATCTTGAATACTGATGTCTTCGTCGTAAGTATGCAATGGCTCCAGCTGTACATTTAAATAACCTGAACTTAAAATCAGCATCCAACACCGCATCGATGATATGTGTTTTGAATAGGTTCAAAAACTAAAATTTATAAAATATTGATTATTTTAAATAAATTATAATTTGACTTCCTTTTCTATAATACTGAAAACTGGCAATATTATTCTGAATTTACATTTGTTTTATCTATATCCAACGTGAGTACTAATTAATTTCATTTACAGGCTTAGATTATTTATCCATGGTTATGAGTGTCCACAATTACAGATTTTTTACAAATTTTTCTTCCTGCCAGTTTTCAATATGTTACTCAAGTGTCAGGCAGACACAAAGGAAAATAAGGAACCTCTAGGGTAATCACTCCCTTAGGGAAGAGAACCTTCCTTCCCATTTTCTATACATAAGCAATTATCGTGCAGAAATCTGGAACATAAATGAAGTTAAAGCATATGGAAAGGTGTGGCATTACATAATCAATTTTCAAACATAGCTTTCTCACTAGACTTTCCTATTAGATACCACCATTTTAAAAGTTCTAGCTAATTACACAGCCACTGATAAACAAAAGAAGAGTTCATCTTATTAAAATCCAAATATAATTTCATTTTCTACATATTTGATAAGAATTAAGTATATTTTTGTTTAGATCCTCTATCTCCATCAAGAGAACAATGGTGTAAAACAAAAGAGCAATTCTGTCTTGAATTTTTCTCTAGTAAAAGCAAAAAAAAAAAAAAAAAGTTTTTTTTCAAAACTGGACCACAATTAATACCTTCCCTCAAAGAGGCTTGAAAAGACAATTTCACGGTGGCAGAAAAACCAGGGCAATTACACTGTTAAAGAGCACATTTCATCTCTAAGGGCTAAAAACTGAAGAATGATGAAACTCTAATATCACATGAGCAATGTTTACCAGTTACTAGAATAATATCTAAAATATTTTTACTGTTGAAGATATCTTAAATAAACGTAATCCTACCTCCGATTTTCTTTTCATGAAAACGGTAAATCACTGCTAACCACAACTTTTTTTTCCGATAAATTCTTAAGGAATGAAAGGTTAAGATCATCTTTATGAATCCCATTCCATGAAATTGTCACAGGCCAAACACAGTAAATTTGGGAAATGTCTTGCAAACAAGTAGTTCCACAGTCTCTTTTACAAAGGCCTTGTGCCTAGCAAAGTTGGAATGTAAGAAGACAATGAAGAAACTTCCAGACTCTTCCTTCCTTAGGTATACACAAAATACAAAACTAGGCAGTATTCCTTCTAGATTTTAGAAGGAGCAGTAAGTTTTGTTTGATTCTGGCCCAGGGTGAGAGGGGAGTGGGTGCGCAACAAATACAAAGTCGGTATCCGATACTAGTAGTGACTATTTTAATGGTCACTATTTTTATTTACTTATTCTAAAAAGATAAAAATACTACAGCGATTAAAACAATAATTGAATTTTTGATGTTTACATAATAGTTTTCAAAAAGAACTTTTTGATGTTTACATATTAGTAAGTTTGTTTTCAAACAAATTTTACATACGTAACCTTGATTTCTATTTAATTTGAATGAATTCTGCATAGGAAGAAATTTCAAAACAGCTGATTTTTTTTGCAGTTTTTTTTGCAGTAATCTCAATATTTTCAAATTTAGTCACTTTCAAAAAACACAGCGAATGATTTATAGAAATAAAACTTGATAAACCTAAGTATTAGAGGAGACTAAGAAATCATGTGCTGAATCAGTTAAATTAAATTACCAGTTGCTTATACTGAGCTTCCGCTGTAGTAGGCCAGAGCGGAAGCTCAGTATAAGCAACACGATTAGCAGAAGTCTAGATAAATGTTCCTTTGTTGATCCAAAAGCACAGCAGTCATAGGGATTAAACATTCTAACTACCAATGATCATTTACATATAATTTTTTTAATGTACATCTGATATATTAGAGAAATAGGACAGTTTCATCTATGTTGAAATTTTTTAAAAAACCTTTATTACACAAAACATAAAATAGATTTACTAATGGATCTTTCAGAGATATATGTAACATTTTCCCTAATATTACACAGAAAAAATATATATAGTTTACGATAGAAGTTTCCAAATATTCTGAATTCATAATAGAAATACAGTAGATGCATATACAAATTAATAAGTGACTATAAGGACTATTAAAACCAACTTTGTTTATTGTTTCACAAAAAATACGTGAAACAAAACAATAAAGAGTAAAGCAAAGACATGAAAGAACGGCTTTTTTTTATTCTCAGACTATAAATTATTTTACTATCTAACCTTCCATGAGAGGCCATGACTGTTTTTTTATAATAGTAGTTCAATCTATATGATTTGGGGATAGAACAACAAATTCACACTGCTTTAGATTGCATATGTTTATTATTATTAAAAGAAATTTGACAAAAATATCTTTAAAATAATAAATATAAAACATTAAATGCTATTACTATTTTCTTCCTTTTTTTTTCACACAGTGGCATTACATTAAAACCCAGAAAATTTACAGAGACCATTAAAAAAAGGCATTTTGCTAACAAATAAGGTAATTTAAAATAAAACCAGTGAACATCAAAATTATATTTAAGTCTAACTTGAAATCTTAAAGACAAACTATGTAATACAAAGCTATAAGCAAATCTATAATATGTTGGATGCCCTACTTTGGATGTAAGATACATTTTTTTTCTGTGCTTAAAGAACACAATTATTTTGCTTTATGAAGATGTGTAGGAAAACATTTGAAAAGAAAACGTGTTTTACCTCCCTCTAAATGGACATATGGGCATTATGGTGTAAGTCATACAAAACATGGTAATGAAACATTCCAAGTAAAATAAAGAACATATGAATTTTAACGGTTTAGATCTGACTCATCATCATCACCATCATCATCATCACTACTGCTACTGTGAGTCATAATCCACTCCCTGCAGAACTGAATTTTCTGTAAGCATGGCAAAGGAAAGAAGAAGCACAAAGGTTAGTAAAGTATGGCAAACTGCTTGAAAACATGTAAGATTATGAAATGTTCAAAGAGTGAGAAGAATTTTAAAGCAGATTTTTTTAGCTATGACTCAGGCTGTAATTACGGATATAATATTCCATAACTTAATAGACCTAAGACAATTCCACTAGTTGGTACAAACTCAATGTATAAATTGGTTTGATGATATCAATAAGGTATTCTGTGACTATATTAAAATTACCATTCTATTTCTCTAATAGGCAACTTTGACCAGCAGGAAACACTGTAATAATGTACTACCTTCTAGATAGAAAGGTGCACAATAAAAGAATGTATTTTATATTTAATCATTATATGAGTGTATATAATTTAATGAATACACCTTTTTTGGAAAATAAGAAAATAACATGAGAAACATTTGAAAGTATCAAATATTTTAAGGCACCTTCATTATATCACTTACATAAAATCTAGGCAGATGAGATGGATTTTAAATCCAGTTTATGTGTCAGCTAATTATTTTCCATAGTACTGGTATTTACATATTTTTAAAGTGTTTGCTAATAATATACTAGAGCTTTGATTTAAAAAAAAAAAAAAAAAAACCCACTACCACCAAAACAACAATCCACTTTTTATACCTGTAAGAAAAAAATGCTAACTGCAACATCCCAAGGTACTTGGTGAATCCAAATATTTCAGCTAATACTGTGTAAATGCTTGCTGAAAAACAAGTAATGGCTAACAAGCGCTGTGGTTTTTAGTCATTTAAATAGCTCTTTTAGCGATTAATGAAGAGACTGACCTATTAAAAATAAATATGTATCTTTAAAAGTACATAGTCAAAAGTCATGTTTTTACATCTCAAAGTTTAAACCTTCAGAAAACAATGGGAAGGTATGTACTTGTCACTGAAATCAAATTATCAGCCATGAGAAATTATTGGTATCTCATGGCTTCCTTGTGGGTTATTATAACGTGCTCACTTATAATGAGGATATATTCCTAAACTCTCCTCAATACTCATCCTTACTTCATACTACATCTGATTTTTAGTCTAGTAAAATGTTAGTAAGTTGTTAACTGTGTTCTAACAAGGGAAGGCAGGTATTGGGTAGAAATACACGTGTTGACTGTATTAGTCAGAAGTGACTTCTGCAAATTGACTACCTTCCAAAGAACGATACACTGTCATTGTGGAGACTGTACAATCTGTCCATTAGAGCACAACCTCTTAATAGATTACCAGTTCTATCCCAATACATAATTATTTTGATGCTTTAAAACATTTTAAATACAGTATAAAATCACTTTACTAAATATTGCATATTAACTCTACGGTTACATTTTAACATATTAGATAGAAGCCTCAGAGAAAGAGTTAGAAGTATATTTCATGCAATACTATATGTCCTACAATAGGTAAAATACTGAAGTTTAAATCTTTACTCTGATCACATTAAATATCACAGTATTTAAAATATTAAAACTATAAAGGAAACTTCGTATTCCAATAGTTTATTGCTACCATGAGTATCCGCAACCCTACATAACATAATGATTCCTTGTTTTTTTTTCAAACAAATGATTTAATTTAGTATTCCACCTCTAAACCACAGAAACAACATGACACTGGTATAGCCTATATATGATTACTAGTTATCTACAGCATAATCCAGGTTTTAAAAAGTCAAATTTACCAAGTAAGAAAGTTGTCTAAACAGATTCTACCTTCAAAATATTTATTGTTCCAGAAGCTACTTTTTATTATTAAAAGATACTGGTTTGCATGTGAACTGCTTATTAAATCCCACAAGTTTTATACAGACTACACTAGAATAAAGCAGGAAGAGGGTCATGGCCATTTAAGCATTTTCAAAGGCAAAGCACAAGAATCCAAGAGTAATTCACAATAGCAGTGTTCCTGAGTTTTGTTTTTCCTTCTGCTTGTGTAATTGATATAAGGATTATATATCTAGTATAAAAGCTACCAGTGGTTTAATAACCCCACAACAGAAATGGTTTCATTGGTTAAGTAAGTACCACCAATGATGAGGATATATAAGGTACAAAGGCTTTCGACAAATCTAGCAAATCCAGTGCAGAACTAAGAATACCCTACAAAAAAACCAGATTCATTAAAATTCCTATTAAAAGTTACCAATACAAAACGTTTTTCTTTGTATTCAAAATACTGAAACAGCTGTACGTAGTTTGTAAATTTTAAGACTAAAATCTACTGTTGGCTTTCACTTGCAAAGTCATGCATTAACTTTTCATATCAAACTTTTTGATGCCTGTAAAAAAGAAAAAAAAATCTTATAGTAAATAAATGTACTTTAAAATCTAAGTAAATATAAGAAACTTATAAGTGGAATTAAGCAAAATAGATAAAAGCCCAAATAATTTAATATATATTAAATGGCTACTTAAAAAAAATCTAACTTGACTAAATTAATCTTAATTTATAAGACAGTTCTTAATTTACCTGTAACATCTGATTTCCAGTACCATCCCTCAACCTGTACGGTCTGATAACTCCATCTTCATTGAAGAACCGAGGAGGTCGCAGACTCTCCACTTCAGAAGTCTCTGTAGCTCTAGGGGGAAAAAAAAAATGACTTGATTTTAAAAATTATTCAAAAACTTATAAATAAACTTTAAATGCAATTACTAAAAACAATCTTATTTCAGATTAAATAAAAATATTACAACATTTTCTAATTTTAAATTGTTTTTGTAACATAAATAGTATAAGTTCTCTAGAAAAATACAGAACTATAGAGAAGTTTAAGTCTCTTGAACTTTCTTTGTGATAATAATCACAGTATTAGCAATTGTTGCTTTTTCTTTTCCTATTATGTTGTCTAGTTTCTTTAGTTCAATGCTAGAAACAAAAAGGGATTGCAAGCATCCTTGTCTCATTCCTGACTATAGGGAAAGCTTCTAAGAGTTTTCTGTCAAGTATAGTTATCAGCAACTTTTTTTTTAAAGCACCCCTTATCGAGTCAAGAAAGTTCATTGCTACTTTTAGTTTACCAACAGTTCTTTTTTGTTATTTGTTTTTGGAAATCTTAAATAGGCAATGAATTTTAAATAAGAATTTCTTTTCTGGCATTGTTTTGATCCCATGGTATATTTTCCTTAATCTATTACTGTTATAAATCACATTATATAGTTTTCTAATATTCAAATACTCTCACAGTTCTCACATTCCTACTGGGCTTGATGTGTATTACTGTAAACGCATACCCCAATCCTGGGCAACATACCCCGCTCTACAAAAAATAAAAAACTAGTCAGACATGGTGGTGTGCACTAGAAGTGCCAGACACTCAGGAGGCTGAGGTGGGAGGATAGTTTGAGACCCAAGCTACTGCACTCCAATCAGGATGCCAGAGTGAGACCCTGCCTAAAAACAAAAAAACAAAAAAACAAAAAACACATACTATATACTGCTTATGGTAGTATTAGATTTAACATTTTTGCTTATTTGGTCATAAGTGACCACTCAATTTGTTCACTCAACAAGTATCACATATTCAACAAATATTTATTAAGAGGTCCCCAACCCCTGGGACTTGAACCAGTACTAGTCCGTGGCCTGTTAGGAACTGAGTAGCGCAGCAGAAGGTGAGTAGTGGCGAGCAAGCTTCACTGCCTGAGCTCCATCTCCTGTCAGATCAGCAGCAGCATCAAATACTCATAAGAAGGTGAACCCTCTTGTCAACTGCCCATGTGAGGGATATAGGTACACACTCCTTATGAGAATCTAACTAAAGCCTGATGATCTGAGGTGGAATAGTTCCATCCTGAAACTATCCCTCCTCTCTGGTCTGTGGAAAAATTGTCTTCCACGAAACCACACCTTGATGCCCAAAAGGCTGGGGACCGTTAACATAATGTATACACATGCATGAGCATATACATATGAATAAAGTCTCCACCTGAAAACAGAATAGGGCCAGGCGTGGTGGCTCATGTCTGTCATCCCAGCACTTTGGGAGGCCGAGGTGGGTGGATCATGAGGTCAGGAGTTCGAGACCAGCCTGGCCAATATGGTGAAACCCCGTATCTACTAAAAATACAAAAATTAGCGGGGCGTGGCGGCATGTGCCTGTAATCTCAGCTACTTGGGAGGCTGAGGCAGAAGAATCACTTGAACCTGGGAGGCGGAGGATGCAGTGAGCCAAGATCACACCACTGCACTCCAGCCTGGGCGACAGAGCAAGACTCCATCTCAAAAAATAAATAAGTAAAAAAATAAAAACAGAATAGATTTAAAAATATGACCTAACAATACACTATCCACAGGAGACTTGGTTTAGAGTCAGACACAAACTGGTTGCAACTAAAAAGGAAAAAACATATGCAAAGTGAACAGTAACTAAAAGAAAGCTGGAGTGGCTCTGCTAATGTCAGAAAAAAACAGCCTTTAAAAAAATTATTGTTAGACACAAAGAAGGGCATTTTATAATGAAAAAGGGTCAATCCATCAAAAAGATAAAAAATTATAAACATATAAGCAGTTAACAAAAGAGGCCCCAAATACATGAAACAAAAACTAAGAATTTAAAAGACAAAAAGGCAATACCACCATAATAGTTGAAGATTTCAGCACCCTATTTTCAAACATGGATACCAACTAGATAAAAGATCAGCAAGGAAAAAAGAGAACTTGAACACTATAATCCACTAGACCTAACAGACGTCTATAGAACGTTCAAACCAATAACAGCAGAATATATATTCTTCTCAAGTGGAATGGAACATTATTCAGTATTAGCTACAGATTAGGTCATAAAACATGTCTCAATAACACAAAACTAGCACTTGCTTCTTGGCCTTTTGGCTAACATTGAATGTAAATATAAAACTACTGAAAACAGGCCAGGCATAGCGGCTCACGCCTGTAATCCCAGCACTCTGGGAGGCCCAGGTGGACAGATCACTTGAGGTCAGGAGTTCAAAACCAGCCTGGCTAACATGGTGAAACCTCATCTCTACTAAAAATTCAAAAATGGCCGGGCGCGGTGGCTCACGCCTGTAATCCCAACATTTTGGGAGGCTGAGGCGGGTGGATCACCTGAGGTCAGGAGTTCGAGACCAGTCTGACCAACATGGAGAAACCCCGTCTCTATTAAAAATATAAAATTAGCCAGGTGTGGTGGCACATGCCTGAAATCCCAGCTACTAGGGAGGCTAAGGCAGGAGAATTGCTTGAACCTGGGAGGCAGAAGTTGCGGTGAGCTGAGATCGCACCATTGCACTCCAGCCTGGGCAACAAGAGTGAAACTCTGTCTCAAAAAAAAAAAACCAAAAAAACTAGCTGGGTATGGTGTGTGCCTTTTGCTACTCAGGAGGCTCAGGCAGGAGAATCCCTTGAACCTGGGAGGCGGAAGTTGTACTGAGCCAAAATCACGCCACTGCACTCCAGCCTGGGCAACAGAGTGAGACTCCATCTCAAAAAAAAAAGGAAAAAAAAAAGTACTGAAAATATACAAGTATGATATCTGACCACACATAAGAAAACCAGAAATGCGTAAATAAGAGAAATTTATGAAGTCCAAAAATGTGATGAAATTAAAACATAGAAGCATAAATAACAAAATGTCAAAGAAAAAAATCACAAGAGAAATTCACTACTTTGAAACAAATAAAAGCAAAAATACAATATACCAAACTTATAAGATGCAGCAAAGACAGTGTTCAGAGGGAAATTTATAAATGTGAATGTCTACATTAAAAAAGAAGGTCTGAAATCAATAATATAACTTCTTCACAAGTTGAGAAAGTAGAAACAGCAAACTAAACCTAAAGCTAGCAGAAGGAAGAAAATAATAAAAATTAGAGCAGAGATAAAAGAAACAGAGAATAGAAAAAATATAATCAATGAAACTAAAAACTGGTTCTTTGAAAAGGACAACAAAAATGACAAGCCATCAACTAAACTGATAAAGAAAAAAAAAGAAGACCCAAATTATTAATAATAGGAATTAAAGAGGGAATACTACTACCAATCTTACAGAAACAAAAAATAATTACAAGGGAATACTAGGAATAAATACTACATAAGGGAAAAATAATTATATGAGAATACTAGTAAATATTTACTATGATCAATAAATATATATCAACAAATTAGATCATCTAGATGAACTGAACAAATTCTATAAAAACTACTGACAATGACTCAAGAAACAGCCTAACTAGGCCTTTACCAAGTAAAGAGAGTGAATCTGTAATTTTAAAACTCACCAGAAATAAAAATAAGAGTCAGATGGTTTCACTGATCAATTCTCCTAATTTTTTTTTTAATTAACATCAATGCTCCACAAAGTCTTCCAAAAATTTGAAGAGGAGGGAACACTTCCTGAATCATTTTGTGAGGACAATATTACCCTGATACCCCAATCAGGCAAAGACATCACAAGAAAACCACAGACCAATATCCCTTATAAATATGCACACAAAAATCTTCGACAAAATATTATCAAACCAAGTCCAGTAAAATACAAAAATGATTAGACATTATGTCCAAATGGGACTTACCCCAGGTGTGCAATATTGGTTTAAGATCAGACTCAACTAATGTATTATACTGCATTAATAAAACAAAGGAAAACACAATTATCAACTTAATGATACAGAAAAAGCATTTGATAAAATCTAACATCTTTCCATGATAAAGACACAAAAACCTATAGCTAACATCCACTTAATGGCAAATATCTGAAAGCCTTCCCCCTAAGATTAGAGGCAATATAGGCATGTCTATTCTCTCAGCATTTTAGCCAGGACAACTAGGCAAGAAAAAAAGCATCCAGATCAGAAAGGAAGAAGTAAAGTTACCTTAGTTCTCAGATGATACACTCTTTCATATAGAAACCCCAAAAGAACCCACAAAACCATTAGAGCTAATAAACAAGTTTAGTAAGATTGCAGAAACTCAGATAAATATTAAAAAAAAAAAAGTTGGATTCAACACACCAGCAATAAACAATCCAAATATAAAATTAAGAAAACAATTCCATTTAAAACAGCATCAAAAATAAAATACTTAGGAATAAGTTTTTAAAAAGAAGTATAAGACTTGCATATTACAAACTGTAAAACATTATTGAAAGCAATTCAAGAAGACCTAAATAAATGGAAAGATGCTGCATTTTCATGGATTAAAAGATAATACTGTTAAGATAGCTACACTCCCCAAATGGAACTACAGATTCAATGCCATCTGCATCAAAAACCCAGCTACCTTTTTTGTAGAAATTGACAACATTTTTTAGGTAACTTAATGACCATTTCTTTTTAGTCTCCTTTTCTGAGTCTTCCTCATTTCCCCAACTTCTAAGAGATGGTGTGCCTAAAAGCCAAGTTCTTGGACCTTATTTTTCTCTTTTCAGTCTCATTCCCTTGGTGATCCAATCTCATGGTTTCAAACACCTTATTATAGGCTCACAAATCTTGAATTTTCACCTCTAGCTTGGATCTTTCTCTTATACTTCAAACTCCTCTACTCAACAATGACGTGATGTCTCCATTTGGATGTCTAAGAGATATTGTAAGCTTAATATATTAAAAAGGAAATGTCTAATACCCTCTCTTTCCCTAAAAAGAATGACAACCTCACCCTTCCAGTGCTACACATAAAAACTTCAGAATTATTCTTCACGATTCTCTTTCCTTCATATCCTGCATCCAATTTATCAACCAATCCTATTAACACTACCTTTAAAATACATGCAGAACATAACCTCTAGTACTGTAATAGTCGAATCACCATTATCACTTGACTCACCATTATCACTCAGGTGGATTACTGCAAAAGCCTTTTAAGTGTTGTTTCCACCCTAGTCCCCTGTGGTTAGGCCTCAAGGCAGCAGCCAGCTCACATTTCTCTGGCTCAAAACCTTTCAATGGCCTCTCATCTTAAGCACAAGCCTAAGTCCTTACAGAGGCTTGCCAAGTTCTACGTGATGTGATCCCCTGCATGTTCCCTGGTAACGTCTTTGTCAACTTTCCCCGTTCCTCACTCTACTCCAGGCACACTAGTTTTGCTGTTTCTCAAATAGGCCAAGCACGTTCCTGCATCAGGGCTTTTTAACTGCTGTTACTTCTGCCTGGGACATTCTTCTCACATGGCTCACCCTTTACTTCTTTCAGGTCACTCCTCAAATATAATCTTACGAGTTAAGCATCCCTGATCACTGAACATGTAAAACAGCAACCCTCCTCCCTACCATTTTTCATCTCCCTACTTCCTTTAATCTGCTTTATTTTTCACCATTTAGCATATCATATATTTATCAGTTGCTTATTTTTGTCTACTCCTCTCCCACTAGAATGTAAGCTGTACGAACACAGGACCATTGCCAATTGTGTTCATTGCTGGCCCCTCAAATGATCAGAAGTGTCTAGATCATAGACAACGCTCCCTAAAATGTGCTGAATCATTATTTACTTTTGTATTAGGTAGCTTGCTAACTGTATTCAGATAAAATTTACTTACTTTCATTTTGTCTTCCTGATCTATCAATTATTGAGAAAAATATTAAGTTCTTCCACGATTATTGTACATTTGAAAAGTTCTTACAGTTTTGTCAAGTTGTGCTTTTAAAAATTAAGGCAATTTTATGAACTGAGTAGAAGTTTGAAATTGTTACTATCTTCCTACTTAGTAGTTCTTTTTATCATTACCTAATTACATTATTTATCTCAAATAGTGCTTTTATTGCCTTAATGTCTATTTCATCTAATATTAGTAAGTACATCCTCTTTACAAATGACAATATTTAATGCCAATCATTCTCTCCCCAAACTGCATTTTATTATTTTTTAATAATTTGTTTCCAATGTTGCTTTCATGTAGCTCAATTAGATTTTCCAATTTATATTTTTACATTTCAATATTGTAACCCATTCCTCCTTTTATTTTCAGTGTCTTTTTTCACAAGTACATCCTTTAATAGTTCTTAGTCTTTATTATTTTTTCTAAAAATGTGTCATTATGCCCTCAATCCCTAAAGGTAATACAGCTGGGTATAGAATTATAAGGTTTTAGATAAATGGAAGGTAATTCTAGTAGCTTTTGGCGGAAGCCTTTACATGTTTCAAATTCCTTATGTTTCATTGACTTTTGAGCTTCTCTGACGACTACGACTCAACACATTATATTTATGAAACTAAAGTTACAGGTACAGGAGAATGATTCCTTTTTTCCCCATCTTAATTCTAAATGCCAAAACCAGAAACACCCAATTATGGTAACCAGTATGAAATACTGGCTTAAGAGGAATAGCTCATATGATGACAATACATATCCCTATAGAGCAGAAAGCAAGAGAAAACACAAAGGAAAAAGATTAGGAAGATAGCCACCCACCTAACTTTCTGAGATAGGTCTCATTAACATTAATTTTATCATCCGTTATATGTGTTACAAATTTCTAGGACAGAGGTAACAATAATGAAACTACTAAATTTCAGCCTTACACTAAATTTAATTTGGAGGAAAAAAGAATATGTATTAAAATTACCTGCATAAAGGAAGAGAAAGGGAATGCATATACACTAGTACCCACTTATCCACAGTTCTGCTTTCTGCAGTGTCAGTTATCCATGGTCAACTGTGGTCCAAAAATATTAAATGGAAAATTCCAGAAATAAACAATCCCTAAGTTTTAAATTGCATGCCATTCTGAGTAGTGTGATGAAATTTCTTGCCACCCTGCTCTGTCCTTCCTGGGATATGAATCATCCCTCTGTCCAGCATATGCATGCTTTATACACGACCAGTTCATTAGTGACACAGTAGCCATCTCAGTTAGTTATCAGAATGACTGTTGCAGTATCACAGTGCTTGTGTTCAAGTAATGTTTATTTTATTTTATTACAGTGTATTATTATAATTGTCTGATTTTATTATTATTGTTAATCTCTTACTGAGCCTAATTTTAAATTAAATTTCATCATGATGTGTATGTATAGGAGAAAGCACAGTATATATAGGGCTCGGTACTATCCAAGGTTTCAGGCATCCACTGCAGATCCCTGCAGATCAAGAGGGACTACTATAACAACTTATAACAAAATAAGATAATAAAGGAAGGATGAAGACAAACTTAGTTTGAACCAAGAAATACAAAATGCCATTCTTCATTTCATAAAAAGGATATAGATTATATTTGCTAATTTTATAATTGATATGTATAGCATTAATGTATTTAAACTAAGATAACTGAGTCTGCTTAACTTGCCAAACTGCTCCTGTAAGCCTGCTAGGAATGAATGAAAAATAAAGGGGAACTCCATAAGGTTGAAACAATGCAATGGCAGCAACTTAAAAAATATCAAAAAGAATTAGGAAGACCATATGCAACCTGCCATATTGTAGTGCTGATGACTGCTATGGATTGAATGTGTCTCCCCAAGGATTAAGTTGGAAACTTAATCCCCAGTCAGGAGGTGGGGCCTAATTAGAAGAAATTAGGCCATGAGGATCTGCCCCCATGAATGGATTAATACTGTTGCTGTGGGAGTGGGTTCCTTATAAAAGGGTGACTTTGGTTCCCTTTTTTTTTCTTGCCCTCTCTTTGTCCTTCTGCCATGGGATGACACAGTAAAAGGCCATGGCCAGATGCGGCCTCTCAACCTTGGACTTTTAACTTCCAGAACCGTCAGCCAATAAATTTCTGTTCATTATAAATTACCCAGTCTGCGATATTATGTGGTATGTTATAGCAGCACAAAACAAAGACAATAACTAAATGCCTGAAGCAAAAGAGCAGATAAGTTTCATTTCTCATGGCTTAAGCATTTTAATGTATATCTTACACCAAAGAGGATTTACCTTTTTATTCCCTGAAATGTACTGCTAGCCATGTCTATGATGCCTCCAGTTGGCCTTGCTACCGCTCCCACTAAACCTTTCCCAACACCTTTAAAGAAACCAGCTGCTCCTTCTTTTTGAGCTCCTGGAAAGAAAAAAAGAGTTTCTGACAATCGCATCCAAGAATGAAAACAGAATAAACTTAGAAAGACTTGGTAATATACATCACGCAAAGGAACTACTATACTTACCTTTGATTGGTTTTGTAACAATTCCTGTTATGCCACTAACAAATCCCTAGAAGGAAAACATAATTGAAAATTTATAATACTTTTTTATGATGCCTAGAAGAACCAAGTTTGGCTTACACAAAAAATAGAGTTCTGCTTTTTATATATCAAAAGAATTAACAGGTCTCCTAAGTATTTTATTTAAACAGAATGTTTTTGGAGGCTACTGACATGTTTTATATGCTACCACCCACTGCTCTTAAAATATCCAAATAATAATTTAAGGAGTGAGAATCATGTCTATTTCCTTATTCACAAAATGTAGGTTTAAAAGGTATTTCCCCAACTCTTCACAACCCTGTGAAATTTCTTACAGAAACTAAGCCTTTTCCTCCACGAGTGATGCCTTCTCTAAAACCAGCTGGTTGCTTATTCATGGCTTCTCTTCTCTTCTGTTGGTAGTCTTCATCCATGGTCATAGCTGCTACCCCTTTAGCCATAGCACCAGTGATTTTGGAGGCAGCACCCGCTAATCCACCTAACAGAAATTATTTTATCTTTAGTAAAAGTAATGATGCCATTACTTTCTAGCACAAAAATATTTGGTAGATATTCTGTTTCTTACCAACAGCTCCACCAACTAGTGCCTTAAGTCCTAGTGCCATTCCCTCCACAAACTCTTCAGGACCCTGGATGGCTCCCTAAAGGGCCAAATAATAAATAAATGAGTGAGTGAGTTATATACACTTTTAAAGATGAGCTTACAGATATATACGAGGAAAGAGGTAGTAACAAAAATGGATAATTTTGTCCCAGAGGAAGTGATATCAGCAAAAAGTTTCACATTAAAAGGATTCCTAGGGATATATCTGGATACTGAAAGTGTGAAGGATATAATGTTAGAAGCTGACCCTTAGAAAGGAGTATGACAACTCAACAAAGTACAGAAAGATGCTTGATCCATATTGCAAGTTTATAAGGAAAATGCAAGCACAGTTCAAACTACTCTTGATAAAAATTTCAAATAAATAAAGCACTTTAAAATTCTTAATGCTTTTAATGTTTTTAATTACAGTATACAAAATCATTATTAATTTTACTTTATCTTTTATTCTCCTATACATTTAAAAGTGAAAGTAGGAGGCTTTTTGAGAGAAAGTTTTAAGGGACATAGAACAATCATACTTTTTCCCATTGATTTTTAAGATTGCTTGGCCTGGTGTCAGTCTGCATGATTATTTTTACAGTTCCACACTACTGTGCAAAGCAAGACATGGTGTTCTTCTTTCTACTTTATCCACCTTTTATATTCCAAGAGAACACTTACAATTCAGCATAGCTTAACAAAACCTTAAGTTTAAATTTTGAGGAAAAAGGTAAAAATGTCCCCCAAAACCTCTTACCATTGTTTGCTGCAAAATATTGTCCTTTTGTATGTGTGTTCCAAAATGTTTGCACTTATTAACTCTACAATAGAAATGTATTATCTATTCAAAAGTATCAGTGACATATTGCACAACCACAAAAATAACTATTTTACCTGGTAAGGTTCATAAAAGAATGCTTCTACACCTTCAGAAAATTCTCTAATTAAGCCAAATGGATTTCCCAAAACATCAAGTCCAAGAATGAGTACATACATCTGCTTAATGGCCTAAAAATAAAACATGAATCAATTCAGATGATTAGATCTATTTTTTTTCTTATAGGTTATTTAAAACACACACCCAGTTTTCTCAGGCTGACACCTTTAATGCCAACATCAACTCCTAAATCATGTCATTTTATTAATCACTACTCTTTTTTTTTCCCTTTTTGAGACAGTCTTGCTCTTTTGCCCAGGGCTGGAGCGCAGCGGCGCCATCTCAGCTCACTGCAATCTCTGTCTCACGGGTTCAAGCAATTCTTGTGCCTCCCCCTCTCAAGCTGGGACTACAGGCATACAACACCAGGCCTGGCTAATTTTTGTGATTTTAGTAGAGATGGGGTTTCATCATGTTGGCCAGGGTGGTCTCGATCTCCTGGCCTCAAGTGATCCGCCAGCCTCAGCCTCCCAAAGTGTTGGGATTACAGGCGTGAGTCACCATGCCAGGCCTATTGATTGCTATTCTTAGGTTTTAAAAAGTAATTTGGTATTATAGTATTAAAAATAATATGACATTATACTCACGTAAAGCTCTAGAATATTTAAAATACTTTCACTTTTATAATTATCTGTGATCATTGTCATTACTACCACCATTTTATAGATTGGAGAAACATACAAGTCAGATGATACCCAGGGGTCACATAGTGGGTATATGGCAAAAGTGGGATAAATCCAAATCTCCTGAGTCATGCTCAGTGATCTGTCATACCACAGCTCTATCAGATACTCCGTAAGTTATATCCTAAAACACAGGAGTCTCTCTAGAAGTGGAAAAACATCTGTTAAAAAAATATATCTGGCTGACTTAACTAGTTACGCTACAAATATCCCATGTTCATCAGTTAGTTACTAATAGTTTCCTTGAACCCATTTTTTACTTAAGTGTGATAAATTAGTTAATATTTTATTTAAAGATTTATTTATTTCCAGTCCATGCTGATTCAGAAAAAATTTCTGTCAGTGGCTAAAAAACATAAGGACAAAAAATTCAAATAGTGGTTGAGTTCAATTTCATTTTACAATTCTGAGGAAAATACCCATGCTTTAATAATTTGAAAATGGCTATTTAGTTCCTCGACAATTCTACATTATATATGTATAGACACAAAAGGTTTTACTAGTCTGTGTCACTCTGTCGCTTCTGTAAAACAATCTTAGACAAACCTGTTTTGAATAGTGTCTTATGACCTCAGACTGTAGGTCGGATGTTGTATGGAACTGATAGTTGAGTTCAAAAAATGCAAGCCTGAAAAAAGCATAAATATATATTGTCTGTACATATGTATGGAGAAAGTATTTTTAATATTAATGAGTGGCTTTATTTTCTTTAGAATCCTTCTAGTACATTTTCCCATGCCAATCAGGAAATCTACTTTTTATATACATCTCTGCATATTCTAACCAAAGAACCCTCTAAGAATCTAATAAAAGGCATGGATCTTATCTTCAGAAAAGTCACCAGTACACATAAATTTTCATGTAATTTAGAAAATTCTGAGATCCTGTGAATCTCACTTATGTACTAGAATGGGATTTCACTAGAACTTTATTTCACCATTCTGTCCTATCATGGCCCACACAGAAAATGTCTGACACACTGATAAAGAGGTTGCTCAAGAATGGCCAGGTTCAGTTACAGCAGGTTTTGCCTGCTTACTTATAACCCCATTCACAGAATATATATTCTAAGATTAGCTTACTTATAACCCATCCATAGTATATACCTGATACAGTAACTGAAAAGCTCTGTGCTTCTTGTTGCTAAGTGAAATCCTATTTCTGCTAATGTCATACCTGTGTACTTTTATTTGACACTAACCTAACTTTATCTAGGTTCAGTGTTACCTTGTGTTGGACTTATTAATTCTTACAACTGTTCTTAATAATCAATTCTAGATGCTACTAGAAAGGGTTATTCTCTTCTAAAGTCTCAACTCAGACACTCTGAATCTCTTTGGTCAGACACTCTATGAGCTTCATTATGACTCACATTAAAATATAAATTCCTGGTTACAACATTTAAAATTGATCCTTTCATTTCCTCTATTATTGCATTCATTCTGTTCTAGTTGCATATGCTTTGAAGAGGCTTATTCCTATTAGCTTCAAAGCCATACATTTCAGACACCGTATCATCGGGCATACACATCCTATCCTTCCCTAATTTTAAAATGTACAACTTGCATGGCCTATGTCTCTTTTTCTTAAGGAAATTATTTAATAATTCTGTAATTTAGTAATTAGGGGTTAGCAATCATACGTTCTGTGTTATTCAGATTGTACTTCACTTAAATGCAAAAACCTCATTTTGCCTATGATCTGTAATGTACTTTACACACTTTTTCATTTACAAAATTTTTAGGCACATATAAAATACAAATATTTTCATCAATTTACAGATTTGAATATTAAACATACTTAAAAACTACATCTTGTACATCTGTCAGTGTGGCACCAATACTCTTCAGCAAAAGATTTAAAGAATGAACTGGAGTCAGTCCTCCATTTTGTTTTGAATCTTTAGCTTCTTCTCCGCCCGAACTCAGTGAAACACTTAAATGTAACTAAAAAGATAAAGAAATACATATTTAAAAGTATTTTCTTCATATTGACAATTTTCACTCTTAAAAAACAGTTTAATTTTAAATTTACTACACCATAAATAAGATTTCAAAGTTATCTGGATTATGTTAAAATTACTAAGTAGAAATACGAAGAAATTTAAAATCTAACATAGCTCTATTTAAATCTTCAATTCAACAATTTAAGATTGCATAATATTTAATCCTATCCCATTCTTTTGGCAAACCTAAGAAAATACTAATTTTTATATATTTGTTAATAACATTAAAAATCTAAAAGTTGAAGCTGTTGAAAATGATGCAAATACATATGGTCCCAACTTATGATGGGGATCATATGTATATGAATTATGTCTGACTTATGATTTTTCAAGTTTACAATGCTGTAAAAGCAATACACCTTCGGTGGAAACTGTACTTTGAATTTTGATTCAAAATTCTTTATAATAACTTTATTAGAAAATAGGCTTTGTGTTAGATGACTCTGCCCAGTTGTTTTGAGCATGTGTAAGATAGGCTAGGCTAAGCTTTAATGTTCAGTAGGTTAGGTGTATTAAATGCATTTCTGACTTAAAAGATTTTCAACTTATGATGGTTTTACTGAGACGTAACTCTGTCATAAGTTGAAAGGCATATGTATTTCCAAAAGTGTATGTTTCAATTATTTCAGAAGTTAATAGCCAGTTAAAAAACACTTTTGTATTGTATTGCACATACATATATTAACCGTATATGTCGAGTATATGCAATACAATAGTATACTCTATACATATACGGTTAATAATTTTCTTCCATTATTGTATAATTAGCTTATAGGAATTTTGCATTAAAAACTAACAGATTTGATACCATTCCATCTTCAGTTCTTAAGGTTGCTTTATAAATTACTTTAAAACTAATACACAAATCATCATATGCAAAATTTTGAAAACTGTCACCTAACAGCTTAACAGAAAATCAAGGTAAAATAATGTTAGGTCAAATTATAAACATAAATACCTGCTGTAGGTGACTCCACATGCTAAAAAATTATTTTAAAATAAATAAAAATGTAAAAGGGTAATTCCTTTGTTAATTAAATTGTAGATTTACCGATTTTATGTATTACTGAAGAACACAATGTAAATGCTACATCAATTTGCTATTACCTAGATTATCAAGGACAATAAAAATGACTTTCTCCTACCTTAAGAGGAGATATATGAAAATATTCATAGAGGCTGACTTGTGATTGATCTACTAATGAGGCTGTTTTATATTCTTCTTTGAAAGCTTCTATATCTTTATGAAAAAGCTCAACCTATAAAAGGAACACAAAATATTAAAACTAAAGGGAACGACCTGCATGAGATACTTAAGCAAACAGCAGACACACTGCCAAAACTCTTCTATAAGATCTAGACTCACTTAACATTGCTTATGGGGTTGCCTCAGAAGGGAAAGTAACATCTCTATCATTAGGACAGTTCTGTCTGCCACTGACAAACTGGCAAGCATTATCTTCTATATTTCTACCCAAACCATTAAGACACTAAGCTTTTCTCCATGTGACTATACATCTTATCCCAAAATGACACTAATCCATACCATCAACACTCTCTTGGGTATATTTGTTTTTTTAAACATAATCATACAGTCGACTTGTATTTTGTCATTTTGTCGTCTACTTGTAATTGCTTTAATGCAACCTACACAGACGAGTGATATAATAAAATAAAGAAGGTGTTGAAAATAATTTTGTATTAATTGATTAGTGGTTTCATTCTTGATATTCATCAGTACTTCTCTACATGCTCAGACTGAAGTAACTTCAATGTGTTGAAAAACGGGCTCCCAGATTAACATATTCATAAAAACATAAAAATGATAGCCTTATAAAAAGTATATTTGGAAATCAATTTCTGAGATGACAGTATGGGAAGTTCTCCAAACCAGCACCCCAGCTAAACTGATAAAATTTAAACAACAACAACAACAGCAACAACAAATTTGAGGCCTCTAGGAATGGTTGTAAGGTCATAAGCAAATGAAGAAACATCTATTTAAGAAAACCTAAAAAATTTGGTAAGAAAAATGAACCTGTGGTATTTTAACAAAGGCCATTCCCTCTGTCCCCTCTCCCAGACTAATGAGCCAGAATTCTACTCTAGACTACTATACCCAAGAACACAGAGCTCCTTATTGGCCCAGTTGTCAATTGGAGGACTTTCTTCCTGGGAAGAACAGGACATCAGCATTTCTCATCCTGTTCCCAGCTACCTGCTGCTGAGGTTAAGTTATGGTTGAGTGCAGTTGTGAGGTGGGGGCTTCCTTTATGGTTTTTGTTTGTTTGTTTTGTTTTGTTTTGTTTTGAGACAGAGTCTCGTTCTGTCACCCAGGCTGGAAATGCAGTGGCACAATCTCAGCTCACTGTAACTTGAGCCTCCTGGGTTCAAGCAATTCTCCTGCCTCAGACTCCTGAGTAGCTGGGATTACAGGCAACTGCCACCATGCCTGGCTAATTTTTGTATTTTTAGTAGAGATGGGGTTTCACTATGTTGCCGGGGTGGTCTCGAACTCCTGACCTCAAGCGATCTGCCCACCTTGGCCTCCCAAAGTGCTGGGATTACAGGCGTGAGCCACGGCACCTGGCGGGGCTTCCTTTCTCTGTCCAGCCTCTGTGCATGGTAAAAAAGCTCTGCCTTGGGTACAGACCACTGAGAATACTACAGTTCTGATCACCCTTGCCCAGGCCTGTAACGTGCTGGTTCCATGCTAGCCGAGGTAGGCTGAGATCATCTCAGTCCGCTGCTCCTCTTACCCCACCACACATAGTGCTCAGCTCCTACACTGGGGTGTTACTCAAATAGAAGGGTGTCACAACTGTCCCCACCGCCAGCTTCAGAGGCCTGGGTTAGAGGTTTTTGCTGATGGGGAAAGTAGGTTTTAAAACAGATCACTATTAATCTCTTCCCAAAGGAACTAATTTCATTTATAACACAGAGTGCAGTTCGAGCCTAAGGGTGCTCTCAGAAACAGCAGATGTGGTGAAAGACAACTAAAAGGAAAGTCATTGATTTATAGAAGATACTGGCTAATCTGTAGACCTACTAGTTTGCAGGAGAAAATCAGAGAAAGTGACAAATAGAAGGGGTTTTCCTGGAGTCAGAATGAAAAACACAGAAACATGGTGAAACCCTGTCTCTATTAAAATTACAAAAATTAGCTGGGCATGGTGGCACATGCCTGTAATCCCAGCTACTTGGGAGGCTGAAAAACGAGAATTGCATGAACCCAGGAGGCGGAGGTTGTAGTGAGCTGAGATTGCTTTTGCAGCACTGCACTCCAGCCTGGGCAACAGAGTGAGACTAGGTCTCAAAAAAAAAAAAAAAAAAAAAAAAAAGAAAAGAAAAAAAAATCAATTAATGTAATAAAACATATCAATAGAAAACCCAAAAATCGTACAATCATCTCCATAGATGCAGAAAAAAGAACAACAAAATATATAATCATGATTTAAAAAACACTCAACCAACTAAAAAAAGAACTTCCTGAACCTGAAAAAGGATGTCTAAGAAAAACCCAGGGTCAACATCATACTGAAAGACTGAAAATTTACCCTCTAAGATCAGAGGCAAAACAAGAATGTCTGCTCTTGGCATTTCTGTTCAACGTGTCACCAGTTTCTAGCCACAACTACCGAAGAAGAAGAAACAAAGGCATTCAGATCAGAAAGAATGAAGTAAAACTACCTCTCCTGTCAGATGACATGATCTTACGTATAGAAATCCCAAAAGAATATATGGAACAACAATTAGAGCTAACAATTCAGTATGGTTGCAAAATACAAGATCAATATAAAAAAACAACTGTATTTTTATACAGTAGCAATGAACAATCCAAAAATGGAATTAAAAAATCAATTTTATTCATAATACTATAAGAAGAATATAATACATAGGAATAAATTTAATGAAAAAAGTGTAAAACTTATACTCTGGAAAAAAATTTAAAATCTACATAAATGGATAAACATGTCCTGTTCAAGGACTGAAAGACCTAATACTGTTAGGATGGCAGTACTTCCCAAATTGATTTACAGATTCAATGCAGTCTCTATCAGATGTCCAGTTGACTTCTTTGAAGAACCCGACAAGTTGATTCTAAAATTCATATGAAATTCCAAAGGACTCAGAACAGCCAAACCTATCTTGAAAAAGAAGGACAAAGTAGGAAGATTCATATGTCCCAATTTCAAAACTTAATACAAAACGATAACTAAGACAGTGTGCAATGCACAAGGACAGATGCATAGATCGATGGAATAAAATCATGTGTGTATTCTTAACTGATTTTCAACTAGGGTGTCAAGACCATTCAAAGAACAAATAGTCTTTTAAAGAAATGGTAATAGGACAACTGGATAGCGACATGCCAAAGAATAATTCGGATCCTTATACATCATATACAAAAATGAACTCAAAATTGATCAAAGACCTAATCATAAGAGCTAGATCTTTAAAACGTTAAGACTAAATATTCCTGACCTTGGATTTAGCTAAGCATTCTTAGAAATAACACGAAAAGCATGAGCAACAAAAGAAAAAACAATTTGAACTCCATTAACTTTAACTTTTGGTCCTCAATAGACAACATCAAGAAAGTGAAAAAGCAAGACATAGAATGAGAAAAAATATTTGAAAATTATATATCTGATAAGAGATCTGTATCGAGAATATACAAAGAACTTTTATAATAAAAAAGACAACCCATTAAATAATAAGCAAAGGATCTGAATGGACATTTCTCCACAGAAGATATGCAAATTAACTAATCAACATATTAAAGATAATCAACATATCAAAGATGCTCAACTTCATTAGTCATCAGGTAATTACATGTCAAAACCACAGTGAAAAACTATTTCACATTCACCCATTATGATTGTTAGAATCAAAGACAGATAATAACAAGTGTTGGGGATAATATGGAAAAATCAGACCCCTTATACGCTCTGGTAAGAATGTAAAATGGAAGAGGCACTTTACACAACTGTCTAACAGTCCCAAATGATTAAATATAAGGTTACTATGTGATTGAGCAATTCCACTCCTAATACATTTTATTTCTTTTGGCTATATACCTAGGAGTGGAATTGCTTAATCACATGGTGATTAAGTTTAAATAAAGTTTCATTTAAGACTTTAAACAGAGTTTTTGTCCAATAAAAACTTGTACACAAGTATTAATTACATTATCCATAATAGCCAAAATGTGTAAACAAACAACCCAAATGTCCATTAACAGATAAATGGATAAACAAAAAGTGGCCCATCCATATAACGGAGTATCACTTGACCATAAAAAGGAATGAAGTACTGATATATGCTACAACATAGATGAACCTTGAAAGTATTATGCTAAGTCAAAGAAGCCCTTCACAAAAGACTACACAGTATATGACTCTATTTGTATGAAATATTCAGAACAGGCAAACCTACAGACACAAAGTGTATCAGTGGCTGCATAGGCAGTTACTTTTGGGGATGATGAAAATGTTCCGTAATTAGAGAGTGATGATGATTGTACAACCTTGTGAATATATTAAAAGTCATTGAACTCTATCCTTTAAATGGGTGAAATGTATGGTATGTGATCTACACCTCAATAAACTCTTATTATTTTGCTCTTTCTCCACCCATGAATCTATGAGGGCAAGTAAAAAAGAGACTATATCTGACCTACTTTATAACTATGATTTTATGGTCTTCCAATCACCAAGATGATACCACCTTTTAATTTTCCTATCCTTTCGCTCATTAAATATCCTGGACATACCCTAAATTTCTAAATTATTAATGAAAGTGAAAGCAAAGCCAAAGTAATCCAGGAAAATAAAAGAGGAAAAAAGTGATGTGAACATAACAAATTATCCTTTTCTACCTGGTATTCACCCCAAGCCTTTCCTCCTGTTTGCTAATTTTCTGTCATCAGAAAATAAGATTTCTAAAAAGGTATGTACCACAAGAGAGTAATAAAATTTGTTTAACTGTATTTTTTAAATGGGACAAAATCATTTTAATGTCTTTAAAAATTTATAATAATCTTTTTTTTTAAAGTTCTCCTTCCCTAATCCTTTCCATCAAATGTTATTATTTTAAGTCTTACCTCTGTATTTTCAGTTACCTCAGCTTCTGTCATAAGGTCTGTTAAAGCATAGATAAACCCAAGATCTAACCTGAGATCCATTTCTTGAATCAATACTTTGAAATACCTATATTACAAAGAAGAAAAGATGTTTTAAAAATCATCAGTTAACAACTGTATTACAAAAATTAGATGAGAAAAAAGTATGAGATCAATATTACAACTCTGAAACTTAGGACTACTTAGTTGACTAAATTTTAAAAAATCATGGAACACTGTTAATAACAGCAACAAAGTCAAAATATGAAAATGGCCATAAAGAGGAAATGGATAAGTAAACTGTCATACAGAGTCATAAAACAGAATATTACACATTAGTGATAATGAATAAACTATGGCTACATACAACAAAATGAATAAATTTTAATAAAAACGTTGAATGAACAAAAGCAAGTCCCAACATTTATTTCCAGTCTGAAACATTTTTCTAAAAATTAAAAAATTAAAACTAAAAGGCATAATGTTTAGGTACACATGCACAATAAAACTATATTTTAAACAGCAAGGAAATAAAGAGAGTTTATCTTGATAAGGAAGGGGAAACTAGATGGACATTATTACATAGACAGATGTTTCAGTCCATCCTCCATTTCTTGGAATGGGTAGTGAGTGAAGATGAAAATATTATTGTTTTCCTTTTTCAAAACAATATATGATTATAGACAACCGCAAACAAAAAACAAATACATATACAAGAGAATAAATATTCAAAATCCAGAAACAACTACTGGAAATACCTAGATGTATTTCATCCAGAGCCCCCCCCCACATTTTTTTTTTTTTGAGACAGTCTCGTTCTGTCACCCAGGCTGGAGTGCAGTGGTATGATCTCAGCTCACTGCAAGATCTGCCTCCTGGGTTCAAGCGATTCTTGTGCCTCAGCCTCCTGAGTAGTTGGGACTCCAGGCACGTGCCACCACACCTGGCTAATTTTTGTATTTCTAGTAGAGATGGGGTTTCACCGTGTTGGCCAGGCTGGTCTTGAACTCCTGACCTCAAGTGATCCGCCCGTCTAGGTCTCCCAAAGTGCTGGGATTACAGACGTGAGCCACAACATTATAACAGATTTTTTAATTTGACCTTTACAATTAATATGCTTAAATCTTTGACTTGTCTAACATTTAAAGAGTATAAACAATTCATATATTTAAATCAAACATTAAATAAATATACAAGAAATGTATTAAGACACTTACTTAATACGTGATATCTGGGAATGTCCTGCAGATCTCATGACAATACTGACATCTGTAAAGGGCTTTGGTGCTGTAAAGGTTATAAACATAATTACTCCCATGATGCTTTAAGTAAAAAGTAGGCATTTTCTTCCAATATACACCACAATGGAAAATCATTTACTAAATATCAGTTAAAATTACTGATATTGGCAAGATCTATTACAATCTTAATTTCAGACTCCAGCATTGTTTTTAAAACTATCTAGAGTCACTCTGAAGATAATTAATTCTACAATTAGCGGTTTAGAAGTATGCATTAGAATCACCAGGGAAACACTCTGAAAACAGATTCTGGGGACTTGCTCCGGACCTCTAGGTGGAAGGGCTTAGGCGTTATACTGGCCAAAAAGCTTTTGAGTGAGTTATAAAGAGTATTCCCCGCAAGATAGTTTAGAGGTAGTAGTGTGGGGTGGAGGTAGGAAAGCAAGAGGAGAAGAAAGTTAAGTAGGGTCGTGAGGAGGGAAGAGAAAGTAGGGGGAAGAGGGATATGCAGGAAAGAAGAAAGGCAAAGGGAAAGAAAAGGGTAGAAAGGACTTGTCAGTTATTCTTATTTGGAGAACATAGGACAGTTTCTGCTGTTAGAAAACACTCTAGATTTGAACTTCCTTATTGTTCATTCAAAGGCTTTAAAGGTTTTTACATCACAGGTTTACAGATTATCTGCTTTTTAAATTAACGTTTCTAAAAATTTCAATATATGTTTCTAATGAATCTTTTCTTCAAGATTCACTCAAAATCTTATCAAAGTTAGTTGTGTACAGTACTTGCTGGTCCTTTTTCAAGCAGTTTAATTTTCCAATGATCCTATAAAAATTAAACCCAAGAATGGTTTCACTTCATATTTTTATAGTAAAGTAAATCAAACAGCTAATACAACTGCTTTTATGGAAATCTAAAAATAAAAACAAACCTGAATCCATGGTGACGGACTTTGGAGGTTTAACAGGATAAAACACAAAGGGAAACACAGCACCATGTATCTGATTTTGGATCTAAGAAAATAAAAACATGTCAGTATATTAATATGTCAATTATACAACCTGACCAGAATAACAGGATTTAAAAAATAAAAAGAATCAAAAAGTCTACCTAGCGCTGGCCAAGCGCGGTGGCTCATGCCTGTAAAATTCCAGCACTTCGGAAGGCCGAAGTGGGTGGATCATCTGGGGTCAGGAGTTTGAGACCAGCCTGGCCCATATGGTGAAACCCCATCTCTACTAAAAATACAAAAATTAGGGAGCCGTGGTGGCGCACACCTGTAATCTCAGCTACTCAGGAGGCTGAGGCAGGATAACTGCTTGAACCTGGCAGGCAGAGTTTGCAGTGAGCTGAGATTCTGCCACTGCACTCTAGCCTGGGCGACAGAGGGAGACTGTCTCAAAAAAAAAAAAAAAAGAAGTCTAGCACAACACTGAAACTGAATACTAGATAAAGCAGACTGTGGGAATAGATCTGGTTTCTCACTGTGTTCCTTTAGAATACAATTTTGCCTATATTTCCAGAAAGACTTGCCTGTATTCTGTAGATTTGAATTCTAAATGATGATTGATGTGCAGATGTGTTATATTCCACTTTTAATGCTGGAAGATAATTTCTTCGTAGAGCTATTACACGCGGCTGCAGAATTTTCATGTTATGACCAGTAGGTGTTAAGCGAACCTGAAAAATATGTCCCCCCAAGTGAAAACATTAATTTATCTATAAATGACTAGAATTAGAAATTCATACCAAAAACTTTTTAAAACAGTAAGCTAAATCTTTGTATTGGTTTAGATTTAGATCTTAATAACCCATGTCCATAAAATTCACATTTTCATATAATTCTTACGATGCTTCACTGTATCACTTTTTACATAAATGTACTAAAATTACCACAATAATAATGAATAAAGGAAAAATAAAATACTTAAAGTACATTGAAAAAACAAGACATTTTTAAGTTTCCTGCTAACCCAAAGAGCAGACGATTAGCATCTAGCATCCTAAAAGAAAGTTTTCTTTTCTTTTTTTTTGAGACAGAGTCTTGCTCTGTCACCCAGGCTGGAGCGCAGTGGGGCCATCTCGGTTCACTGCAACCTCCGCCTCCTGGGTTCAAGGGATTCTCATGCCTCAGCCTCCTGAGTAGCTGGGATTACAAGGTGCCTGCCACCATGCCTGGCTAATTTTTATATTTTTAGTAGAGACAGGGTTTGCCATGTTGGCAAGGCTGGTCTTGAACTCCTGACCTCAAGTAATCTGCCTTCCTTGGTCTCCCAAAATGCTGGAATTACAGGTGTGAGCCACTGCACCCAGTCTGATTTCTTAATATAGATAACCACCTCTTTAAAATATTTTATACAAGGTATGTATGACACGATTATTTTGTTTTATAAGGAAGCCAAACTTTCCTTACATTTCACTAGTGATTCACCGAACTACAACGGATACAAAATTAAAACTTCACATCAGTACTTAAAAATATTACCGGAATGTTAGTGTCCAACTCAATAACCTTATCTTCTGAAGGTGAAGATTCAGTATATTCCTTAAATTCTCTCTCTAACTTCTCAGTGTGCTTTACACTCATTGGCTTCCATCTTGCCTTCTTCTTGGGCTTTGTCTCCCAAACCACATCAGAACTTACATAAGAAAGCAAAGATCATAGTATTTAATACTAACTTATTAACATGTTTATTTTAACTGGTGTATTACATGAATTACAACACCTTCAGTAAAATTTTACAATAGCCTCAGTTACAAGTGAGCACGTTACAAATTTAAAAACATGAATTCATTCAACTACTACCTATTAAGCTACTACTCAGGCACTATTCTAGGGGTTAGGGCTGTCCGTATCAGTGAACATCTCTGTCATTCTGGAGCTTCATTTTAGTTGGGGAATGAAAATGAATAGTAAACAAAATAAATTAGTAAAATTTAATATGTAGGAGGTGAAAATGCTTTTGAAAGAAGAAAATGTAGACAGGGCAAGGGGGATCTGGAGAACTGGAATATGTAAAGTGGTGGGGTCTGCAATATTACAACAGAGTGGCCAACGGGGGACTCACTGAGAAAGTGAGATTTTGGCAACCTTAAAAGAGCTGAGAGAATTATCCAGCAGACAAAAGGAGGAAAACATTTCAGGTAGAGAGGCCTGCTAAAGCAAAAAACCTTAAGCAGGAGGCACACTTGCAGTATATGAAGAAGAGCAAGGAGGCTGGCATGTCAGAAATGCATTAGGAATAGAAAATAAAGTAAGACAGTGGGGGAGCAAATAATGTAAGGCCTTGTAGATCACTGTAAAGACTCTTGAGTTTTATTCTGAGTGATATGAGATACCACTGATCGGTTATAAGACAACTAGCAACATAATCTGACTTACATTTTGCTAAGAATATACTCTGTGTTGAAGTGGATGGAAAAAAAAGAGTGGAGTCAAGACTAGAAGCGAGAAAACTTGTTAGTTTACTACAGTAAACCAGATGAAAAATGGTGATGGCCCTGATGAGGCTATTGACAGTGAGATATTAGAAAAGTGGTCAGATCTGTGTGCCCTTTGAAGGTAGAACTAGCACAGAACTTCTTGATGAACTAGGTCTGGGGTGCAAGATAAAGAGAGGAATCAGACAATTTCAATATTTTTGGGCTGCATAACTAGAAGGAACTATTTTTGATTAACTCTGATTGGAAAGCAGGTTTTGGTAGAAGGAGAAAATAAAAAGTTTGGTATATACATATGAAGTTTAAGAAGCCTCTTAAATATCTGAACAGAGATTTTGCATGCACAGTTGGATATACGAAGTCTCAAGGTCAGATGACAGGTGACAGAAGACATACATAAGAGAGATATTCTGGGCAGTATTTGAAATCATAAAACTGAAATCCACAAGAGAAAAAGACCAGGTTTAAGAGCCTCAAGGCATTTGGCCAATGTAAGCAGTTGAGGGAAGACAAGGAACCAATGAATGAAAAACCAAGACAGTGAGGTATTCTGGAAGTCAAGTGAAAGACACTACATCAAGGAGGGATCTGTGTTAAATGTTATGAAGTAAAGACCGATAATTCTACACTGGATATGGCATTATGGAGGTCACTGATAATGCTGACCAAACCAGTTTCATGGTGTTTTGAAAGCAAAATCCTGTTTGGAGTGGTTAAAGAGAAAATGGATGAAAAAGAATTGGAGAACACAGGATATGTTAAGTTCCTTTGAAACAGACAGTACATTTGAGGAGTTTGGTTATAAATGCAAACAAAGAAATAAGCAACAGGTAGCAAGGAAAGTAGGTTCAAGAGAATTTTTTATGTTGAGAGAAGTAACACTGAAACAATTCAGTAGAGAGCCAAAAGCTGTTGACTTAGGAGAAATGAAGAAAAGGCCTGCTGGAACAATGTCCTCAGGTAGGTAGGAGGAAATGAAGTACAGTGCAAAAGTAGAGAAAAATCTGTTTAAACGGGAGCACATATATCTACTGCAAACTGTTGGGAGTATGTCAGTACAGCAAGTAGTATGCAAATACCAGTAGATAGGAAGCTGTGATACTAGGGGGTGAGATGGGTCTCTGGAAGTTTGCTTTTGACTGCTTCAATTTTTTCAGTGAAGTGGGATGCAAGGTAGTAAGCTGAGAGAATGGGGGTTTGAGAGGGGACAAAGTATAAAATAGTTATTTAGGATACAGAGTGTGAATGGAAGAAATCTAGTTGTACTGAAATTAAAATGCTGAAAGGCCTATAGACTTTATTCTGTTTAAATATTTAATTTTATTTAAGCATTCTATTTGTTTATTCCTTATAGAACTTATATTCATTTAATAAATAGAAAGGTAGAGACCACATATTATTCATCTTTGCATTAACATCACTTAGCTTAGAAGATAACACATAATAGGTCTAAAGGTCTTAAAAATCTATGGTGTATTTTATCTATTAAAATAGTAAAAACATTTTTTGAGAAAAAAAATCCTTAAGAAAATAGATTGTAATATTCCTTTTAAGATGGCACTGATTCGATTCAATAAGAGGTCAGGGGCACATATAGATTAATGTACACAGAAAACTAAATTTACATCTGTATCATATATGTTTATATATATTCAAGAATTTAACTCAAGTAAAGGATTAAAATTACATTATCCTGGTTATATAGAAGAAATATTCTCACATTAAGCACTAATATATGTAAATTAATTTAAACTTAACTGTTTATGAATAGGAATAATAAGGACATAAGGGAGAGACAAAATATTTAATGGTGATATCTTATATGAGAAATGATAAATACAGTGATTATTAGATCTTATTAGATCTTAAAGTGCCAAGGTCAAATGAGAAAGTGATTGTCTTTATGTTAATCCTCCAAAAGCTACAGCATATGTACCCTGAACTGTGCTAGATGGTAACAGAAAATGAACTAAGCATTTTGTGTGATATGCAAAACATACTTTTGGTAAGTTGAATAAATATAACTTTTTAGATAAGTGGAAGGATTAACATAAGGAGTTTATAAATTTGATTTCTGCCATATCTTTATTTCAAAAGGCAAAACATTCCCTCAAGCACAGTTAAAATTAGCATTACCACAGTGTCAATGAATAGTCAAAGCACAAAATTGAAACTAAATCATTTTAGATTTTACAACAATTTCTTAACAATTAGAAACTGATCATTTAAATGTATCCAAATTTTATGCATCTAACCTTGTGATGCCTATATAGGCTACTTCTTGCTTCGTGTAATTGTTGACAAGAGAAATTCCAACATCTTGTAATGCCACTGCAATTTCTTGCTCTGCTAACTCTGCTTTCTCACTTTCATATGTTACTTTAAATACCTTTGGATCTTCAGTGAATAAAATAATGCGTTGTAAACCTTCAAAGAATGAAACTAAATAAATAGTCTTTTTCCCCAAATCTATAGGCATCATCATATCCTAGAACAAAACCACCAAAAAACAAAAACAAAAACAAAAAATTAGAATTTGGTCCCAAAGAACATGAAATTTAGATTTTACATTTATAAAATGAGACTATTAATGGCACCTACTTCATGGGGTTAGTGGCAACTATGTGAATTAATATTTGTCGAATACTTGCAAATTTACATTACTGAAATCATTTGATGTTATCTTATATAAAGTTATTACTCATAAAGACAGGCCAGTTGTTTATTTTTTAAATTTAAACATTTTAATAAAATTGAATCTTCCTGTGTAGGCTAATCAGTAACACAAAGTATTTTTTTCTGCTGTATTCTAAGACTACAGCAATTCTAAGACTAAGAATACAGATATGTATTAAAAGTTGTTTCAGTCTGAAATTCACATTTCCTTTCATAGCTGAATCAAACAGGATAAAAAATATCTTATTTCTCAATTGCATGTTCTACAAAGCATGTATATTCATCATGAGGCTATTTCTGCAGGAATCTCACATAAATGTGCTGATATCAGGGTTTTGAGGGTCAATGACACGATAAACATAGCAAATTGTCATAATTAATATTCAGCCATTAATTTCTAGTTAATATTCTGATTTTCAGAAAATTTTACTGTATAGCATACATTCACGTTACAATATACAGAAATTAAAAACTGTGAGTTGTTACCATAAAATAATTATCTGGGATACTTACGTTACTTATAATACTTTCTAAGTATATATATGTATATCACTAAAACCACACTAAGAATCAAGAAAACTAACTTATTTCACTAGTCTTTCTATTATTTTACAGTGAATGTCTGATTTATCTTTATAAGCTTCAAACTATCACTATGATATAAATATGCAAAGTACTAATCAATAGATGAAATGAATAAGACTATTTTTGTATCAAAGTACAAATTTTTTCCCTGAATAAATCTAATAGTCATGAATTTTTAAAACTTAAAGTTAGGCCACTTATAGGCAATCCTCTTAAATACAATGTAAACAACACCCACACCAGACTCCTCAACAGCAGCACTGAAAGACAATGAGAAAATACCACCTACTGATAGGCAGGAAGAAAAAATCACTAGTGGTGAGAAAAAAAAAAAATAAGGAGTCAAATTAAGATGAATTTTGAAGGACAAAAAACTTTAAAAAATGTTCTGGAAGTATTTAAAATGTTACTGGAAAATAGATGCGCATAACTTGATCATCATAGTTTGCCACTCAGAAATAAATTTGTTTTAGTTCACTCAGTGGATCCTAAAATGTTCCTTCTAGAAGCTAAATCTACCTAGTATGATTGTCAAGGCAGAGAACATATTTGCTTTTCAGGTGAATGCTGAAAGCACTTCTCTAAACACAACTTTACTCTTTATAACACAGTAGAAGCAAATGATGTAAACAAAATAAGACTATTTCTGTTTTGAAATATTTTTGGTTAAGTCAATACTTAAATACTATTTTGAAGATTTTTGGCAGCTTTTTAGAAGCGTGGCCACAAACAGTCCTTAAAACTAGGAAGGCTGAAAATCAAATACCATTTTTTTTTTTTTTTTTTTTTGAGATGGAGTCTCGCTCTGTCACCAGGCTGGAGTGCAGTGGCACAACCTTGGCTCACTGCAACCTCCGCCTCCAGGGTTCAACTGATTCTTCTGCCTCAGCCTCCTTAGTAGTTGGGACTATAGGCACCTGCCACCATGCCCGGTTAATTTTTGTATTTTTAGTAGAGACGGGGTTTTACCATGTTGGCCAGGCTGGTCACAAACTCCTGCCCTGGTGATCTGCTTGCCTTGGCCTCCCAAAGTTAATTTTTGTATTTTTAGGAGAGACAGGGTTTCACCATATTGGCCAGGCTGATCTCGAACTCATGGTTCACCTCGGCCTCCCCAAAGTGCTGGGATTACAGGCCTGAGCCACCACGCCCGGCCCACATACCTTTTTAAAAAAAGGCTGATGGGAACCCATAATAACCCAATACTTACATCCTTTTGTGTTACTTCACCATGGCTTTTTCTACATCTCCACTTCAGCCTTCTAGAGCCCACTGGATCAGCCCATGTATAAAACACTGCTTTTCCAGGAGGGAGGGAATCTTCTATTTCACTGAGAGAACTGACATAAGTAGCAAAAATATGCATTAAATTAAATGCAAGTACATTAATAGATTTTTAAAAACCTAAAATAATACTTCATTAATTCTTAGTTCACTAATTGAGATCTGTGATAGTTTTGATTAAAACAAGGCTGAAATTTTTACCTTATAGAATTAAAAAAGGGTTCACTAATGAATATTTCTCATTATTTTCCCACTTAGAAAATACATGTTCTACTTAGGAAATAAAGGTCTTCAAGTCTTTAAAACTGTTTTGTCAATTTTTAAATAACAATTAATTATGGAAAATTATTTCCAACTACTTTACTCTATTTATACAAATTCTAAGAGAATTTAATTGGTAACTCTTTCCTAAGTATTGGTCTTACTAGAACAAAAACAAAGTAACTAAATTAGTCTTTAAAATCACAAAACGTGAAATACACATCTAAGAAATTCAACTGACTCACAAAAAGATGCTCAGAAAGAAAAAAAACATTACAAAAGTTATACACCAAACAAGTAATAAAATATAGCTCTTCTGAGCAGAAGAAGGAATTAAATCTGCAGATTAAAAGACTTCACTGGGCCAGGCGCAGTGGCTCACGCCTGTAATCCCACCATTTTGGGAGGCTGAGGCGGGCAGATCACAAGGTCAGGAGATCAAGACCATCCTGGCTAATACGGTGAAACCCTGTCTCTACTAAAAATAGAAAAAATTAGCCGGGTGTGGTGGCGGGCACCTGTAGTCCCAGATAACTCGGGAGACTGAGGCAGGAGTATGGTGTGAAACCAGAAGGCAGAGCTTGCAGTGAGCCGAGATGGCGCCACTGCACTCCAGCCTGGGCAGCAGAGCGAGACTCCGTCTCAGAAAAAAAAAAAAAAAAAAGACTTCACTGGGTATCAGACATTAATGAAAACAGTATCATTCTAGACATATATTTGTAAGAAAATGGGGGGAAAAAAACCCTAACACATATCTAAGAAAATCACAGTCACTCGCAAGAAAATAAAAATGCTCCTCTCACAGTTCAATGACGTTTAAAGTCAAAAAACAATGGCACACTATCTACACAATTTTGAGAAAAATGTTATCACTTAAAATTTTATGTCAAATTGTCATAAATTTGTAAGAATAAGACATTTCAAACAAGCAATAGCATAACACTACCCACAGATCTTTACTAAAAAAAAAAACTCAAGACTTTTTCCAGCCAAGCTAGAGACAAACTCAAAATAACATCTTAACAACTAGGATATAGAAATATTGAAGAACCCATAGTGAACAACTAAACCAGTTTAAGAAAGTCTTTTTTTGTTAAAACATTAAAATCAACGCAAATACCAAAAGGGCCTTGAATCAAATAATACATATTTTGAAAAGCTAACCATTTTATATTAATCTGGTTGAAAAAATCCCAAATTACATTCACAAGAAAGTAAGAATTTGGAAAGAGGTGGAAGAAAAGGTAAAAAAGCATTACAATTTTTTATGGCTAAGCTAGCAGATACTGTTTCAATCTTAAAATTGATTTTAAATGTATCAAAACCTTCAATAACAAAAAAGGAATTATCCATAACTGAAACAGAATACGTATTTTCAAAAAAATCATTAGAAGAAAATATTTACAAAAAATATGGTAAGGAATTATAAATTAGTTTTTACAATGATTACAAATGGGTTGAAGATCATTATCAGAAGATAAACTGAGCTGGGCACGGTGGCTCATGCCTGCAATCCCAGCACTTTGGGAGGTTGCGGCAGGCAGATCACCTGAGGTCAGGTGTTCGAGACCAGCCAGCCAACACGGCGAAACCTTGTCTCTACTATAAATACGAAAATTAGCCGGGCACAGTGGCGCACACCTGTAATCCCAGCTACTTAGGAGGCTGAGGCAGTAGAATTGTTCAAACCTGGGAGGCAGAGGTTTCAGTGAGCTGAGATCGCACCTCTGCACTCCAGACTGGGCGAAAGGGCAAAATTCCATCTCAGAAAACAAACAAACAAAAAAAGAAGATAAACGGATTCTAAAATTATACCAGTTGAAATAAAAATTCTGAACAATTAAGTATTATTTAACTGTAGAGCATCTAAATGATGGAATATCATTCATTCAGTAAAAATCATGCTTTGCAGGGACACAAAGAAGGGAACAGCAGACATGGGGAGCCTACTTGAGGGTGGAGAGTAAAAGGAGGCTGAGAATCGAAAAACTACCTATTGGGTACCATGCTTATTACCTGGGTAACGAAACAATCTGTATACCAAAACCCCGTGACATGCAATTTACCCACGTAACAAACCTGCACATATATCCCCTGAACCTATAATAAAAGTTAGAAAGAAAAAAAAATTGTGCTTTGAAACAAATTTATATGCTCACAATAGCTGTCAAATATGAGAGATACATAAGGAAGGAAGAAAGTGAGGGAGGGAGAGAACAAAGGAGGAAGGAAAGGAGAGGAAAAGGAATGAACCAAAATGTTGACAGTATTAGGATTTCAGGGATTATGGTCCTCTTTCACATTTTTTTTCTATAGTATTTTTTTAATAGTAACTTAACAACTATTACTTTTATATGCAGGAAATAATATCTATATTTTTTAAAAAGCCAAGAGACAGAAATGTGGAGGAGAAAACAAAATCATAGTCTTCATTTCTCCATGAAAAAAAAAAATCAAATGTAAATGTGATTAGCAAATAAATTTGGTTTAAAAATACTTAAAACTGCTTCTAATTCACACAAATTTTAATCTGTTTAATTCACTGCAGAGTATTCCTTATGCAAAAATGTACTGGGCTATCTGGGACAGGCAATGAAAATTCCAAGAAAAGGGAAACTAACCATAGTTTAGTAGACTATTAACTATCTGTGTGTACACATCTCAAACTCACAAGAAAATAACACAATGTGATGAATGCTGTAATCTACATATGTAAAGGTGCTATCAAAAACTGGGGTACTTAGATTAAGGTGGCAAGGGAAGGGATCACATAGAATGGCATTTTTCTTTTTTTTTTTTTTTTAAGTTCCAGAATACGTGTACAGAACGTGCAGGCTTGTTACACAGGTAAATGTATTCCATGGTGGTTTGCTGTACCTACCAACCCATCACCTAGGTATTAAGCCCCACACGCATTAGCTATTTATCCTGATGCTCTCCCTCCTGCCGTGACCCCAACAGGCCCCAGTGTGTGTTGTTCCTCTCCCTGTGTCCACGTGTTCTCATTGTTTAGCTCCCACTTATAAGTGGGAACGGTTTTCTGTTCTTGTTGCTGAGGATAATGGCTTCTAGCTCCATCCATATCCCTGCAAAGGAATAATCTCGTTCCTTTTTATGGCTGCATAGTATCCATGGTGTATATGTACAACATTTTCCTCATCCAGTCTATCAGTGATGGGCATTTGGGTTGATTCTATGTCTTTGCTATTGTGAATAGTGCTGCAAGGAACAAGTGCGTGCATCTATCTTTATAAGAGAATGATTTCTATTCCTTTGAGTACATACCCAGTAATGGGACTGACTGCTGGGTCAAATGGTATTTCGGATTCTAGGTCTTTGAGGAATCACCACACTGTCGTCCACAATGGTTGAACTAATTTACATTTCCAGCAACAGTGTAAAAGCGTTCCTATTTCTCCACAGCCTTGCCATCATCTGTTGTTTCTTGACTTTTAAATAATTACAGAATGGCATTTTTCTAGCTGAAAGAAACACCTATTCAGGTAAAAACCCACGGAAAGACCTAGAGCACTGAGGAAACAAAAACTTCACTTTGTATAGGGTAAGATTTAGGCCACAGAAAGACAAATTTTTAGAAAGGCAGCCTAGAAGTATATTTTTAAAGAAATGGGTAAAAAAAGAAAAACTTGAAAGAGAGATACGATTATATTTCTTATTTTAGAAAATTCATTCTAGTAGAAAGTGGGAGATTTACTAGAGATAAGACTAGATATATAGAGACAGATTAAAAATCTACTCAAATATAGCTGGGTATGGTGGCACATGCCTGTAAACCCAGCTACTTGGGAGGCTGAGGCACGAAAATCAGTTGAGCCGGAAGGTGGAGGTTCCAGTGAGCCTGGATCACACCACTGCACTCCAGCCTGGGCAACTGACTGAGACAGTGTCTCAAAACAAAACAAAACAAAAAACTCTACTCAAATAAAACAAAACAAAATAATACACAAAAAATCTACTCAAATAGTTAAGAAATGGAGGGTTACTGAACTAGGATAATGACAGCGGAGATTACATAAGAAGGGAATATTTATTTAAAAGTTAAAGTTTAACAAACAAATGGGAACACATCTCATGCTCATGGAGGGGTAGACTCAATATTGTGAAAATGACCATACTGCCATAAGCAATCTACAGATTCAATGCAATTCCCACCAAAATACCATCATCATTCTTCACAGAACTAGAAAAAAAATCCTAAAATTCATATGGAACCATAAAAGGAGCCTTCATAACCAAAGCAGTACTAAGCAAAAAGGACAAACCTGGGGGCATCACATTATATGACTTCAAAGTATACTACAATGCCTATAGTCACCAAAACAGCATGGTACTGCTATAAAAACAGGAATGTAGACCAACGGAACAGAATAGAGAAACCAGAAATAAAGTTAAATACTTAGAGCCAATTATCTTCAACAAAACAAACAAAAACACCAAGTAGGGAAAGGACACCCTATTATAGTGAAGGGACTAGATGTGAAGGGACCAGTCTGGTCAGGGCCTAAGATAGAGTTGACTTAATAGTTTACAGACAAGGCTCGTTTTTCATTCTTGTTCTTTTAGTTCTTTTGTTTCCAGATTCTTTTGTCCAGTCTTCTTTCTGGTACCTTGACTATCTCCTACTCTGGGAGATCATCAAGTGCTAGGATCGTGGGCAAGCCACATGTAGAAGAATAAAATTGGATTCTCATCTCTCACCTTATACAAAAATCAACTCAAGATGGATCAAAGACTTAAATGTAGGACCTGGAACCATAAAAATTCCAGAAGATAATTTTGGAAAAACTCTTCTAGACATTGGCTTTGGCAAAGAGTTCATGACCAAGAACCCAAAAGCAAATGCAACAAAATAAAAATAGATGGGACCTAATTAAACTAAAAACCTTCTGCACAGCAAATAATCAGCAAAGAGACAACCACAGAATGGGAGAATATCTGCAAACTATACATCTGACAAAGGACTAATATCCAGAATCTGTAAGGATCTCAAACAAATCAGCAAGGAAAAAAAAAACACACAATAATCCCATCAAAAAGTGGGCTAAGGTCATGAATAGACAATTCTCTAAGAAGATACACAAATGGCCAACAAACATATATAAAAAAGCTCAGCATCACTAATTATGAGGGAAATGCAAATTAAAACCACAATGAGATGCCACCTTACTCCTGCAAGAATGATCATAATTTAAAAAAAAAAAATAGATGTTGACATGGATGTGGTGAAAAGGGAACACTTTCACACTGCTGGTGGGAAGGTAAACTAGCACAACCACTATGAAAAACAGTATGGAGATTCCTTAAAAAACTAAAACTAAAAGTAGAACTACCATTTGATCCAGCAATCCCAGTACTGGGTATCCACTCAAAGGAAAAGAAGTTATTATACTAAAAAGACACTTGCACACACATGGTTAGAAACAATTTATCATTTTTATAATGTGGATGATTAAGAAAACAGGCATTCCTCTTTCTTAACATCTTAAATAGATGAGAGAATGCTACCCAAAACGACTTTTAGGTACTTGCTAGTCCAGCCCTGTGGTCTTTACGCAATGTCTGTTTGATTTTAATCAATGATAAGAAGTTGTACAGTTAGCAGTGGAAAGTGTAAGTGCAATGATAAATATGTGCTTGTTGAAAAGTAACAGGTGAAAATAAAGAAAGCAAACAAACTAAATTCAAGACAACCTGGAACTACTAAGTACAAGATCAGAAACTTGCATAAGCTGTAGTAGCATTAAGAAGATATGGTATCACAGCAAATTAAAATGAATGATGTTTAAGAGTAGTCCTAAACCATGAAGATTCAATTATAGCCTTTAAGGAGGCAGTCCTTTCCCCCAGACACCTCAACAAGAAGGTACCTACTGTTTGAAAAAAGAAAATCTGAAATTTTACATATTTACACTATATTGAATAGACAAAATTCAGACTCACAACAAACTCTGACAGTCCTCATCAGAGTCAACAATGAACAAGCTTTTGCCACACTTGCTTCACCTCTTCCATTTTTCTTTCTTTGAAGCATTTCAAAATAAACTGTAGACATCGTCAGTTTTACCCCTACATACTTCAAATACATTTTTTAATGGAACATCGTTTTATATAGCTACAATGCTATTATCAGTGTTTATATTCTTAAGAAATTATCATAAAAACCATGCCTCATCATCTAGACTTACACCATCAAGAGTTACTGTATTTGTGATAATCTTACCTTTGATTGTATTGAACAAGTTCATTCTTTGTGTGATTTATTAAGAGGAATGTAGCTGCTCCATCATGATAATCTAAAAATGTAATAACTGTAGAATGCTCAGCCAAATTCACTTCTGCTATAATACCTCCAAGCTAGAAGAAAGAAAAAGAAAACATTTTTAATATAATCATTTTCCCAAGAATATTAACTAATAACATTTAAGAACAGACTACTCATAACTTGATAATTTAATTTTTGGGATGATTGAGAAAACAATTCAGAATTTTGTATTGCATTTCTGGAAATCTATAATCTCAATCACTGTATTACAGACAGATGACATTCCAGATGTGGTATATTCTAGTATTCCAGGCATTCCAACTAACTTTTTTTTTTTTTTTTTTTTTTTTTTTTTTGGAGGGGGGTTTTTTTTTTTTCCCCCAGGCTGGAGTGCAGTGGCCGGATCTCAGCTCACTGCAAGCTCCGCCTCCCGGGTTTACGCCATTCTCCTGCCTCAGCCTCCCGAGTAGCTGGGACTACAGGCGCCCGCCACCTCGCCCGGCTAGTTTTTTGTATCTTTTAGTAGAGACGGGGTTTCACTGTGTTAGCCAGGATGGTCTCGATCTCCTGACCTCGTGATCCGCCCGTCTCGGCCTCCCAAAGTGCTGGGATTACAGGCTTGAACCACCGCGCCCGGCCCCAACTAACTTTTTATATAACAATTAAATTATCTTAGATCTCTGTTTCCTTTTACAAAAAGAAATGTTTGTTCATTTTTGGGGAAAGAGGAAAAATCAACAGAAGTAATTATTTGATACAAAAAATAAATAAAATACCAGTCAGTATATTTTAGCTTTTCTAATGATATATGCCAAAAACACATACCACACACACACACACACAAACAAAACCACTTACCTCGTTATCCAGACGCAATAGAATACAATTTTCTTGCTTGTTAAAATATATCCTTTTGGGAGGATCTTCACTCCCTTCAACTTGAATAAGAAGTTTACTAGAAGCATCCTCAGGCCAAAAGGGGATACACTAAAATATACATTATATATGTTTATAAAAATAAACAGATTTCACCATAAATACACAAATCATCTTAATATTCCCATCAGAGTACACTTAAACTTTAAAAAATCTCTTTTAACACTGCTCTAGTTATTGGGTTGCTTAAACAGCTGTAAACTTTCAACTTGAAGATGGGTTGTCACTTGTCAGCACTATGCACTCAAGAAGCAGTGGATAGCAAATTGAAGAACTATGGTAAGTGAACTGCTGGCGAGAAAAGAGACTTTAATGTGGTCATGATCTTACAGAGAAGGGTTGAAAAATCAGCAAGAAACCTGAGCTGAGAACTGGGACACAGATCAGGTTTAAAACAAGTGTACATTCAGTTACTAAAAATCAAAATCAGGTATGAACGTTGGAAATTAGGCAGAAGTCAAAGTACACAAAAATGGTAAGTCAGAACATATATTTACATATGTAACAAACCTGCACGTTATGCACATGTACCCTACAACTTAAAGTATAATAATAATAAATAAATTTTAAAAAAATAAAAAAAATAAAAAAAAAAGAACATATATTAAATCTAGCATCTGGTTATCAAATAAGGGTAAAAAAGTAAAAGTAGTATTCAAAGTTCAGAGTAGGAAGGAAGTTCGGAATTTTACGAAATAACTTCAACATGAGTGATCTGGAAACCAAACTAAAAGAACAGGAGATAATCAAGGTAACAGAAAGAAGACTGGACAAAAGAATCTAGAAATTGAGCTAAAAGAACAAGAATGAAGAACAGCCTTGTCTGTAAGCTATTAAGTCAACTCCTGACCAGACTGATCCTTTCATATATTTCAGTGAGACTGCTCATGTGTGATACCTGATCATCATTACATGACTTGAGGACAATGTAGCAGAACCTGGTTGTTATAGCTAAGTATCTTAGCTTGTTAAAGACAGTTTTATTCAACCATAAAATGGAATTAATGGAACGAGATATGAGACATGCTTAGGAATATAACCTGACTGTGCACAGCCAGGGCACTGCAGTCTTAAGGTTTCAAGCAACCCTGTCCCAAAGCTTTTACCCATGTCTGCATGCCTAGCCCAGGCACTTCATTTGGAGGCTCTTTATGAGAGCTTTGCGGCAGAGGCCTTCCTTGGGAGCTCCTGCAGGACCTCTTTATCAGGGAGACAGGTAGAGCCTGAGCTGAGAACTGGGACACAGATGATCAGTTTAAAACAAGGGTATGGTCACTTCACAAAAAGTGAAGACACTTTTTGTCTACTCTCAGTGCTCATTGCTAGCTCCTCCCCTTTGTCCTACTCCATCCCCCAGGTCCATAAAACTGCTGGACACTGTTCAAGGTTTCATAGATAGTGAGACAAGCCCCATGTCTTGTGCTGATCCACTTGACCCTTGTCCAATGCCATTCCAGAATAGGTGGTAACTGTGCTTTCTCTGATTTGGCCTCCTGCTTACACAGGTTGAGTATCCCCTGTTCGAGATGCTTGGTACCAGAAGTGTTTCAGATTCTGGACTTCTTTTGGATTTTGGAATATTTGCATATATATAATGAGATATCTTGGGGATGGTACCTAAGTCTAAACATAAAATTCATTTATGTTTCACATTCACCTTATACACATAGCCCAAAAGTAATTTTATACTATATTTAAATAATTGTGTGCATGAAACAAAGTTTGTACATATTGTACCATCAGAAAGAGAATATGTCACTATCTTAACCACCCATGTTGACAATCTATGGCTGTGTGGCATCACCATCATTCCTGACTCTCAATTTGTGTTACCAATAAACAATCATTTTCTTACACTTACTCACACATAAGTACTTAACAGTTAAAAAAAAAAATGACAGTTAAGAAAGTGAAAAAAATAAAGTGTTAGGTGTAGAATTTTTCACTTGTGGCATCATGTTGGCACTTGAAAAGTTCTGGATTTTGGAATATTTCGAACTTTGGAGCATTTTTGATTTCATATTTTCAGATTAAGGATGCTCAATCTTTACTATCACAGTAAGTGATTAAAGGTTTGACTGTTACTTTCATTGTGGCTTGTCTTAATCAGCTACTCCAACACCTGGCAGCTCAGCTCTCTCCTCCTAAGCTGAGCTCTTGACAATTGCTAACTTTCTCATTTCCTCGAAGTCATTGTTCAAATGTGACTCCAATGAGTCCCATCCTAACCACTTTACATAAAATTAGAGACCACCCCTGGCTCTCGAACTCTTAATATCCCTTATCCTACATTAGACTTGTCACTTTGAAACATACTATATACTAATTGATTATGGTATTATTAATGTTTCCCCCTTATACCCACTGAAATGTAAACTACATAAAGATGGGAACTTGTGCCTTTAAATAGTATATTGCGAGTCACATAAAAATAAACAATATTTGTTGAAATAATGAATAGACTTGAAAAAAGGTGAAATTTCTGGGAATAAGAACTATAATTATTCAAATACTCAGTTGAAGACTTACATAGTAGTTCAGACACAGCAAAAGTAAAAAAAATTGAAAGATGTATATGTAGAACTTACCCAGAATGAAGCAAAGAGAGTTGGAAAATATAAAAGAGCTATTAAGAGACATGGAGGATAGAGTATGAAAGTCCAACATGTCTGATTAAAAGGCTTAGATGGAAAAAATGGAAGAACGGAGGAGAGGCAATATTTAAAGAGACAGTAGTAGCAAATTTTACAGAAAGCATGAAATACTTTAATCCACAGATCTAGGAGTAAAGCACCTCAAGCAGGGTAAATAAAAGGAAACCACATATAGACATATAGCAGCGTGACCACAGAACATCAAAGACAAAGAGAAGAAAGACTGTGAAGGCAGCCAGAGAGATCTATCTATCTATCTATCTATCTATCTATCTATCTATCTATCTATCTATCTATCTTTCTCCTCTTCTCTTCTCTTCTTCTCTCACTCTCTCTCTTTCACAATTGCAAGATTTAATAGAATGAAAACAGAGCTCCCATAAAATGGGAGGGGACCCAAAGGGGGTTGCCATTGCCCCATGGAACGCCTGGGTTTATATCCTGATCACTGTCCCTCTCGCTGTGCTCCAGCCAGAGAGATTTTTCTAGAGACACTGATGGTATTTACCTTCAAAACCAGCCCTGGCCAGGCGCGGTGGCTCACGCCTGTAATCCCAGCACTTTGGGAGGCCGAGACGGGCGGATCACGAGGTCAGGAGATCGAGACCATCCTGGCTAACACAGTGAAACCCCGTCTCTACTAAAAAATACAAAAAACTAGCCGGGCGAGGTGGCGGGTGCCTGTAGTCCCAGCTACTCGGGAGGCTGAGGCAGGAGAATGGCGTAAATCCGGGAGGCGGAGCTTGCAGTGAGCTGAGATCTGGCCACTGCACTCCAGCCTGGGCCACAGAGCGAGACTCTGCCTCAAAAAAAAAAAAAAAATTAAATTAAAAAACCAGCCCTAAAGGAAATGCTAAAGAATATACTTCAAGAATAATCCCAAAAAGGATGGTTTTATATGCAAAAAGGAATAATGAATAGAAACAGCAACACTTCTCTAATCCTAACTTTTAGAATAAAAGTTCTTCAAAAATAAAATATTCCATCAACCTCTGTCAGTCATTCAGAAAACTCTAATTCAAAGGTTTAATGATGGCACAGAATCAACATTTCTTCTAAGTTACTACTCTCCTCAAATAACTAGAGAAGAGTCTGGCTTAACCTACTCTCTGAAGGCATTCCTAATAGCTTCCTAGAGAGAATAAATAATTTCCGTCTCTTTGATGCATTTATACCTTATCTAGTCTTTGACTGCTGTATTTAATCAAAGTGGTTAGTAATTGTTAAACGTCTACCTCCCTTAACAAGCTGGGCATTCCTAGTTATCCAATTATTAAAAATTGAACCTTGCCATCTATCTAGAGTTGGGCACAAATATTCAATAAAGATTTATGAAACTAAAACAACACTGGAGTAACGGGAGAGTTAAAACATTACATGGTGACTTTAGGTATCTAACATTAAGGAGAAAATAGAATCCAAAGAGGTATATTTCTGAAATTCATCTACCCACCTGCTCCAAATCAAGAGAGAGCCATTTATCAGTTCCTTCTTCAGCCACTGATATACGGTATTTGCTTTTGTTTTTAATCATATAAAAAGGGGTAAATGTCACAATTCTAGTAATGTTAAAACTGCTCAGGTCTATAGTGACACCAACCTAAGAAAAATAAAATTAACAGCTCAAAAACTGTTATGTATCATAACATCCTTATAAAATTTAATTAAGTAGTTAATAAAACATTTAAAATAAACAGTTTCTTGATAAGCACAGAATGAACTCACTTGATAGTCCATTTTCAGGCCTTTACATTTAACAGCTCCATGACTACCAACAGTATCAATTGAAAATTGATCGGATAATTCACTATCAGTTACCATAAGTTGAACCTAGGAAAAAATATTCCAAATACATCACAATTTAGGTACCCTTAAAAATTCCTGCTTAAACTGATAAAAATTAGTTTTTAGCATAAACAAAATATTACATTGTTAATGCACTAAACCTTTATAATATTAAATTCCAATCTTTTTGGCCTCAAATATTTAACAAGTTATTTCTATCCAAGTTTCATATTTATTCCTCAGAACTTTAAAACTAAAAATCGACAAGCAGATAAAGACAAGGGAAAAACAGAATAAACAATGCATACCTTATTGTTATTAAAAAAGTGATTTGGCTGAAAAGAAAAGAGAACTGGCTTTTTATAATTAGGTGGATGCTTTCGATGAATTCCGTCTGCTTTGTACTGTAACATGCGACCAGTTTTGTTGACCATCCAATAAGGACTATGAAATGCCACAACTGTCTGACCAGTATTATAAGTCATATGGACAGCAATATCTAAATCAGTCTTTTCCATTTCTGTAATACAGGTAAAATTGACAAAACTAATGTCTTGCTGATTAGGCTTTATGTGATATTCACTTTTCCAATCGTGATTGAGATAGTCAAGTAATTTTAAACGTAGCCTGGCTTTATCCAACTGTACAGTACAAATCTGGGCTGAATGTCCTTCACTTAGAGTAAAAACTGAATTTTCAATTCCCTGTAATAAAAAAAAAAATTTAAATGTTGCAGAATAATATGCCTCAAAATTCTATTTATTTATTCCAAATGCTGCACAAAATGTTTCTGAAGCACCTATCAGAACAAGTCAGAAGACTTACATTCAAGTTCTAACTTTGTCAACTGTGTAAATCTCTACACAGGATTTAATCTGAGATTTGAGCTACTGTAGTTATAAAATGTTCTAAATGACTTACTTCAAAGGACAAACTGTGAAGATTAGATTAAATAACATAATGGGAAACTCCCCTGGAAATTATAAACATAAAACACTACAATTGGTAAAACAACAACAAAAAGACAATCTTAACCACTAGTGATTTTTGTTTTGAAAACAACAAAACAATGTAAAATGTGGGCAAAAACTGATGGTAATCCAAAATAAGCAATCCCTACTACCTCCACAATCCCTCATCACCCATTTCCAATCACTGTTTATATTATTACATCATATGTATCTCTCCAAGCTGCTGATTTCCCTCGACTCACCCTTCTATTATCTTAGTTCATGTCACTATATGACCTCTCAGTTTGAGTCTCCTAACCGCTCTTGTCCCCTCTTACCATGGCTCAATTGTCTTTCTAAAGACTGATCATATCCTTTGGAAACTGCCAGACAGAATGTGATCACTAAAAGCATCCAATTAAAAGTTCTATGAGAATAGAAACATAAATTGACAGTACATTTGAATATCTCACCAGTTTTTCCAGCATCTCTATCTTGTTCTCTTCCTATTATTATAATATAGGAATCTCTTCAGCTCATGATTTTAAATTAATTAAAGCAAAAGTAAGGAGTTCTTGATTTTTTACAAGTTAAATAATATTCCACAAAATAACAATGGTGGTGGTAGTGCTAGAGTGATAAATAAATGGCAACCCTTGTCTGTCAGGCACTGTACCAAATCTTTTACATATACAATCTAATTTTATTTCCCCCATGTCTTAACCAAGCAAATTTTATTATTCTCATTTTATAGACTACAACAAAAGATTTACAAAAGCAATAAAGCCCGCTTAAGAACATACAGCAAGCGACAGAGCTAGGATGCAATTTCAAATCTGACAGCAATGTACAAATTCTTAATTATTATGATAATTTGTTACTCAATATGGAAATACACATTTAAAACCATAAATATGTTAACTTTTTCCTCCAAAAGAGACATGTATCAGAAAAGTGTAAACTGCTGGGTGTACTGGCTTGCGCCTGTAATTCCAGCACTTTGGGAGGCCAAAGCGGGAGGATCACTTGAGCCCAAGAGCTCACGACAAGCCACAGTGAGTCCCTGTCCCTACAAAATTAAAAATTAAAAAAAGTTATCCAGGCATGGCATGCATCTGCAGTCCCAGCTACTCCGGGGGCTGAGGAGGAAGGATCACGTGAGCCTAGAAGTTTGAGGCTACAGTGAGCTATGCACTCCAGTCTGAGCAACAGAGAGAAACCTGTTTTTTTAAAAAACAAACAAATGGTAATTCTAAAGGTAAAATAAACCTATAATAGATGACAATGAAGAACTACTTTCTTCCATTTGATAAGCCTCGCAAATGAAATATTCACATAAAATCTTAAGATGTACGGATTCCTATGTTATAACAACAGGGAGAAACCACACCATCTGTTAAAAAGTATGTAAGAAAAAAAGCAACTGTACCAAGTATACAATCTTTTAAGAAAATCAGCGCTAAAAGAATACAATATAATGTAGCAGGCTTTTTTTGTCACTGAAGTCTAGTTCTTAAATGTTATTTCAATAATAATTCTCATACTTGTTGCAAAAGAATATCTGCATTACCTATTCTTTACTAGTATTCTAGTATTCTAATTTTTATTAGATCTTTAAAATAGTTTTTATTATTCTTAATCTTAAAAAACTGAAACTACAAAATCAAAAACAGGAAAGCACTAAAACAATTTGCCGATACCTCTATATAATAAGCAATTTTGTAAGGAAGAAGATTTCGGAGCAGGATAGGTGGCCACAAATGCATTATGTATGGTAAATCCCAACCATCTTCTGAATACACTGATAGAGACGTTAAATTATCTTTTTCTGGAACAATATTAATGAGAAATGATTTCTTGGAAGGGTTTTGAGATCTACATTTCTTCTTTAGAAGAGCACCATCATTTTTCACAATCTCTTCAAAGTCAATTCCTTCACACATTTGATAGTCCTCATCTTCTGGCTTCAGAAAAAGGAATGATCTGCATGAGATTAAATGATACAGTTTAAAATGCTTTAAAGGAAAACATATTAAAGTATATAATTACAGCTTTAGAATAACAAACTTACCTCCTTTCACAATATTGTAATAAATTTTTATATTTTCATATACCTTTTAGATATAAGTAAGATAGATAAATAGATATCACCTTAACTTTCTGGAAGCTCATCAAGTTGTTTGACTTTTAAGAAGAGAATATTTTTCTTACAAACTTACTATCTTAAAAGTACACTTATAAGATAAATGGTTTCATATAAAAATACATAAATCGTATCAGTTATATATGCAAAGCAAACCACATAGAATCATCTGTGACTTGTACATATAACTGCAAGAATTTGGCTTTTCTGAATATGTGGGCCTAAAAGGAAATAAATGCCATGACTGAATTCATAAACTAAAAAAATTACTATTGAAAAAATAATCACAAGCTTTCCAACATTAATCAAATTAAAGTTTTCAATCGATATTTAACTTTATTAAAATGTGGGCCATAGATGCAGAAGAGTGTTTTTCTTTTTTGTTTTTGTTTTTTTTTTTACAGCAGTATGATATTGTACTTTATTTTTTTTTTTTCTGCTTTAGCGGTTTTTTTTTTTTTTTTTTAATTATACTTTAGGTTCTGGGATACATATGCAGAACGTGCAGGTTTGTTACAGAGGCATACACATGCCACAGTGGTTTGCTGCACCCATCAACTGATCATCTACATTAAGTATTTCTCCTAATGCTCTCCCTCCCCTTGCTCCCCAACTCCCAACAGGCCTCAGTGAGTGATGCTCTCCTCCCTGTGTCCATGAGTTCTCATTGTTCAACTCCCACTTATGATTGAGGACATGCGGTGTTTGGTTTTTTTGTTCCTGTGTTAGTTTGCTGAGAATGATGGTTTCCAGCTTCACTCATGTCCCTGCAAAGGACATGAACTCACTCTATTTTATGGCTGCATAGTATTTCATGCTGTATACGTGCCACATTTTCTTTATCCAGTCTATCATTGATGGGCATTTGGGTTGGTTCCAAGTCTTTGCTACTGGGAACAGTACTGCAATAAACATATATGTGTATCTGTCTTTATAGTAGAATGATTTATTGTAGTTCTTTGGTATATAGCCAGTAATGGGATTGCTGGGTCAAATGGTATTTCTGGTTCTAGATCCTTGAGGAATCACCACACCGTCTTCCATAATGGTTGAACTAATTTATACTCCCACCAACAGTGTAAAAGCATTCCTATTTCTCCACATCCTCTTCAGCATCTGTTGTGTCCTGACTTTTTAATGATTACCATTCTAATTGGCATGAGATGGTATCTCATTGTTGTTTTGATTTGCATTTCTCTAATCACCAGTAATGATGAGCTTTTTTTCACGTTTGTTGGCCGCATAAATGTCTTCTTCTGAGAAGTGTCTGTTCATATCCTTCACCCACTTTTTGATGGGGTTGTTTTTTTCTTATAAATTTTTTTCAGTTCTTTGTAGATTCTGGATATTAGTCCTTTGTCAGATGGACAGACTGCAAAAATTTTCCCCCTTTCTGTAGGTTGCCCATTCACTCTGATGGTAGTTTCTTTTGCTGAGCAGAAGCTCTTTAGTTTAATTAGATACCATTTGTCAATTTTGGCTTTTGTTGTCATTGCAGAAGAGTGGTTTAAGAAAATGATGACAAAATTATTGGTTGTCACATAATCTTTATATTTGAATATTACATTATTTACATTTCAGCAATATTTTATACTTAATAATTTTTGAACCGACACTATAGCCAAGAATAAACATTTCAGAAATATTTTTATATTTGTAAAAATTATTAGCTATAATTATGACACTGTCCTTTATAGATGAACAACAGTCAACACTATCTCCAACCCTGATTATTTTCCTAAGTTCTACTCCTAAAATGTTAAATATCTATGATGTATTTCTGTAATAATTTCTGATGGCACCTTAAATTTGCTAGACTGAACACTGAACCACTCTACCCACTTTTCTGCATGTCCTTTTTCAGTGACTTCCAGCTACTGGCACCCTGGACTTTGACACAATATTAGACTTCCTTCTTCCCTGACTGAAGCATATAAATTATTTGTCAAAAGAGTTAACAGATATAGCCTATTCTACTTCTACTTCCTTCTATAATTTTCATTCTATTTTCCACTCTTTCTTCTAACACTTAAAGGTAAAACCTTATTTTTTTCCAAATTAAACTAATGGTAACACACTTACCCAGTTTATCAAAACATTTATTGGGCCTATTATGTACCAACAAGGCAAAATTGAAAACAAACAAATGAGTAAGATCATAATCAGGTGGGAAATGTAATGTTAAAAGATAACTACTGCATTGTGATAGGTACCAAAACACATGTATAGAGTAGACTGAGGGCAGAGTGGTTGGCTCTTTCTAGACAGACTGCAAGGTGTTTGCAGAAGTGACAATTTTCCCAAAAAGGGTGTTCTGAAGAGAAGATCCGAGTAAGGGAAATATAAAAGGTCAAAGGAAAGTTCAAGGAATGAATGAAGAAAACAGGAAAGAAAGATAATCAATGACAGGAGGTTTTAAATGAGAAGATAGAGTGAATGGTCTTGAAACAGAACATCAAATGATCTGAGACAAGAAGAAAAAAACAGATCAAACTAATAGACGGAGATAAAATTTATAAAAATGGAGCAAGAAAATGAGAGAGCAACCATCTAACTGTGAACTTAAATTATCTTTCAAATTTTATCTTCCAACATGTACTCTACATTCCAATGAATTCCCAACTATTCCTTATAACACTATGCTTTCATGCTTCCTTATCTTTGTTCATGCACACCTTCCTCTTAGCCTTTTCCATCTAATCTCCGTATTACTATATTACATGTTACTGTACTTCATGTATCTTGTCCAGGAGTCAGTCATTAATCCCTTTTATGTTTTCCATAGTTTTTGGCAACTGTAACACTTTCTATAACTCTCCAAAACCCACTGTTTCCTACTTCATACATTTATGTAATATATCCATCTTTTGATGGCAAAAGTCACATGCAATTCTTCTTGGTATTGAGTGTCTCATCCACAGAAAACCTTGATAAATATTTGTTAAATTAATAAAAGAATCAGTATATTTAAATTCTATTTAAATATTTTAATAAAATATAAATTGTTTTCCTATATTTATCTGCATCTATACTTATCTGTACCATTAATCTAAGAATAGAAACAGAATAGAGAAAGATAACTGTTTGTTAAGACCTCACATCTTAAATATACGTGCACCTACAATGAAGTACTAGATTAAAAGAATACCTAGATCGTGAGTTCGAGACCAGCCTGACCAAAATGGAGAAATCCCGTCTCTGCTAAAAATACAAAATTAGCTGCGCATAGTGGTGCATGCCTGTAATCCCAGCTACTTAGGAGGCTGAGGCAGGAGAATCGCTTGAATCTGGGAGCTGAGATCCCGCCATTGCACTCCAGCCTGGGCAACAAGAGCGAAACTCTATCTCAAAAAAAAAAAAAAAAAAAAAAAAATTGCCTAATGAAAAATCCAAGCTGGTTAGTCACTAATAGTTCTAGTTAAGATGAAGTACTTAATCAGTAACAATTCTCATTAAGATGAATTAATCACTACTAATTCTCATTAAGATAGATCAACTATCATGTAACAAATTAACATTCAGCCTTGGAAAAAAGTATAAAGGTACTGTTTCCTCTACTACGGAGAGAGACACAAAATATATACCAGAAATGTATTAAAAAGTAGAGTATCATTAACTTTTATTATCCAAGAAGAAAATGAAAGTTCTTCACAGAAATTTTTAAATATATCTTACATGCCATATTTAATCTAGTCTTGTAACCCACCCCAAATCATCTCTAGAGCAAGATCAGATACTGTAAATGACTATTTTGTTGTTCTCTCAACAATACAATTCTTTCCCTCAGCAAGTATGAACTAAGCAATAAAACACTCATTAGATTTAGCAGGTCGATCTATGTGAAAATACGTGCCTAAAACTGCTAGACTGTCTTCAGAGCATTGAGGATCCCATTCTGAACTTCTGGACAAGGGAACAGGTAAGCACTGTTTGCAGTTCTGCCTCTATCCTTCTGTAGCATTGAGGTAAGTATCTATTACCTATTCTAAAATGGTATTTAAACAAACTACAATGCTTAATTCTGAGGAAAGTTTTATTCTCCAATAGGGTTAAATTTCCATATAAGAGATTATTTTCAATTCCAGATTACATATCTTGACTAATATTTACTTGTTATGATATAAATCTATAAGACTAGCTCATATTTTGTTATAATTTTAATATTTTCTTAAAACATATCTTGTATCAAATTTAATTACTTTAAAAATTTTAAATTAATGTAGTATATACTGCTATTTACAACTCCATCCCTGAACAATGAACAAATATGAAAAGGATAAAATATTCTGTTTACTAAAAGAATGTCAAAAAATTGTATTATAAAACCTTTGAGAAGTAAAATTTACTTCATAATACTATAAATTCAGAAACCATCAGGCATCATCTATTAGACATTTTAAAAACTCTTAATCATATGACTATGCTTATGATGCTTATATTGCAACAAAAATATATTTAAGAGAAAAGTATATATAATGTGCTTGCTATAAGTTATTACAATAAATTAAATAATACTTCTTTTTTAAGATCTAAGTGCACTGAAACCTACATGAGTTAGATGAGTTATTAGCAGGATGGATTTGATCAAAGTTACCCATGTGAAATCAGAAACTAAAAAGTCTACAAGAGATCTCAGAGTAAACAAAATGATAAAGAAAAAATACCGGTAAGATCCTAATGGTATGTTGAATTCATTTTCAGGTGAGGCAGTTCCCAATAAGGTATCCCCTTCGTAAACAGACAGTGGGACTGAAAAATGATTTCTTATCTGGGAAAGAAAAACAAATAATATTTAGTACCATTAATCTAAGAATCTACAGATGTGTAAAAAAAATGTCCATGTAAATATCTTAACAAAGGAACTATCAGGCAATATTCATCTTGCTTATGTAAATTAGAAAAGAAACAAACATATTATTTATCCTAAAACATACAAGAAAAATTTCTACAGTTTTATATAAAAGGAATCTCAAAAACAGACTTTAAGCATCCTACAGGGGAATAAGATAATATCTCCTTCACTTGAGGATAGAGACTAATTTGTTTAGAGATATGTTTTTGTTTAGACAAAAATAGTAGGAAAAAACACAGAAAAAAATAAAAATTTTAAATATTTGTATGGTAAAAGTGACAATCTACAGGCTGGCAAATATCTGTAATATACTTGACAAAGGGTTTATAACCACTACATACTCAAAAATCCTAAAAATCATTAAGAAAGTTGCAATCAAGAGGAAAACAGGAACAGAATGTAAACAGATGATTCACAGAATGGAAAAACTGACCAATAAAGAGGAAAAGATACTTGACATTACTAGTAATCAAGAAAATACAAATTACATTCATAGAATATCTTTTAATACCAACAAACTGCAAAAATATCAGAAATAAGGTAATATCAACAGTTGGAAATGATGCGAACAGGAACTCATATACACTAGTGGTAGAATGTAAATTGATAAAATAACTCTGAAGAATAATTTGACAAAAACTTAGTAAAAATGAAAATGTACTTTCTTCTTAGCAATTCTGCTCCTAGTGCCATACCTAGAGAAATGTTTACACATGTGTATTCATTTATTGTTTACTACACTCACTCAAGACACCGATGTTCACTACACCACTGATTTTATTATAAAAAAATGAAAATGAAAACAATCTCAACAATGGAAAAATAAGAAAATTTTCTTCAAATTGATATAATCATGTAACATCATTAAAATAATGACCTATGTATCAGTATATGGTTACACTTCAAATATTTGAATGAAAACAGAACATAGCATAACAAGGTGAACAGTGTAACATTTCTGTAAGACACTAAAAACACAAGTATGTACTTTCTGGACAGGAAGTAGTTTTTAAAATACGGTACTAGAAATATACACAACATATCACCAAACTGATATTGCCTCAAGGAAGAAGGAAGGAGGGAATGTGGACTAAGAAGGGAAACCAAACAGTTGGCTTCAACTTCATGCATTTTTTTAAAATTTAAGGGAACCACTTTTAAACGTCAATATTTTTAAAACTCCATGGTGTGGATGGAGACATCTGTATTATAATAAACTTCAAAGTCCACTATCAAACCAATAACCAACATCCAGAGCATTCCACAACAGACATTAACTGTAAGTTTTCCAACATATTTTCTGATTATAAATATAATTCCAAATAAATTTCACATTCAACTTATCACTGATGTAAATGGAGCCTATTAAGAAACACATGCTTCTAAATGGTGCCTGTTTGGAATGTGAAGTTACTTACCAAAGTCTGATATTGCTTCCTTTGTTTTCCCTTTCAGATTTAGTGTGGAAAAAGTTGGTTGGAAGCTGAGAATAAACTAGCAGTTGAAATTTCAAGGAAAGATCAAAGGTCTGGAAAACGGAATGAGCATAAGCTTGAAAAGTCTAAGGGAGCAGAGGAAAAGGGAACATCCGTCTGTATAAAAGTGGGTGGGCACAGTGGCTCACATCTATTATAATTCCAGCACTTTGGGTGGCTGAGGTAGGAGGATCACTTGACCTCAGGAGTTCGAGACCAGTCTAGGCAATATGGTGAGACTCTGTCTCTACAAAATATTGAAAAATTAGCCAGGTATGGTGGTATACACATGTAGTCCGAGCTACTGGAGAGGCTGAGGTGAGAGGATTATTGAGCCTGGGAAGTCAAGGTTGCAGTGAGCATTGATCATGCCACTGCACTGCTGGGCGATTAAGACCCTGTCTCTCAAAAATTACAAAGATAAGAAAGAAACAAAAGCATGCTGCAGGTAAGCTATCTTGCTGGAACAATTCCTAAAGTTTATGATTACGCAACAGCAATATGATAGCAGAATGAACATAGATGTTAAAGTGAAACAAACCTGAGATAAATACTGGCAGTGCTAATTACTAGCTGTGTAACTGTGGGCAAATTTTATTTTGAATAATACCATTTCTCCTGACTATCAAAAGTAGTAAATTCATATATACGCATACCTTGTTTTATATGTTTTGCTTTATTGTGCATTGCAGATATTTCATTTTTTACAAATTAAAGGTTTATGGCAATCCTGTATCAAGCAAGTCTATTGGTGCCATTTTTCTAACAACATGTGCTCACGTAGTGCCTCAGTGTCATATTCTGGTAACTCTCATGATATTTCAATCTTTTTGTTATAATTATATGTGCTATAATTAATAAATGTGTGTGTTCTGACTGCTCCACAAATTTGGACATTCTCCCTACTTTCTCCCTCTTCTTCAGACTTCTCTATTCTCTGAGACACAATACTATTGAAAATAGGACAATTAATAACCCTCCAATGACCTCTTTCAAATGAAAAGAAGAGGCACATGTCTCTCACTTTTAAATCAAAAGCAAAAGCTAGAAATGATTAATGTTAAAGAGAAGTGCATGTCAAAACCAGAGATGGGCTAAAAGGTAAGCCTCTTGCATCAAACAGCCAAGCTGTGGATGCAAAGGAAAAGTTTTTGAAGAAAATTAAAAGTCCTAACCCAGTGAACACGCAAATGACAAGAAAGTGAAATAGCCTTATTGCTAACAGGAAGAATATTCTAGTGGTCTGGATATGACATGATTTGACTACATCTCCCACCCAAATCTCATCTTGAATTGTAATCCCCATAATCCCCATGTGTCAAGGGAGGAATCAGGTGGAGGTAACTGGATCATGGGGACAGTTTCCCCATGCTGTTCTCATGATGGTGAATGAGTTCTCACGAGATCTGATGGTCTTATAAGTGTGTGGTAGTTCTTCCTGCATTCACTTCTCTTTCCTGCTGCCTTGTGAAGAAGGTGCCTTGCTTTCCATTTGCTTTCTGCCATGATTATAAGTTTCCTGAGGTCTCCCCAGCCATGCTGCACTATGAGTCAATTAAACCTCTTTCCTTTATAAATTACTACGTCCTGGGCAGTTCTTTACAGCAGTATGAAAACAGCCTAATACAGGATAGAAGATCAAACCAGCTACAATATTCCCCTAAGAAAGGCCCTAACTCTCTTCAATTGTATGAAGGCTGAGAGATGCGAGGAAATAGCAGAAAAAAAGTTGGAAGCAGAGGTTTGTTCATGAGGTTTAAGGGAAGAAACCACCTGCATAACATACAAGTGCAAAGTGAAGCGGCAAGTGGTTGCAGCAAGTTATCCAGAAGGTCTGGCTAAGATCACTGATGAAGATGGCTACACTAAACAACAGATTTCCAAACTAGACAAAACAGCCTTCTCTTGGAAGAAGATGACATTTAGGACTCTCATAGCTAGAGAAGAGAAGTAAATGCTTAGCTTCAAAGCTTCGAAGGACAGTCTGAATCTCTTGTTAAAGGAATAATGAAGCTAGTGACCTGAAGTTACGCCAATGTTCATTTACCATTATGAAAATCCTAGGGCCTTTAAGAATATGCTAACTCTACTCTGTGCTCTATACCTGGAAAAACAAAGCCTGAATTTGAAAGCACATCTGTTTACAGCATGGTTTATCGAATTTTTAAAGCCCACTACTGAGACCTATTCTCAGGAAAAAAAATCCTTTCAAAATGCTATTGCTCATTGGCCATGCACATTGTCACTCGAGTTCTGATGGAGATGTACAGGAGATTAATGCTGCTTTCATGCCTGCTAACACAACATCTATTCTGTAGCAAATGGATCAATGAGTAATTTCAACTTCTTAATATTATATATAATATTGTATATTTGACTTAAATAATATTAGTCTCATTATTTAAGAAATACATTTTTTAAGGCAACAGCTCCCATAGACAATGATTCCTCTGATGGATCCGGGCAAAGTAAATTGAAAACCTTCTGGAAAGGATTCTTATCCAGATGTCATTAATAACATTTGTGATTCATGAGAGGAGGTCAAAATAACAACATTACCAGCTGGTTCCAACCCTCATGGACGACTTTGAGGAATTCAGGACTTCAATGGAGCAAGTCACTGCAGATATGGTAGATATACAAGACAACTAGAATTAGAATTGGGGCCTGAAGAGGTGACTGAATTGTTGCAACTTTCTTTAGAGAGAAAAGTATGAAGAGTATCCCATCCAGTGAGTAGCAAAAAATGGTCAGGCAAAAATGTATTATTCTGATTAATATATACATAATAATCAGAAAACCTCCAACTACTCATATTTATCTTTGGAATAGACAACAACAAATTGTTTAGTAAAACAATTTTCTTATAATCTTTCTATATCTTACCAAATTCTACTTTAAAAACATCATAGCAGCATATGAAACATGAGAATTAGGAATTTGATAAATGAATAATCTTAACTGTACTCTACTTTTAATTCTAGAAAAACTATTTGCTCTATACATTTGAAGCAATAGAAATATGTCTATACAAAGTACCTGTAAGAAATTCAAAATCCACATTCAACTATTTAACTAAATGGCAAAATAATCAACGGTAATGAGTGCGGCTGTTAGTCACCTTTTAAAATAGTTACCTAAATAAAAAGTGAAAGAGAAGGGATATCTGTTTTCAGCCATCCTAGAATAACAGGGACCAGATATAGCTTCCCACCCTATCAACTAAAAAGCAGGAAAACAAACAACAAACATCAAACCACAGTTTCAGATAAGGCACAATAGGCAGCACAAGTGAAAAACAAAAACGAAAACGAAAAAGCTACAGAAGCTATGACTACCCAGCTTGCTGTCTGGAGAGTGAGTTTCTAGTCTGCTGTGTGAGAAGCAGGCAGCCAAGTTGAAGAGACAAGATCTGAAAATCTAGGGAAGCCAATGTGACTGAAATTCACAGCATATTGTACTGGAGGGGAGAGACCTGCATGGAGAGGCAAGAGCTGTACAGACAGAATTCTGGAAAACTGAGTGTCTCTTCCATGTCAAAACTTCAGCTGAGTCATGACCAGGACATGTGTAGATTATCTAAGGCTCAGTAAAGATCCGCCTAAAAGAAACAGGAAGAACAAAGTCCGGTTCTGATATATACAGTAGTTTTAGGTAACCAATAAAAAATTACCAGGTACATTAAAGGAATGAAAAAATTACCATAATGAAAAGAAACATCAATAAAATGAAACAAACCTGAAATGACACGTAATAGAATTGGTAGATGAGGACATTAAAACATTTATTAAAATTATATCCAATATCACTAAAAATTTAGAAGACTAAGTATGCTTAAAAGAGACACTGGAAAATAAAAAACCAAAAAAATTCATACTATTGAGAAAAATGTATCAGATGGGGTCAAGAGCAGATTGGCCACTGAAAAAGAAAACGGAAACTGAAGACTTAACAAGAGAAACTATCAAAAAAGAAATGAGTAAAAAGCTGAAAGGAAAAACAAACAGAGCATTACTGAGCTGTGGGGCAAGTTCAAACACCCTAATATGCACCTAACTGGAACCTAAAGGAGAGAAGAGAGGGCAAAAACAGAAAAAATTTTAGAAACAATGGCAAAAAGTTTTCTAAAGTTGATCAAAACTATAAATCCATGATTTTAAGGTCAGTAAACCCCAAATACAAGGAACATGAAGAAAACTACACTAAGATTCATCATAACCAAATTGCTTAAAACCAATGATAAAAAAAGAAATCTCAAAAGCAGCTAAAGAAAAGGCTGACACATTTTGTAGAAGAGCAAATACAGGAAAAAAAGCAGACTTCTGATCAGAAACAATGCAATACAGTAGACAGCAGAACAACATTTTTAAAGTATGGGGGAAAAACTCTACCAATCTAGATCTCTAGGCCCAGTGAAAATATCTGTAACACATATATGTGAAATAAAAACTGAAAGAATTCATCATCAGCAGATCCACGCTGTGAGATTACTGAAAGAAAAAAGTGATAATAAATATCAAATACAGTTTGTATTTTAAACCAATTTAAAACATAATTCATTAAATAAAAATAGTAACTTGTATTATGGGGTTTTGGCTAACATACATAGACACAAAAATGTATGAAAATAATTATGCAAATGTGGGAGATGAGAAGTGGAAGTATACTGGTCTAAAGTTTTGATTCTGTATGTGAAGCGGCAAAGTACTACTTGAAGGTAGACTAATACAATATGTGCGTAATAAAGCCCTAAAGTAACAACAACAACAACAAAAAAGGCAAGGAAGTATAAAGAGATACAGCCAATAACCAACAAGTAAATAAAATGAATTCATAACAAAAATGCTCAATTAATAAAAAAAAAAAAAAAAAAGAGAAAGAGAAAACAAAAGGAAGATGGACGCAAAGAACAAATGAGACAAATAGAAAAAAAAATGGTAAGTTTAAGCCCAACGACATCAATAACAACTTTTAAATATAAGTGGTTTAATTTTCCTTGTTAAAAGGCACAGATTTTCAGATTAGGTTAAATTAAAACAAAAACAAAAATAAAAACACAAGGTCCAACTACATGATGCCTACAGAAACCCCACGTTAAATACACTTTAATACACAGGTCCCCAGCCCTTCACCCATGGGCTAGTACCAGTCTGTGGCCTGTTAGGAAGTGGGCTGCAAGGCAGGAAGTGAGCAGCAGGCTCGAGAGCATTACCGCCTGAGCTCTGCCTCCTGTCAGATCAGCCACAGCATTAGATTCTCACAGGAGCGTGAACCCTATTGTGAACTGTGCGTGCACGGGATCTAGGTTACATGCTCCTTATGAGAATTTAACTAATGCCTGATGATCTGAGGTTAAATCCAGTACTGTGAGTGCTTGCCTGATTTTTGTTTCTTATGGTGTTTTTTTCTGTGTAGACAGTTGTTAACTTGGTGTCCCTGCAGGGGGCAGGGACACACATGGGTGGAGGTTTCTATTCTTGAGAAAGGAATCCTGAGACCATATGCCCCAGCCCCCAACCTGTGGAAAAATTGTTTTCCATGAAACAGGCCCCTGGTGTCAAAAAGGTTGGGGACTGCTGCTTTAATGAGTTAAAAAGTTAAACAATGAGAGGCGGAGCAAGATGGGGGAATAGGTGTGGTGGTGTGCACCTGCAGTCCTAGCTGCTCGGGAGGCTGAGATAGGAGGATTGCTTAAACCCAGGACAATGTGGCTCCAGTGAGCCATGATGGCACCACTGCACTCCAACCTTGGGCATAGAGCAAGACTCAAGAAAACAAAGGAAGACAGAAAGACAGACATTAAAACTGTAGACCAATATCCCTCATGAATATAAATGCAAAATCTAACAATATACTAAAAGGTTAGTAAGACATCATGATTACGTGAGATTAATCCTAGGAATGCAAGTTGATCTAACATTTAAAAAAATCAATGAATGTAATTCATCATACTAACAATTGAAAAAAATGTATCCTCCTCTCGCACAGAAAAGGCATCTGACAAAAAACAAAAATCGACTCTGATAAAAACTCTCAGCACACTAGGAATAGACAGGAATGTTTTCAATGTAAGAAAAGGCATCTACAAAACTACAACACAAATCATGTTTAATGGTGAAAGAATGGACAAGGCAAAAACATAAGACGTCACCACTTCTACTCGAATTGTATTCTAGCCAGTGTGATAGGCAATATAGACAAGATAAAATAAAACACATCCAGATTGGAAAGGAAAAAGTAAAAATGCCTTCATTTGCAACTATCGTAACTATCTAAATCTACACAAATCTACTAGAATACCTGAGTCTAGTTAAGACTGCAAATAGAGGTTAATATAATCTGTATTTCTAAACACTACCAATGAGTAATCAGAATTTAAAACATTAAAAGACAAGCCAATTTTATCCAGATTTTTGATAAAATTGATAACCTGATTCTCAAGTTTAAAGAAAAATGAGAAGGAACTAGAATCCTCTGGAAAAAAATCCATATGGTGAAAAAAAACCCAAAACCTCAATTCTTAACCTCACACTGTATACCAAGGTTCACTCAAAATGGATATGTGGCATATCCATATAAAGATGACTACTGAGAAACAACATGTAACTGCATGTAACAACATGGATACACATAAGTTGACACACACATAAAAAATTTTTCTGAATGAAAGTCAAATTCCATCTGTACTGTATTCAACTTATGTAAAGTCCTAGGCCATATAACTAATGTACAATGAGGACAGATCAGTGGACGCCTGGGAATGGGAAAGTGGAGAAATAGAAAATTTTTCTAAGAAATAAATGTGTTCATTACCTTGACTGTGATGAAGGTTTCAAAGGTGGATTTTTGTGTCAAAAGTCATCAACTTTAAATATATGTAGTTTATTGTACATACCTCAACAAAGCTGTAAAATTTTTTTATTTCTCTATGAATTATCTAATCAAATAGAAAGGATATAAATACATTACAAAGACCTAAAGCAAAACACTGATGAGTATTTTATTTATAAAAAATATCCTAAGAAGATTTTACAAAATATTCCTATTAAAAAATTATAAGAAGTATATCAAACAAATTCCTACCACTGGTCATATCTGAGTAGTGCAACTGCTGGTAGTGACTCTTCTTTTGATATCAGCTGTATTTCTGCTACGGTTTATATTCTTTCAGTAATAATTTGCTTTGGTGTTTTTCTCTTTTTTAAATTTTATTAGCACACAGATATGCATAACAGGACATCCCCCAAAATTGATCATTTCATACCTGCACTGGGGAGCGAATTGTGACCTTCTTACTTCCTTCCACTGTATCAATTTGACAAACAATAGATCTTTCAACTCCAGACTCTCTGTGTCTTACAGTGTACAGACGTCGTCCCACTTTTGTTAAAGGAATCTTATCAGCAGTAGAATGGTTAACAGGTGCTAAATTAAATAAGTATGTTTAAAAGTTTTTATTATAATTCATTAAATATTAATTTTACATATGTTATATATTAGAAATTTCAGATGATTCTTAAACTTATAAATAATAGTCACTAAAGTCTTCGGATATAGTCCGTAAAAGGGATATTTTAAGAAGCCACCATATATTTCCACAGCATTCATTAAAAAATCCCATTCAGGAGTTTAACCCAAGACAACAAGAGCAAACCTTTCCAAAATGAGTAACGAGAGCAAGTACTATAAAATACAAGAATATTGATCTCTGGCTTGCTGTAAGAATAACCAGAGCATAATAGCTTTTGGTAGACACTGGTAAATATCAAGGTGACTACAATTTTTGTTTTTAATTTTTCCAACAACTTGTGTCACTTTTCCTTTATATCTTGGACTTGATTACACAAAATTTTATATATATTTACCTAAAACACATGTTGTATTGGGGATGAAATTACTTGCATAAATTTCATTTACCATCCCATTCATAAAAATGTAAAAAAAAAGAGGTAAAATTTATGAGAACATTAAGTACATTATGACAATACCTGAAACACCTGTTACATGTTATTTTCTAACTAGAAACACAAGCTATTTTAGTAGCCTACCCTCCCATGTCTAATTAATCTTCTAAATGATGCCCTCCTCAATAACTACTTAAATGCCAGAGTATCAAAAAGTGATGTAGGTGAGGCTTTGGGACTATTTAACTTCACAATGACTACATATTATGATAATTTAAGAATGTATATATTTCACCTCCAATAAAAATGAAAAACTTCTAGGAAGCAGAAAAGACAAAGGAAAAAACCTACATCTCAATAGGCAGAACATTTAAAAAAAAACTATTTACAAATCCTAAAACCATTAAAAATTGCCATTTGCATGAATTCAAACTTTGAATTCATTCAGTTGCAAAACTAGTGGAATACCATCAAGTGATACCAAATGTGAATAAAAGAATCCCCACAAACATCTAAACATCTATGGTCTATAAAAGCTGAACGAGGGTGAGATCTAATACTTTTCCTCCCAACAACAAAGCAGTAAATTGCCATTCTCTGAATAATGCAGTGGATAAAGAAAAAGTTTGGAATACAAAGTTTTAGTAATGACACACTGCAACCAAGACACTGCAAAGACAAAAAACAGCTCTTGACCTATTAGAAAGGAGAGTTTAAAACAAAAAAAAAAACAAAAAAAAAAATCTTGCTAAGATTCTACAAAAGAGTAAAATAACATGTAAATTGTAATTTAAAACAAAAGAGCCCCAGGAAGGTAATACAGCAACTACTTACTAAGAAGAATGAAGAAGAGTTTGCTGCTTAGGCTGGTCATTGCATTGAAATGATCATTGTCCTTGGTTCGGACATAATCCATACTTAAACTTTCTTCATTTTTCAATACATATGATTTTGCCATAGGAACGTTGAGTACACTAAAAGAATCACTTGGCGAAACAGAGATAGTAAGTCCAAGGGAATTTAAAATTATAAATGGTGCTAGATCCTTTACGAAGTCAGCTGAAGATCCAGTGGCAGCTTCTGTAAATGCCTAACAAGAAAGAGTTATCTTAAATAAAATGAAATGTGTAAAATTAAATGACAAGGAGAACAGTAGAGGACAAATGACAAATAACTAAGTCATTAAACTTCTTATTCAACAGATAGATCAACTCAGACAAGTATCTCAATATTTAAAGTTTCAAATTTCTTTACTTACCTTGACTAAGTTATTTAACATTACAAGACCACATTTGGATAATGTGATGTTTAATTGGTCTTTTGAATGGAAACTAATGACAGTTTTATATTCTGGCACTTTGTAGTTTTCTTCTTCAGGATCTGACTCAACAATGGCCTTTTTGGCTTTCTTTTTCATCTAAAATGATAAATCACAGAAATACAAGAAAAAATTATTTCTAGAAACACAACATAACTAGACAAATCTCAATAACAACATTAGAGAGATCAGTACATTTTATCTTTTCTAATTTCAGTAAGTTCTACTGCCTTACTGAAATTACTTGGACATCAGCCAACTAAGGTCACACAGGACAGAAATATTAGAGAAAATAAATCATGTCATCCTCAGTGATAGTAAACTGGCAGATATAATTCAGAAGGAAAAACAAAGACCTAGAATTACTATGTGTACCTGGCATCTGAATATAAAAGCACATACTTCAAAGCAACATAAAAACTCAGAAAACAGTAACTTAATGTATTGGTCATGCTAATAAAAAAGAACAGAAACATGGAGACTTACAAAGGCAGGTAATAGTAGCAGAACAGTGTTATAAACCTAGAGCTCATAAGAATCAATACCCTTTACCATTTTTTAGGAGTCACAGATCCACTGACCACGTGTATTCTAACCTAAAAACCATCAAGGAATTCCTTTTAAAATCCTTCATCTAAAATATCTGGAAAATAAAATTAAATGATCTAATACGAAAAGAGTTCAACATGCTAAGCTAGCCACCTCTGCTGTTACTTTAACTGGCTTTAAGCCACTGAAAATCTGTCTGCAGGTTGACCAAGTCATTATTAGGTAGGAAATACGTCAGTAATTCTGCAGTCTCTTACTTCAGAAGCAAAATTTCATCCATCTAAATGCCCCGATTCTCATAATTATATAAATACACAATATATTTCAAACAAATAATACACATTCTTCCACACACACGCACACATACACACCTCCCCAGAGGATGAAGGAAACTCAGGATAGACAACAACTTACAAGAAGATGACAGAGGCATTATAGCATAGTGGTTTAGAGTGGATTTAACCCCTCTGCAGCTGGATTTGCATCCTATCTCTTCCACTCTGTAGCTTATTACTTCAAGAAGTCTCTTAACCTCCCTGGTCTCAGTCCCTTCACAAGTCAAACTAGGGATAAAAACTCTATCTTCCTCCAAGAGTTGCTGTATCTGGCACATAATACTTGTTACATAATTGTATTAGAAGCATAGGAAACATTGGCCTGAGATTTGAAAATTACATTAAGAGGGCAAAAAGGAAGCATGTGGGCAAGGCCCATGATGAGATAACCTGAACTTTGTTGTGATTAAAATAAAGTGTCTAATATGGCATAAACATTCTCAATTTTAGAAAATTTTTTCAGACTTCAAATATACACTGATGGGGGAATGTTAATAAAGGAGGAAGCTATACATGTGCAGAAATGGGGGTATATGGGAAATCTCTGTTCCTTCTTCCCAATTTTGCTGTGAACCTAAATCTGTTCTTAAAAAAAGTAGTCTTTTAAAATACATACATACATGTATATACACACACACATATATATATACCTTGATACCAAGATTCCACGGTCTAAAATCCTCAGTCTGATCAATTTCTAAGGGTTCAAGCAAAGGCTCCCACACACCAAACATTTCATTATAATAATGCACCTATAGAGAGAATTTTTTAAATTAAAAATGATTTACTATCCTGCTTCCCACCATGTTTTTTAGCCCTGTTATTTCTTCTATACGAAAACCAGTTTACATGCCATTCAGTAGCTTCCTATAAACACTCCCTCAGCATTTTCCTCACCTGGCTAACTTCATAGTACATATTCGCTCTTCACAATTTACTCCAGATAAAACCCCCTTTAAAGCATCTTTGCTTGATTCTACATTATATAAAAGTATAAGGCATATCTTTCTAACTCTTTATATTTCTATCAGAAGAGATTATTATCCACATATTCAGAAATTCTGTCTATATCCTCAAAAAAAAAAAAAAAAAGATAATACTTTAACTCTTTTTTTTTGAGGCTGGGTCTCACTATGTCCCCCAGCCTGCAGTGCAGTGGCACGATCTCGGCTCACCGCAGCCTTGATTTCCCAGCTATTCTCAAGTGATCCTCCCACCTCAGTCTCTTGAATAGCTGAGACTACAGGTGTGAGCCACCACCATTGGCTAATTTTTTGTATTTTTAGTAGAGACAAGGTTTCACCATGTTGCCCAGGCTGATCTTGAACTCCTGGGCTCAAGCGATCCTTCTGCTTTGGCCTCCCGAAGTGCTAGGATTACAGGTGTGAGTCACTGGGCCTGGCCTCAACTTTAACTCTTAAAAAAAAGAATTCTCAATCTAATCAACAACTGTTGAATAATATATTACCTTTAAGTTGATAAAATCAGTTGAAATACAAACTTAATGTGGAGATGTACTTTAAAAGTGAAAGGACTGTATACATAAAAGCAATTATTCAAGGGCAAAATTTGAAAACTTTTTTCTAAAAGTTTTTGACCCAACATCATATTTACAATAAGCTTAATTTAAATAGCTACATAAGATTCCATAATATTCCATATGTATCATTATCTGTTATAAAACTGGAAAAATATGCTTACTTCTAGCTCAAGCTGACAGTGCAGATTTATTAGGGAACTCCAGTTTTTGCCTTCCCCTGAAAAACGTGACTTTGCCAGAAGCATAGGCACTGTTCTATGACCAATTCCAGCCTCAAGAACTATAAAAATAGAATCAATGTTCATTTTTATCATCTCGCCTTTGGGTACCAATTCAGTTGTGGGAGCTATTTTTTCAGTTTCATTTGATTCTTCAAGAAACCACATTTTTAAAGTCTTTGTATCCTTCTTTTCCCATAAATGTGCAGTAGAAGAAGCTGTTTCTTCTGGGATGGTTTCCTTAGTTGTATACAGTGCTGAAGTTATGGTAATCATAGTATTTATAATAACTGGTGAAACCTAAATGGAAAAAAACCTAATGATAAATCTATACAAAATACTTTGAAACATACTACTTCAAGAAATATTAAATACACTTGCTGAAGGAATTTGAGAAATTAAATATTGAATTAACATTACTACCACAAAATAGTAAAATGTTTATACAATTTTTAAATTACCATAACTAATTGTGACTTGTTAAAATATTTACACGAATCTTGTAGATATTATTAAACTGATGAAGTATAAAATAATTTCAATAATATTTATTAGGGATATTAGATGTTAACCACACAAACGTATTTAATAAAATACAGAATAACATTCATCATAAAATGTGTATTAAATAATGTTACTTTGTAAATATCTCATAAAAATATATTTTCAAAAACACAAATACATCTATTTTGTTTGCCTAACAATGAAAAGACTTGCTATAATAACTTTCTAGGCTTTTCTACTTTTTTTAAATGCACTGAATATTCAAATGATTATATTTTAATTTACCTTTAGTGTCAGGGATTTTACTGACATATCGATCACTTGTGGATCTGTACCTGCCTGAGTAGTTTGATAAAACAAGTCACAGGGCTGCAAAACCTATGAGAGAAAAATCAATACCACTAAATTAATGTTTAAATATAAAAATATTTCTATTTAAAGACTTTCCTAGTAATAGGTATGTCAAATAAACGAGTTAATAAAAACAACTATTTAAAAAGTTACTTAATAATACACTCCTTAACTGTCCCATAGGAAGGACCTCTAGAACTTAATATCTGTTGTATTCTTCCACAGTAATATAAGTTTTATCTGAGCACAAGGTAGCTCGGAAAAAAATACCACATTCTCCAACCTTTATTGCAGCAAAGTGTGGTCATATAGTTATGTTGAAGCTAAAAAAGATGTGAACAGAAGAAATATATATGTAAAACTTCTAAGTCAAAACCTAAGAGAGACTTGGTATACCCTCCATTTTCTATTCTCTCTCTTTGCTTAGTGGAGGGCCAACCGTCTTGCAAATTTGGGCAACAGTTTATCTTACATCCTAACTAATATACATGTATTCATTGTGTCAAAATTACATCTTATATTTATATGGTGACAATGTTTAGAACATTTATGTTTCTGTAGACGCATACCAAGCATCAGGAAAAAAATACAAAGAAACAAACAAAAACATATGTTTCCATTACTCCTTTAGAAGTTCACATATTTTTGTAAGTATTTGCTGGGAGTCAGCCAGTTCACTTGAAAAGATGTCTATAAAGGAATGAATTTTAAGTAGAGTTATAAAGAGGAGGAAGGCCAAGAGGTTACTAGAGAGTAAAGTATCAACGTGAACTATGTCAAAGCAAATGGCCAAAAGTTCAAAAGACATTACATGGAGACAAGGAAAAACGCATTATTTGAGCAAAAACACCCAGTTAAAACAATAAAACTGAAACAACACAGCAAACAACTGGCAGAAAGTCTTAAAAGTCCAAAGAGCTATTTGGAATTGACATGATTAGAAAGTCAAAGTAAGATCTTAACTGAAAAGTGTCAAGATGAACCCAACTTTTTACTGAGAATATTCCCACAAATACTAACAATAATGAGCAACATCTGGAAGAATGAAAGAGTTTCAAAGCTGGTCAATAACATTCTAAGCTAAGCTCTCTAAGCAGAGAGAAAGACATTTTACAGAGCAAGGTTGGAAAACATGTAGGTAGTTTTTGTTTCCTAAATAGTTCACAATTAAGCAGATGATCAGATAGTTAACTCACAGTAGTGACTCTGCCTTTTCTCTTGATTGGAAGAAACGGGCAGGCTCTCACTTGGAGATCTTTAATAGCAGCAGTCATTGTGCTATTTTCAAGGTTACCTTTATAGCAAATTTCACATTGTGTTGTAATGACTAAGGCAGGAGCATCATTTTTTGTCATGTCAGCCACGAACACAATTTCAGGATTTTTAATAATAACATTAATTTCCCACTTCTCTAATTCCTGTGTAGGTACTAAAACAAATAAAAATAAATTAATAAATTAAAATATTTGCTATATATTATGAATAATTATTTATAAGAAAATAATAAAATGAAATAATAGTAAAAAGTAAAATAAAAGAATCTTAGATTCCAAAGGAATCAACTACAACCCTTAGTGAAGATTTGAAGAAGCTATAGGCATAAGAACATTTTTAAATGATGGGGAAATCTCCACTATTTAATTGGAAAGCCTAGACACTAATCTAGTTTCCAACTCTCAACTTGATACTCTTTCTACTGTACCACAGTAAATGACATATTACAAAAAGATAATAGAGAAACCATATGTTAAAAGCTAGGAATAAATACAAGAAAAATAAATGAGTGCTTTAAATTGAAATACTATCTTAATTGTGAAAAGGTATGGTTGGTTCATTATTCGCTCGCTTGTTTTTCTCCACTAGACAAATTCCTTCATGTTACTGCCTGAAGTACAATTACTTATTCTAACATAGATTTCGTAATTTTTAAATTCACACCTTTAAAAAAATGCAAACTATACAACCTCCCAGAAAACACATTAAGGTTTTCCTTCTACTCTGAAAAATAAAATTTTAATTTCTTAAAGCATTTACCTTGATGATCTAAAAGGCTAATCAAGGTAAGTCCTGTTGTAGCACTTCAATAAAACAAATATTAAATATTTTAGCCAATAACTAACCTTCTTCCTTAGCAGTCCATGTTTGCACACTGGTTTCTACAGCAGTGCCTGTGGTGTAGGCCTCAAGAAAGACATTTGCAACAGTCTGCAGAAATTCTACACTTGCACAAATATACATTTCTTGAAAGACTGCATCAGTCACACAGCCATCTCTGACTTTCCTGTACTTTATATCCATCATATCTTTTTTGTCAAAACCAACAGTCAGTCCTATCATTCTGGAAAACACAATAATAATTCCTTACATGAGTAACTTAGAAGTAATCAAACATACGAGTAAAACTTAAAGACCTCTTATCTCTTTCACTGACAAAAAAAAAGCATTCTGAAGTCATGTCTCTTGGGAAGATCCATAAAGTGTTCCAAATAACGAACTTACAAATTTCTGAAACACAAATGTATCATAAACTAGGAAGTGTATGTTCAATAAATTATGAGTTTTAATCTCAGGATATTTTTTCTTTTCAATTTTTCATATACTTCCCATTGCAATTAGCATGGATTAATAATAATTTATATTAGAGAATGTAATTTAAATAATGTAAAAACCAATTTAATTGCACTGATTATTTCTATTTACTCAACCAATCTATCAATTATTCAGTAAGAATAGCACATAACAGAATCAGGACATTTTAAATGTTAACTGAGTACTACGAGTTGATTGAACTGAAGCATTAAGGAACCTAGGATGCACTCAGAAAATGAACGTGCAACTCTGGAAATGAATTCTGTAAAATATATCAACAATCTCTCAAGTAAAACCTTAGAACATCATTACAATACATACCGAGGAGTTGCTTTCTTGACATGAGGCCTTTTATCATCTAAAATACAGTTTTTTAATGAGAAGGAAGAAAATGTTGAGTCATCTGTATACATTTTTAAAGTACTTATTATATTCTCCAATTTAAATTCAGCAAGTTTCAGAGAAGGATCCCGAACATCTGTAAAGGAAGCCTATGAAAGGAGAAATCAATACAAAATTACACAGAAACACAAGTCTAAAGTGTATTTTATGATATGAACTACTACAAATTATTGCCTCTGCTTATAACAAACCTCAAAATTCTCTGTCTCCAAAGGGCTCTAATGAAAGGCCAAAAATATATACATATCACTTTAATTTTACAATTTATTTTTCACATTATTAGCTACATGATAGATAACTCATTTAAAAGGGAAATGGTTACAATTATTATTAAAGTAAAAAGATCATTTTTCTCAGAGGGACAGATACTACAAAATACATGTTAAATATTAACATTTTTTACTTTAAAAACATCTACCTATGCAAATTTCACAAGTGAAAATACATTTTCTTTTCTTCCTGGACTTACTTGTTTAGGACCTGGACTATACAGCACCATGGTGAGATAATCAGTTTTGAAGCTCACGTTTAGTGTTGTCTTAACTAGGGAGGCACGTGAATGTACTTCTACCACGGCAGCTGTCACCACAGTTGCTCCTTGAAAAAATTAAAGTTATTTAATAAAAGAAAATATATTAAAAATTAGCTTATTAAAATATCCCTGAAATAGATTTAATAGAACTATTAATTAAACAGGTATAGTAAAATGACATTCAAGAAAATAAAATACTAGGAAATTCACACGTAAAACTCAGTTAACTTCTGGCTTAGGACTCTTTCCATAATAATTTGGGAATATTAATTGAACACTTGGTGTTTCTCTTTCCTTTTGATGCTTCTGTTTCCACTACGGTTCTGTTCCAAGGAAAAATAGACCTAATCACTGAATATGTTTTGGGGATTAAGTAAAATAGCACATGTAAAATGCATACTACAGTACCTGGCACATAATTCAGTATTCAAATTTTACTTTAAAAAACTAAAACCAAGAGACATTTAAAAAACTTTTCTACTTATGAGAAGAATCCAAAATTTGTTTTCTATATTTAAATTTTGAATCAAGACATTATATGCACATATTAAATGAGCTTAAAATTAAAACACACCACTTTCTAATTCTCGTTATATCTAACTTCAGAGAAAAGTACCATCATGCCAGGTAATGTATTTTCAATTGTGATAGAAATTTACATACAATGAAATATATGTATCTTATATGAACTATTTGATGAAATTTGGTAAGTGTATATATCCACATAACCACCACTTCAATTAAGATACTGAACACTTATATCCCTCTGGAAAGGTCCCTCTTAACACTTGTTAGCCAATCCTCAACCTCTCTACCATTCTAATTTCAATCATCATAGATGAGTTTTGTATATTTTTAAATTCCATATAAATGGAGTCATACAGATTGTAAAATTTTCTGTGTGGCTTCTTTCAGTCAACATAATGTTTTCGAGATTCAACCATGTTGTTCCATGTACAAGTGGTTCACTCTTACAGCTACTCATGCACTCTATGAAAAGAGTTTATCCTCCTATTGATGAAGATTTGAGTTGTTTCCAGATTTGGGCTACTATAAGTAAATCTGCTATACGTATTCCTAAATGAGTCATTTTGTGTATATATGTACTTATTTTGGGGTGCAGTGGGAGTAAATACCTAGGTCTGGAACTGCTCTGTTAAAGGTAGGTATATGTTAACTGCCAAACTCTTTGCCGAAGTGGTTATACTATTTCACGTTCTCATCAGTAGTCCATGAGAATTGCAACTGTTCCACATTATCATCAACCTTTGGTGTTGTCAGTCTTCTACAACTTAACTCATCTGGTGAAATGTGAAATTTTCCTGATAAATAATGGTATGAACAACCGGGCACGGTGGCTCACGCCTGTAATCCCAGCATTTTGGAAGGCCGAGGCGGACGGATCACGAGGTCAGGAGATCGAGACTATCCTGGCTAACACGGTAAAACCCCATCTCTACTAAAAATACAAAAAATTAGCCAGGCATGGTGGCAGGCGCCTGTAGTCCCAGCTACTCGGGAGGCTGAGGCAGGATGTCAACCCAGAAGGTGGAGCTTGCAGTAAGCCGAGATCGCACCACTGCAGCCTGGGTGACAGAATGAGAGAATGTAAACATTCCAGGAACGACTTAAAGACAAAAATGTATTCTGCAAGTGAGTGTAACATTATATTACATTAATTATGTCAAGTTTGTTGCCATATCTTATCATTTACCAAGAGTGGCGTGTTCAAATTGCCAACTATGATTCTGTATATGTGTATTTTCTTCTTTCGTTCTGTCATTTTGCTGCAGATATTTTATAGTTCTGTTATTAGGTATATACACATTTAGGATTGTTGCATCTTCTTTGTGAATTGACACTTTTATCATTATTTGAAAAAAAAACAAACCTTGTAATGAGTCATTCAAGAGAAAGATGAACCCTAAGTGGATATTTTCATGGTCTCAAGGAATCACGGCTAATTTTTAGGGTGATGACGTTACTATATTTAAAAAGTAACGTCCTTATTGCTTATGGAAAAATAGCAATCAATGGTATAATATCTGGGATTTGCTTTAAAATAGTCTTATAGGCTGGAGGAAGAAGGGGGAAGAGCAGAGTGAGGGCAGTAACAAAGCAGCCACATGATATTAATGAGTGAAAGTGGGTGATGAATACATGTGGGTTCATTACCTCATTCCTTCTACTTTGGTATATGTGTAAAAATTTCCAGAAGAAAATGATTAAAATAACATATTCAAACATCTATTTCTTGTTACATCAACTGCAGACATTATCTCTCAACTCTTTAAGCCTTTACTATTTGTTTCCCCTGAATCATCTTCCTCTTTACAGCATTGCTTAGTATTGTCTTTACTTCTAAGTTATCACGGTTCATAACATTTACTTTTTTATTTACATAAGAAGTCTTCGATGTGTTGTTTAACTGTGACCATGTAGTATTTTTCAATGAGACTTACACTAATACTGCCTCTGCTGCTATACTGTCACAATGAGTGCACCTCTGAAAAATAAGAGGTTCTCTTCTCACATTCTAACAATGGCTCAAAATTATGCAAAATTTAGTCCACTTCTGCACCAGGGTATAGAAATTTCTTTCTTAAGAACAGAAAACACTTTCTTCTCTGTATCAGTTATATAATATAGCTAACTCTGTATCCTACATACTATGTGGAATTCATGCTATTTTTCTTCTATAAGACATTCTTCCACATGGCTTTTTTTTTTCTTTCCTTAAAGCATTCTCATTTACTTTTTAATGAAAGCTAATTACTTTCTAGCCTATTCACACAGATAATTTGGAGATTCCTTTTCAATGCACTCCTGGGTAGGCCTAGGTTTTTTTAACCCCATATTTTCCTCTTTCCTAGATTCCCTGACTTGCTGAAATACATTTTCAGACTAATTTCTTTTACGAATGGGTATGAAGAACTCTAAGAATCTAAGAGTCACAGGAAATCTGAGAATTATTTTCACATTTTGGGTATTGGCTTGGCTGTGTATAGAATCTGAGCTTCAAAAACCACTTTCCTTAGAATTTTGAATACATTTCTCCATTGTCTTCCACCATCCAGGGATTCTATTCCATCATGTTTTATTGATAAATAAAAACAACAAAAATCAATCATGCAATCATTTTTTTCTAAGTCCCTGACAGGCAGCCTGTTTTTTTCTGAAACTTCAAAAAAATCTTAGCTTTACCATTCTGACATCTCATGAAAATGTGTTTGCATGTGGAATCTTAGTTTATCCAATCTGCTGGAAACTCAGTAGATTCATTATAGCCAAGAGCTTCCTTCAATATTTACTTAGGTCTGGACAGTTTACAGCAGTTCTCCCTTACCCACACTTTCAATTACCTGCAGTCAGGTCAACTGGGGTCTGAAAATATTAAGATACTTTGAGAGACAGATCACATTCACATAACTTTTATTACAGTATATTGTTAAAATTGTTCTATTAGTTGTTGTTCAACTCTTAGTGTGCCTAATTTATAAATTAAACTTTATCACACATATGTATGTATAGGAAAAAATATAGTTTGGGTACTATCCAAACATAGGTAATACCCGAAGTTTCAGGCATCAACTGGGGTCTTGGAACATATTCCCTGCAGATAAAAGGAGAGTACTATCTTCTTTAAAGAATTACCTTCCATTTCCTCAATTATTTCTTCTCTAACACTTACTCTGGAATTGGACTTTCTGAACTAAAACATCACTCTTAAGTTTGATCACATTTTCCATCCCTGTGCTCTTTTCTTCTCTGTCATGGGAGATTGCCTCGACCAAATATTCCAACTCAATACTTCTAATTCCATGTTTAGTGTTTTTGTTTTAAATTTTCAGCAATAATATTTAGATTTCCAGCAACTCTCCTATGCTTGGGTGAGCTGGTGGTGCTAGTGGGATCCATTTCTTATACTATCTTCTCAAAATCCTCTTAGAATGTCAGAGTTTGTTTTTTGTTTGTCTGCTTCCTTTACTGTCACCTCAACTATCTGTTTCCTTCAGAAAACACTATTCTGTTTATCTTAGTTTCATTCATGCTTGGGTTTTTTACAAGATTCTTCATATCTGACCATTCATATTTAACAATAAAGGACTGGTTTCATTATTCCAGCTAGTAAGGGTGGGGTTTCCTACAATGCTGTAAATGTAAAGCTGTTTTTCTGTTAGGATTCTCTGAGTAAAAATGCTGTGTAATACCTCAGGGCTTTGCAAAGGTGAGCCCTGTGAACTAGCAGGTTTCATTTTGAGGTAGGTAAGTCTGAGGATCCCCTATAATGCCAGAATGAAAACTTTATGCTTATGCAGCAAAGTCATCCCAGCACTAACTAACCCAATGTATGTGCTGGTGCTGAACTCAGAAACCAGCCACCTTCCATGGAGCACACTGGATCCAACATTAGATGAAGCCTCTTTCTGAGTTCTGCTTCCTTCTACTCCATTCCATCCATCTCCCAAATATTTGTTAAACTCCACTATCTACTAATGATGAGCCAGCCTCTCTTTGCACCTCTAATACTCTGATATTCCTAATATCAATATAAAAGATTTGTTTGGGATATATACCACACTAGGAATAGGGAGAAGATGGGGGAAGGAGAGAAAAATGGAAAATGAGGAGCTACAAGGAAGTCAGGAAAACATGAATATAGATTGAGGAATTTTGTTACAATAGGACTAGGAACTTTCATTCAAAGAAAAAAAAAACAACACAGTGACTAATGGACAATTTAGAGATGTCTGAATGGAATTAGCTGATTAGAAAGAGTCTTACAAATCTTATTTTGCCCAAACTAAAGAAAAAGAAGGAAAGGAGGAAGAAAGAGGGGAAGAAGGAGGGGAAGAAGGAGGGAAAAGATAGAGGGAAGGAGAGGGAAGAAGATAGAAGAAAAAGAGAGAAAGAGAGGAAAGCAGGAAGCAATTTGAAGTTTTAAAAACATACCTCCTGAATGGTGTGAAGCATTAGTAGTAACTCCACTAGTGGCACCATATTGGTCTTTTGTTACAGCAGGTGAGGCACTACCATCTTTTTCATACCATATATTGCCATGCAATGTTTTAAAAATAGTTGTTATATCTTCTTGACTAAGAATGAACTGTTAAACAAAAAAATTTGCTCTTTTTAGCACTGCTACTTCACTGAAGAATTTAACTACAGTTAAAATTCTCAGAAGAGAAAAATGAAAGACTGTTTCAATCCTCTACTACATCAATTAAACATTTTTACAAACTGAATTTTCAGTTTTCTAAATGACCATGTGCTCTTTAGTAGCTTGTGAAATATAGAACTAAATTAGGTGCTAACGCCAATGAAGTTATGAATAAAGAACTATTCGTTATTAATGCACCAAATAATCTAGTAATTTTAAACCTTTAAAATGAACTTTAGCTATCTATCTACTTTGGATTTTTTTGGTTAGTAAGTACCTCATTTTACAAATGTAGAATAATGAAAAATGATACATTTGGTTAATCAAAAATTTTAGAGTTCACAATGTGTTCTACATGAACTATTTTATTTGAACCTCGAAAACGTCCTAGGTATATGGAATATAATCCTGAAATTTATTTATTTTTAGTTAGGTAGTTAGTGACTGAGTCTCATTCTGTCACCCAGGCTGGCATGCAGTCATGCAATCCTAGCTCACTGCAGCCTCAAACTCCTGGGCTCAACCTCCGACATCAGCCTCCCAAGAAGCTGGGATTACAACCATGCACCAATGATGCAATCCTGATATTTATATTTATAAGACACTGAACCTAAATGGTTAATATGCTTAGGTCCACACATAAACTAGGAACTAACTCAAAGAGCTAGTAATTTCAGGCCAGATGCGGTGGGTCACGCCTGTAAGCCCAGCACTCTGGGAGGCCCAGGCAGGCAGATCACTTGAGGCCAGGAGTTAGAGAACAGCTGGGCCAACATGGTGAAACTCTGACTCTACCAAAAATACAAAAATTAGCCGGGTATAGTGCACACCTGTAATCCCAGCTACTCAAGTGGCTGACGCAGAATTGTTTGAACCTTGGAGGCAGAGGTTGCAGTGAGCCTAGATCGTGCCACTGCCCTCCAGCCTGGGCAACAGAGACTCTGTCTCAAAAATAAATAAATAAATAAATAAATAAAGATCCAATTTCAAATCCTAGCTGTTACAAACTTAGTCCCAAATCAACAGCATAAAACCTGACTTAATAGCTGTGATGGTTAATTTTGTATGTCACTTTGGCTCAGTCACAGTACCTAGGTATGTGGTCAAACATTAAATGTTTCTGTGAAAATATTTTTTAGAAGAAATTAATATTTAAATCACTAGACTCTAGGTAAATGAGATTACACTCCATAATGCAGGTGGACCTCATCCAATCACTTTGTATTGAAGTTGGAGACCTTTAATAGAAAAAGACCTCCTCCAAACAAGAATTCTGCCAGCAGACTGCCTTCAGACTTGAGCTCCAACACTACCTCTTCCCTGGGTATCCTTCCTGCTGGCCTACCCCGCAGATTTCGAACTTGGTGGCATCCTCAATCATGTACACCAACTCCTTAAAATAAGTCTCTCCCTTTTCCCTCTCTCTTTACATACACACACACTCTCTGTCTCTCTCCGGAGAACCCTAACACAACAGCAATCATGTAAAAAAGATCTTTGAGTTTGGCTCACTTCTAAGTTTGTCAAAACAACAAAAAGGATTAGTTATATTTTTAGCCGTTATGACCCCAAGGAGATAATTTGAATCACACAATATTTAACAAGTTTTACTTGTACCAAGCTTTCTCTGACTGCATTTCAAAGATGATACACTAATTTAGTGTTTTAAAATTAAGTCCATGTGTACCTTATACATACTACTGTTTTGGGTTTTTTTAAGCTTTCATTCCTTCATTCATTTATTCATGACGCTTATTTTGTAACTATGTAGGAGGCACTGCAAAAATAGTTCATATAAGCAGAAATTAAATATTACAATTTATAAACCATGTCTTCCAATTAATATCTGTCCATCGCATGCACCTCAAATACTGATTATTAATCGGCACTCTTCCTTCACTTTTGCCAGGAGCTCAGTGAAGGAAGTTCAAAGAACTGTAAGATCCCGGGGCTGCTGATCTGCAGTATCTACATGTCAGGACAGGCTGTGTATGCAACCACCGAAAATGTGACAAGTCAGAAATCACAAGCTGCTCCACTTGGTCTGGATGCGTTAGACTAATTGATTTCACAACCGATTCTAGCCTCTCCCTGACATAGAAGATGAGGCCCAGGAGGGAACAAATATCTGGGCTCTGGGGTGAGCTGCAACAGCAGCTAACCAACTACTCAGGTGAATTAGAGTAAGGGAAGCACCAACTTTATCCTAGAGGGTTGGCCTCAAAAGGCAGCTGGGCACTTGCAGATCGTCTGCAGCATCACCTGGACGTTCTGTATGGATTCCACCTGGGAGGAGCACGGGACAGCAGTGTCTTTGCTGCCCCACACAAATACACCTAATAACTGGGCCCAGTGGGGTGGCAATGGCCCCAGCATGCTGGGTGGAACATACTATTTATATTTTACAAGTTTCTATCTGTTATCTCACCAATATAAATAGACTTCAAATACTTATCTTAAGAAGATAACTTCCATCTCCTACCCTATAAGTTAAAGCAGCCATTATTATCTTACACACTAAGATTTTCACAATGCCATCATGTTTTATGCTCTGAATATACATTTGACTTAAAAGTCTGAAATCTCTGAAATGATGTTTTTCTCTTAATAAATAAAATTTTTACAGAAAGAAATAGGGAAACTGGGAGGTGGGGAGTAGGATTTGTTAAGTAGGTTTCTTAAAGAAATCTCCCAGAGTGTACGTTGCTATCACTTCAGCAAAGCATGTGACACACTTTTGACCTTCATCCAGTCAAGGGAAAAAACTATGAACCTGTGGACAGTTCCATGAGAGATCTCTGAAGCAATGTGAACCAATAAGAAGGTAAAACTAAGGTGGTGACACATCTGTCATTTTCATTTTCAGCTTATGAATTCTTCTAATACTTTCTCTTCCTTTGTATAGATTATTTCATATATTTCCATGGCTTTAAATGCCATCTATATGCTGATGACTCCAAAATTAGTATTTCTAACCTAGATCTTTCCAATAAATTCTCTATTAATATATCTAATTGACTACAGCACCATGCCTATTATTTGTGTCCTTCATTAAATTTACCACAATTTATAACTATTTTAATTATGTGTCTGATTACTTTTTTACTAACTACTACTATACCTTCCAGATCACCATCACCACCAACTCCTGCAATAAACTGGCAAGTTCCATGAAGTCAGAGACAATGTCATCGCTTCCTTGCCATTTTATCTCCAGTAATATTTGTTAAAAGAATAAATGGTCTCTGAGACCATTTTTAAATGAATTCTAGTTTAATATAATCACTACTTCAATTCTGACCAAGGTGACTATATATATACAAATTCCACTCATATGATGCCTTACGTCCCCAAGCAACATTTTTCAACAAGCAAAACAAAAATTGATTAAGTATCCCAAAAAAAGTTACCTCCATTGGTTTCAGCTGAGCATTTACATTAAAACAAGGAACTTCCTGGTACCACTCCCAGCATAAATTTCGTTCAACCACCACCTCCAGATTTAACGGCAGTAGTAGATCCAGTACTTCCTGGTATGCATCATTAATAAATTGAGACCTATAAGTAAAGATAACGTTCTTTTAAATTGGTTCATATACATCCGGGTAGTTAAAAAAAAGATTAACTTAAATGTACCCGTTTATATGCAAATAGCAGAAATCAATAATTTGTTGGGTATACAGGGAAAAAAATCTATTAGGCTTTTTTTTTTTAAATCTGTCAAAATGAGTTGAGTGATGTTCTATCCCACTAAAAACCTAGGTGACTTACACTAAGCTGAGTGTTCCATATTATACAGAAATAGAGCCAGGCACAGTAGCTTACACTTGTAATCCCAGAACTCTGGGAGGCTGAGGTGGGCAGATCACTTGAGGTCAGGAGTTTGAGACCAGCCTGGCCAACATGGTGAAACCCCATCTCTACTAAAAACACAAAAATTAGCTGGGCGTGGTGGCACGTGCCTGTAGTCACAGCTTCTCAGGAGGCTGAGGTGGGAGAATTCCTAGAACCTGGGAGGTGGAGGTTGCAGTGAGCCGAGAGAGCACCACTGCACTCCAGCCTGGTCAACAGAGCGAGACTCTGTCTCCAAAAAACAAAAGGCTGGGGGGAGAAATACGTATTTTTAAATACAATTTTCTAATATGGTAAAAACTGCAAAAGTATAAAAGTTGTATAGCAAACCATTAAAATAAGAATTATCTCTATGTAGGCCAGGTGTGGTAGCTCATGCTTGTAATCCCAGCACTTTGGGAGGCCGAAGCAGGTGGATCACCTAAGATCAGGAGTTCGAGACCAGCCTGGTTAACATGGTGAAATCCCGTCTCTACTAAAAATACAAAAATTAGCCAGGTGTGGTGTCGTGCATCTGTAATCCCAGCTACTTGGGAGGTTGAGGCAGGAGAATCGCTTGAACCCAGGAGGTGGAGGCTGCATTGAAACGAGATTGCACCATTGCTCTCCAGCCTGGGCAACAAGAGTGAAACTCTGTCTCAAAAAAAAAAAAAAAAAAACACCAAAAAACAAAACAAAAAAACTCCATGTAATTTGTAAACAAACATAAGACATCATTATAAAAACATTTTAATTCACTGATTTAGATAAGTAACAAAATATCACATATTCCCTTACTTTATAAAAAATAAGTAGTACCATATGAAATTTCTATTTCTATGAGTTAAAATAGCTGAATACATACAATTTCATATTAAGTTGAACTATATTTGTCTTTCCAAGCACTTACAAAGGTAAGACTGATACTCAGGAATGAAGAAAAATGTAATAGGTCAATTGAACCCCTTCAAGTAACAATGTGACCATAGAAGCCTCCCATTGTACCTCAAAGTGACAATCTCAAAGTGTTACTCCTCAATAATGTACTTACATTTTAATTAGTAGCAAATCCTTAAACTAAGGTATAACACCATGACTGTAGAATTTTGGCAACCATTTAATTAACAGGAGAGAAATATGAGAGTTCATCAGGGATCTCCCAAAAAGCCTGGTACTAAGCCATTTAATTAATGAATGACAGAGTGACACCAAACTTACATATGCCCGCATGCTTGCAGTCTCCACTTAACAGTAATAGGTTAAGGAATCTAAAAGCCCCACAGGGAATGCTGCAGACATAGGTTTTCTTTTCTTTTTCTCAGTTATCCTCTGATATGCATATGCAATTATATATGCATCCTATCATAGGCTAGGATGCATATATAATTTTAATGGCCTTATTAGAATAAATGGCTATACTAATAAGTATTTTAATTACCCTTCTATTATTAAAATTATTAAATATTATTTAAAATTATTAAAATTATTAATTATTATTAAAATTTCATAGTTTCCAATTTTTCACCATAATAAATACTTGGATTATTCTCTCTCTCTCTCTCTCCATATATATATGTGTGTGTGTGTGTGTATATATGTATATATATGTACACACACACACACATACATATAAGTATATATAGCTTTGAGTAAATTTCTGTCCTTTGGACAAACTGTGAGAAAGAAAACTGCTATGTGAAAAGATTACTTTCTCAGGAAAAACTTTTCTTATCAGTACTACCCAATATATGGATTAAATAAACCTTTCCTATGTGCTCCCACATGTAACCTTACACTTTTTCCATCACTGCATTTAACATATTGCATTTCAATAGTTTATTATGTCCTCTGTATTTTCAGTTAGAATGAAAGCTTCATGAGGGCGGGAACTATGTTTATCTTATTCTCTGCTTTTTGTCAGTACTTAGATGATCGGCATGTGCCATATAGTGAATAAATATTTGCTAAATTGCAGTCAAAATGGATTAATGTATAAAGAACCTAGTCACAAACATGAATTCCCATTTTTTTTTTAATGTGCTTTCTAATACATTGTAACTAAACTGCAATTTCTGGGGTTTTGTTTGTTTTTTTGAGGCAGTCTCACTTCGTCATCCAGGCCGGAGTGCAGAGGCATTAACACACATCATCACAGCCTCAACCTTCTAGGCTCAAGCAATCCTCCTGCCTCAGTCCCATAAGTATCTGGGAGTACAGGCACGTCACCACACCCAGATAATTTTCATATTTTCTGTAGAAATGGGGTTTCACTGTGTTGCCCAGGCTGGTCTCAAACTCCTGAGCTCAAGCAATCTGCCATCCTTAGCCTCCCAAAGTGCTGGGTTTACAGGCGTGAGCCAACATGCCCAGCAACTGCATTTCCAATTACCAATTATTTTACAATTATTTCAGGAAAAATTGGTTATACTTTATAACTGAGTAATTCTATTTCTAGGAACTCATCCTAAGGAAATGAATTACCCCAAAGAAATGAGTAGACAATTACATAAGTACTGATGTAATAAAGATATCAATCATCAATATAGTGTTACTTATAACAGCAAAAATGTATATATATTAGAATCAAATTTATAACAAAAGGCAGATTTAGATTTTCTAAAAACTGAGGAATAAAATATTGGGAAAAATTTATGCACTCAAAATAATGACATGGAAAATTTATATCATATTTTTAAGAAAAAAAGCTATTTATAACACAAAACACAATTCTAATTTTTTTTTTATACTTTAAGTTCTGGGATACATGTGCAGAATGTGCAGGTTTATTACATAGGTATATATGTGCCATGGTGGTTTGCTGCACCTATCAAGCTGTCATCTAGATTTTAAGCCCCACATGCATTAGTTATTTGTCCTAATGCCATCCTTTCCCTTGTCCCCCACCCCCAACATGCCCCCGTGTGTGATGCTCCCCTCCCTGTGCCCATATGTTTTCACTGTTCACCTCCCACTTATAAGTGAGAACATGTGGTGTTTGGTTTCCTGTTCCTGTGTTAGTTTGCTGAGAACGATGGTTTCCAGCTTCATCCACGTCCCTGCAAAGGACACAAACTCATTCTTTTTCATGGCTGCATAGTATTCCATGGTGTATATGTGCAACATTTTCTTTATCCAGTCTATCACTGATGGGCATTTGGGTTGGTTCCAAGTCTTTGCTATTGTGAACAGTGTAGCAATAAACATTCATGTGCATGTGTCTTTATAGAAGAATGATTTCTAATCCTTTGGGTATATATCCAGTAATGGGATTACTGGGTCAAATGGTATTTCTGGTTCTAGATCCTTGAGGAATTGTCACACTGTTTTCCACAATGGTTGAAATAATTTACACTCCCATCAACAGTGTAAAAGCGTTCCTGTTTCTCCACATTCTCTCCAGCATCTGTTGTTTCCTGACTTTTTAATGATCGCCATTCTAACTGGTGTGAGATGCTATCTCATTGAGGTAAATGGCCATACTGCCCAAAGTAATTTATAGATTCAGTGCTATTCACATCAAGCTACCATTGACTTTCTTCACAGAATTAGAAAAAACTACTTCAAATTTTATATGGAACCAAAAAAGAGCCCATATAGCCAAGATAATCCTAAGCAAAAAGAACAAAGCTGGAGGCATCACACTACCTGACTTCAAACTATACTACAAGGCTATAGCAACCAAAACAGCAAGGTGCGGGTACCAAACAGATATATAGACCAATGGAAAAGAACAGAAGCCTCAGAAATAACACCACACATCTACAACCATCTGATCTTTGACAAAACTGACAAAAATAAGCAATGGGGAAAGGATTTCCTATTTAATAAATGGTGTTGGGAAAACTGGCTAGCCATTTGCAGAAAACTGAAACTGGATCCCTTCCTCACAAGCATGGCAGAAAGTAAAGGAGACACGGAGGCATGTCTTACATGGTGGCAGGCAAAAAGAGGATGAGAGCCAAGCGAAAAGAGTATCCCCTTATAAACCCATCAGATCTCGTGAGACTTATTAACTACCACAAGAACAGTATGGGGGAACCACCCCCATGATTCAATTATCTCCCACTGGGTCCCTCCCACAACATGAGGGAATTATGCGAGCTACAATTCAAGATAAGATTTGGGTGTGGACACGGCCAAATCATATCACCTCTCCATTATCCATCAACATGATTCTCAATCATTAAAATCCTGTTCCACTACCTTTGGTCACACCTGCTTGGCAAAAATTCAGTTTTGTCTCAATCCAACTGACTGTTGGATTCCAAATACAAAATACCAAGTACTGCATGGAAAAAAAAAAAAAAGATGCAGTATTAATTCATGGTTAACAATATCAGCAGGACCCTCAATGCTGTCTCAATACATTTTCCTGGTTTCTCATCTCTCTGTCTGCTCCTTCTTAGTCTCTTTTGAGGGTTCCTTTTTCTGCCAATTCTTTAAATACTGGTATTCCTCAGCATTCTTCCTCATATGTCCCACTCTACAAGCTTTCTTTGTGACCGTGTTCATTCCAATGGCTTCAGTGACTAGCACAAATTATTGCTAAGAACTCCTAAACCTAGAAGTCTAAACAACATCACCTATATGCATCACCCAGACACAAATATTCCACTGCCTTCTGGATTTCTTTCAAGATCTCTCCATGTAGAAATCATGCAATCCCTTTCAGGCTACTTTGCCCATTACAGAAATAATTACTCTCTGTATTCTACTGGGTTTTTCTGCATTATTCTGTCTTATCTCAGTGAAGTGCATCATCATCAAATACCGATTTCCAGCTTGCAACCTAAAGTGAATTTTAATTTCTCTTCTCCTTTAACTCCCACACCCATTCAATCATCAGTTACTATAAATTCTGGTTAGCTCTCCACTACTTCACTCCCCTACCTTAGACTAAGTCACCTATAATTCTTATGTGAGTTACTGCAATAGTTACCAAACTATCCTTCCAACCTCTAGTTTTGTCTCCTTTGGACCTAATTTCTAGAACCTTTTCAAAATATGATCCCATTTTTATGCACCAGCCCACTATATTTATTAAACAGTACCTACCACAACAACCCAATGAGGTAGGGTTTATTAATCCCTTATAAATATTGCTTACTATTATTTCTTATTCTTAGCACAATGCCTGGGATATACTTGGTGCTTAACAAATGCTCAAGTGACAGAAATTTCTCCTTCCATCTAAGATGATGTAACATGAATGGGTTTACACTCCTGCTTGAAATAACCCTGTTCTCCAAAAAAAAAAAAAAAAAAAAAAAAAAAAAAAGACAGAATTTATTTAAAATAGTTTTCAAGATACAAAACATCAAAAATGGATAATGATTCCAAAGAGTTGGGAAAAAAATGAGGTGAGCCCTACGACTGTCTCAGTTTACTATTGTTTTGCAATAATTAACAGGCCATGGTACAGGGAGGGGGAACCCAGGAGAAGGCCAGGAAAGCCCCAGAGTAGAGAAGGTAAGAGATGAGAATCCAAGAGAAACCAAGGTAGCTAGAGTTATATAATAAAATACCAGAGAGAAGAGAGCTACACAGGATTGTAGAGTTAACTTAAAATTTATAGCACAATATAAGTACTTCAATTTATAGCACTATATCATATATTAGAAATGTTTCAAATCAATAATCTTAGCTACCACCTAAAAAAACTTATAAAAAGAGCAAAATTGAACCCAAAGCAGAAAGAAATAATAAATATTGAATTAGAAATCAATGAACGAGAAAACACAAAAACAATAGAAAAAACAGTAAAACCAAAACCTGCTTCTTAAGATCAATAAAACGTATAAATCCCTAATCAGATTCATCAGTACAAAGGCAGAAATTATAAATATCAGGAATGAGGGAGGAGACACCATTACAGATATCAATAAATAAGGGAGCATTATGAAAAACTTTATGCCATTAAATTTTACAACTTGAAATGCAAAAATTCTTTTAAAAACTAGGGAGGATCGCTCGAGAAAAAATAACTTGAATAGCCAGCCCCAAATTTATTAAAGAAATAAAAACTGTGATTTAGAAACCTCCCACAAGCCAACTCTAGGACCAGATGGCTTCACTGGTAAATTCTACCTAATATTTAAGGAAGAAATAATACAACCGTACAAAAACTGTCAGAAACGTACGCATATCAAAACTTATCAAATGGTATAACACTAAAGATATGCAACTTGTTCTGTGTCAATTATGTCTCAATAAAGCTGCTTTAAAAATATTCAATTGGTCAAAGAAAGTGCAGGAGGGAAAGACAGATTCATCGGAAGCTAAAGAGAAGTAGAGAATGGGAGTTAACTAAAAAATGAAACAAAAATAAGATGAAGAGACAAGCGAGAGAATGATATCAAAGAAAAATGACAGAAAGAAGGAAGAGGGGAGTTGAGAAGTATAAACAGAGAAGGATCCAAGTTGGAAAATAGGACATAAATTCAGAATGGGGATTAGAAACAGCATAGAAACACAGAGGACACAGTATAAAAGCTCTGGAACTATTTGAACATTTGTTTATCCCCCTACTTCCCAACCCCATGGTTAACGAATACATAAGGTTGCATGCTACTGTTTGTTTAAATTACAGCATCAGAGCCATAGCACACAACTGACAGAGAAGATAAGGTGATACTGTATTTGCAAAGTGAATAAACATATTACGTTAGAAATTCCTCACTTCTTCCATAGCCCTGTAACTTATAATGAACTACAAAGAAGTACAAATATATTTCCTCAGATAATAAATTTTGTAGTTTTCCTAATTACCTAAGGAGAAATTTTCTTTTCTTTTTTTTTTTTTTTTTTTTTTTTTGAGACGGAGTCTCGCTCTGTCGCCCAGGCTAGAGTGCAGTGGCCGGATCTCAGCTCACTGCAAGCTCCGCCTCCCGGGTTTACGCCATTCTCCTGCCTCAGCCTCCCGAGTAGCTGGGACTACAGGCGCCCGCCACCTCGCCCGGCTAGTTTTTTGTATTTTTTAGTAGAGACGTGTTAGCCAGGATGGTCTCGATCTCCTGACCTCGTGATCCACCCGACTCGGCCTCCCAAAGCTAAGGAGAAATTTTCAAACACTTTGGAGAAATTTTCAAACACTTTCTAGGTTTTTTAAAATGCAAAGACTATAATTGATTTTGCCAAAATATACTTAAGGAAGAGAGAATCACTAAATTACGTATAATTAATAAAATAAAACTCACTGTAAACAGACTACTCAAGACATTAAAGTCTTTAACGTAAAAAGTTAGAAAAATATTGCATTCCACACAAATACACTCGTGAAAAGCTTACCTGTATAGTCGCATTTCACTCAGCTTTATTGTTATCAAATCAATAACAGGTGGGGGAGAGCTCTGGCTCTCTGTTATCATATGAAAGGTATTTGTCATTGTAATTAGCCCAAAATCAGCAACAAAAACATTTTCAGAAACTGGAGACTGCGGGATGACCACAACTGGGGCTTTGATGTTAATATCCAGTGCCATTCTGGAACTCCTTCGTGCCAGTTCTTTTACACCAGTAGCAGCCATTCCAGCTGCCTGAACAGTTGCCTCAGCCAAGGCTTGTTTAGCTGCCTGAAAATTATCTATAAAAGCCTGTAACATAACAGAATTATATTCTTAAGGTTATTAATAAATAAGACATTAAATATATATTGATATTTCTGGTTTCACCTCCATTAAAAAAAAAAAAACTTTTACTTGATACAACCAAACATTATTTATTCAAAGTCTTACTGTCTATATTAAATCTTAATTTTCTGCCACAAAAACTGAGAAACACAAAGACAACAGATAAAATAAAAATCTAGTCCTCAGAACAAAGCTAAATGGGATCGCTGGAATGTCTTACAAATATCTATTTCCCTTATCTCACTTTCCCTAAAGGGAACAACCCTATTTCTCTATACAACCTCAGTGGACAGAGAGCTCATTTATGTTTGTAAGGTAAAAATAAATAAATAAAATATGTTTAAGAAGTTTCAAAATAATTTTCCAATTTCCAAATTCCAAAAATATACTTCAATGACATAAAATATAATTACCTAGATTTATACTCTTATACTTAATTTTCATGTTCAAAGAAAACCTAACATTTTAGTAATTTCTAAGTATAAGTACAAAAGGGTTCAAGTGACATGATTTTTTTGGTTATAAAAATAAATTAGCTACTCAAGAGGCGGAGGTAGGAGGATAACATGACGCCAGCAGTTCTAGACCAGTTTACGCAATATAGCGAGACCCTGTCTCTAAAAAAAAATTAAAAATAAAAAAATAGCAGGGACCTCTTGTCCCTGCTAATTTAATCTATTTGGGAGGCTGAGGTGGGATTTGCACGAGTTTGAGGCTGCAGTGAGCTAGGAGCACGCCCCTGTATTCCAGCCTGGGGTGCAGAGCAAGACCCCAACTCTAATTTCTTTTTTTTAAAGAGAAGAAATTCAACAAGGAATACTTGTTTATCTTTACATTTTTGTATGCGAAAGGATTTTATGGCTATAGAAAAACTGCATGATAACCTAAATTTAAAAGATCACAAAACAGCAACATTATATGGAATTAACTTAGAATTATGAAATAACAAAAGAGGGCTCCACGTTCCCAAATACATTCAAATGAATACACAAATACTTTTCTTGCTTATAAGAATTGCCACACTTGGCCTATTTATTCCACTACAACCTTAGATTTGATTACCTAGTTCACACACTAAAACACAGAGACAGCATTTTAAAAGAATGAATAGTGATGTCACGGAGACAGGTATGACACCCACAGGAAAAAATATCAGCTGACAGCAAGGGAAAAACAAAAACCGAAACAAGAAAAGCAGAAATAAGAATCGAAATGCCTTAGGATGGAGTCATATAGGGGTTAAATCTAACTCCTTAAAGTCCCTGATATTCACAGAATGACAATGCAATCGAAAATATGATTTTCTTGGGTCGGACATAATGCCTGTAATCTCAGTGCTTTGGGAGGCCATAGCAGGAGGATCACTTGAGGCCAGGAGTTCAAGATCAGACTGGGCAACAGAGCAAGACTCCATCTCTATAAACACTTGAAGAAAAAAAAAAAAGGCTTGGTGGTATGTGCATGGTGGTATGTGCCTGTAGTCTCAGCTACTCAGGAGGTTGGGGCGGGAGGATCACTTGAATCCAGGAGTTCAAGGTTACAAAGAGCTACAATCATGCCACTGCACTCCAGCCTGGGTGACAGAGCAACACCTTGTCTCTAGAAAATTAAAAGAACCTTTTCTTAATGATGACTTGAGACCAAAACAAACTTCAATTATATATTCAGTATTTTAAAATTATAGTTGCAAGTCAGGCAAAACGAAGACTTAGGCCAATGACATATAAAATGAAGGTTCTAATTAATATATAAAATATGTATGATATATAATGTACATATACTTAATGTTAATATATAAAATATGTATTTCAATTAATTGGAATATTCCCATGTCAAAATGATGTTATATAAAGAAGGAACTACACATTTCAGTCATTATGTATAATAAATGGTACCCAGAAAATTATTTTAAAAATCAGAAAAAATTTCAAGCAGGGAATTCTTATTAGTCTTCATCCATATTTGACATACAGCAATTTCCAACTAGTGTAAAATAAAAAATAATTTAATACTTACCAATATAGAACATAGAAATTTTGTGACAAAAACTACTTCAATGCAACCAACTACTAAATTAACCTGAATGTCAACCACATTCATATCTGTGTATGCAGAACCAGCAGTTGCATCCATGTAAGAAACCATTTTGAAGCTGAAAACTTCTTTTCCAGTGATATAAACAGCCTTAATAAGAGAAAATTTAATTATCACAATCGATTTTTGAAATGAAGTGTTTTCAGTACAAAATAAAACAGTAAAAAATAACAAAACATAGTCAGAAAATCTCTCAAGTATTCACAAGCCAAGCACAAATGAGGCAACAATTCAATTACAACAGCTTTATTGGAACCTACACTACAAAGTTTTACAAATTGGTGGTGGCTATTCCCTTTGTGGGTCATAAAATCAAGGTAGTAGTTCTGGCTCCAGCTTTTTTCCTTTTTTCTTTTTTTTAATGGAGAAGAGAAGAGGAAGTATCTGAATATGTATTTTCATTCTGCAAGTATACTTTTGTAATGAGAGCAACTATGTATTTCTTGATTCACTGACAAAAATTTGAAAAACACTGTACATCTACACCTTACTGAAATCTATTCTTGATTTGAGGTATGTGAATAGATTTTTCTGGATTCTCCAAAGGAGTCTCCTCCTATTGCTATACTTCTGTTCCTTATCAGGTTGTAAAGGGCCATCTTAATTGCCAACCAGAAATCACCTCAGTGGTTAAAAATCTCAAGCTCTGCAACAACAGTTAAAAATGGTGGAGACAACAGGAGATGTAAAATGTTAAAAAAAAATTTGGAAGAGGGACAGAGCACTAAGCTCACAGCTTTCTCAATTCTCCTAAATACTAGAAGCAAGCAAGAACAGGGAGCTGAAGAGCCATCAACAGGCACATCAGTTACAACTACAGAACAAAGAATCCTCCAGAACCAGATGTATAAGTGACCTCTGAAGGCTGAGGTACGAGACAGGGCTGAAAAGAAGTCTACAATCCTGCTTCTGCCTAGGGTGCACAAAGCTGGAATGAGGGCCCCTCCAAACCTAAAAAAAAGGAAAAAAAAAAACCAAAACAGATAAACTATGGTATCACAACTTTCTTAAAACTATTAGCAATCTGAGGTCACAGGACAACAAAGGTCCCTAAAAATCTAAGGACAAACAGGTACCTTCAGGGAGAGACAGAAAATAAGCACCAGTTCACTTGTGGTAGAGAGGAGAAAGAGATGTCAGATACTATACAATATAGGTAAGAATAATTCAGTTAAAATGATAAAGGATAAGTGTGGACTAATGTGAGATGCAGAATCCCTGGGAGCCACACACATGAGGAGCTCTTGAGAAAGATGGGGGCGGGGTGCAAGTGGGAAACAAGAGAAAGCTTTCCTTGGTACAACCCTGGAAAAGTTGAGAAGCCTCCACTGCAGAAAAGGCCCAAAGCACCACCAAAATTATCATCTTCTCAAAACAATAGCCATAAGAAACTACTAAACCTTGTTGCCCTCAGGGCACAGGTGAAAAAACAGTATCCTAGGGACAACAGTAAAATAAAACTCTGTATCTAGGGGAAGAACAAGAACTCTCCTGGGGCCAGATGATTAGCGGTCTCCCTCTGCTAGGGGAAGGGAAGGACAGTCAATCCCACATAGGAAATATGAGAGATATCAATCAGATACTATGAGGAGGAGGGACAGGATGGCCAAGAATACTCCATTTCTGAGACTCATAGAAACAGCCCTGGCTAGGACTGAAAATGGACCAGGACACTAACAAGCCTATCCAAACCACTTTGCCTTCTCCCCAAATAGCACCACCAAGCTCACAAGCACTAAGAAACAAGCAGCAGGAGCCTCTAACATCTAGGACAGAGCTAAGAATGTGGAAAGCGAATTTTCTGAGGTACAAGAGCAGAAGAAAGGTCAAAGACTCAGCACAGAGCAAAATCTGAGCAACACAGCCTCCACCCACCCTAAGCACAAGCTACAACTAAAGGAAACTGAAGCAGTAATGTAGTGAAGGAAATCATATTAATCTAAAATTCAAACCAAGCTAAGCTCAACCCCCAACCCCAAGCTAATAGCTTAGCAGAAAAGAGGCATCCCCATTTCCAGACATAAATACTATATTTACATCAGTCTCTATTATCCTATACATCAGTGGTCCCCAGCCTTTTGGTAACAGGGAGCTGTTTTGTGGAAGACAATTTTTCCACAAGAGTGGGGCTCGGGGGTTGGAGGGTGGGGAGATGGCTTGGGGATGAAACTGTTCCACCTCAGAGCATCAGGCGTTAGATTCTCATAAGGAGCATGCAACCCAGATCCCGCGTATGCATAATTCACAATAGGGTTCACCCTTCTATGAGAATCTAATGCCCCCGCTGATCTGACAGGAGGCGGAGCTCAGGCAATAATGCTCCCTCGCCCACCACTCAACTCCTGCTGTCCGGCCCAGTTCCCAACAGGCCACAGACCAGTACCATTCCACAGCCCAGGGGCTGGGGACCCCTGCTATACATGATACGATGTCTGACATTCAATCAGTAATTATGAGATGCCCAATAAAAGCAAGGGAAAAAAATCAAACAAATAATAAAGGAATCAACAGAATCAGATTCATCTATAACAACCATGTTAAAACCAAAATTTTTAATTTTAATTAGTACGATTAATATGGTAAAGGCTTCTAGTGGAAAAGGAAAATATGCATGAATAGATGGTGAATATTACTATGGCAGAGAAAATGGAAAAAAGAAGAGCCAAAAGGATATATTAAAGGTTAAAAAAACATGGCAACATAAGTGAAAAATACCTTCAGTGGGTTTGTCAGTACTTTCATCAGAGCCAAGGACAAAATCAGTAGATTTGAAAATAGGTCAAGATAAATTATTCGAATTAAAATGCACTAAGAAAACAATGGGAAAAAAACTTGAACAGAACATCCAAAGGCTGTGAGACTAAAAACAGAAATCTAGTAAGAATGTTAGGAATTCAAGAACAGGAACAGGGAACAAGTGGAGGAGGACAAAACAGGGGAGCCGGGGGGTGGGGGAGACAGAGGGAGACAGAGGCAGAGAAACTATTTGAAGAAAACATGAAAAATAATGAAAGCCATCCAAGTAGCTCAGAAAAGTCCAAACAGGACAAATATCAAAACACAATTAAACTCATCTAGACACACTATATATAAATCCTGAAAGCAGTCAAAAAAGATGACAAGTTATGTACAAAGGAACAAAAATAAGAAATGTCATAGACTTCTCATCAAAACTATGTGTAACAAAGAACAATGAAATCACATCTTTTAATAGTTGGAAAGGGGGAAAATACTATCAACCCAGCAAAAATGTCACTCAGAAAAATTAGGGTAAAATAAAGGTTTTTCCTACCTCCCTTCTCATCTATACCCCAAAAGCTGAGAGAATTCGTTACCAGCAGACCTGCATTATAAGAAATGGGAAAGTGCCAGATGCGGTAGCTCATGCCTATAATCCCAGTACTTTGGGGGGCCGAGGCGGGTGGATCACCTGAGGTCAAAGAGTTCAAGACCAGCCTGGCCAACATGGTAAAACCCCATCTCTACTAAAAATGCAAAAATTAGCCAGGTGCAGTGGCGCGCATCTATAATCCCAGCTACTTGGGAGGTTGAGGCAGGAGAATTGCTTGAACCCAGGAGGCAGAGGTTGCAGTGAGCTGAGATTATACCACTGCACTCCACGATCTCAAAAAAAAAAAAAAAAAAAAAAGAGAGAAAGTATTTCAGAGAGAAATACAAACAATAGACAGAAACTACATGAAGTAGTTACAGAAAGAGTTGCAATGAAGAAAAATGTAAAACATCTTTAGAAAACTAATTGCTCCAAAGAAAACTGACTAAACCAAATCCAGTAGGTACACATTGTGAGTTTTCAACATGTACCAAAATAAAGCAAATTATGATGATACCAAGAAAGACAGGAAACAGGAATTGGAAGTATGGTATTGTAAGATTCTTACACTATACGTACAACAATAAAATATTATTGGAAGATAGACTATGATTAAATATATATACATTGTAAAACCCAAGAGAAACCATAAAATAAGTGATAATCAAAAATCAGGCCAAAAGAAGGAATACAAAGAATAGGATAAGCAAAATTGGAACAATCAGAGATACCAGATTACAATCCAATCATATCAATAGTTTTATAAAATAGTCTAAACACAAATTAGAAGCCAAGAGGTTGTCAGATTAGATAAAAAAGATCTAAATATACACTATCTATAAGAAACCCATTTTAAGCCAGATGTGGTGGGATGCACATATAATCCCAGTTACAGGGCTGAGGTGAGCTTAAACACAGGAGTTCAAGAATACCCTGGGCAACACAGTGAGACTCTGCCTCAAAAAAACGCAAGCTCACTTTAAACAAGAAGGCATCCATTAAAAGCTAAAGGATAGAAAAAGATAGACCATGCAAATCTAACCAAAGAAACCCGGAATGGCTATATTACTACCAAAGTAGACTTCAGAACAAGCACAGTTACCACAGATAAAGAGACACATTACATATTCACAAAGGGGGCATAAAACTCATATATATTTATATGTACCTAACAAGAGATCGCCAAAAAATTGAAAAATTTTTTTTAAAATTTTTAAAGCAAAAAATTGAAAGAACTGAAAGGAGAAATAGGCAAATCAATGGTTGTAATCAGAAGCTTCAACACAACCAGTAAACAGAAAATCAGTAGCCTGAATAATTATATCCACCAAGCTACTTGCCCAAATGGAACATTCAACCCAGCAATTGCTAAAAACACATATTAATTGCAAATACATTTGAAACGTTCACCAAGATTAATCATATATGTTCTGGGCCATAAAACAAACATCAACAAATTTAAAGGAACTGAAACGGTTTCTCCTCTGACCATAATGAATTTAAACTAGAAATCAGTAACAGAAAGGGATCTGAAAATCTCAAAATATTTAGAAGTTAAATAACATACTTCTAAATAAACAATGGGTAAAAGAAAGTCAGAAGAGAAATTAGAAAATACTTTGAATTGAATGAAAATAAAAAAAAATATATCAAAACTTACAGGATGCAGCTAAAGCAGTGCTTAAAGGAATACTTACAGCAGCAAATGCTTATAATAGAAAATAAAGACGTTCTCAAATCAATAATTTAAACTTCCACCTTAAGAAGAGCATATTAAATCCAAAGCAGGCAGAAGGAAGGAATTTTAAAAGAGCAGAAATAAAATTAAAAACAGAGAACATTCAATTGAAACAAATGCTAGTTCTTTCAAAGAATCAATAAAATTGATAAATCTCTAACCAGACTGATCAAGACATAAAGAGAAAAGACAAAAATTACAATCTCACACGCTAAGGAAAAAAAAAAACACACATGTGAAAGACTACGTAACTGCATGATTCCATTTATATGATACTTTGGAAACTGCAAAACTATAGGAACAAAAACCAGTGTAGTGATTCCAAGGTGCTGGGATGGGGAGAAGGGCTAACCTCAAAGGGCAGTAGTGAATTTTTAGGGGTGGCAGACCCATTATATATGCTGAAAGTAAGTTACACAACAGTATTTGTCAAAACTCACAGAATTACAACTAAAAAAGGTAAGTTTTACTGTAGGTAAATTGTTTCAATAAATCTGACTTTAAAAAGTAAAAGCTAAACCAAAACAGAAACTAATAAATAATTCTACCCAAAGGTTACTGAGGCCCCTACAACCTCCCAAAATATATCAAGCATCTTCCTGCTACAAGGCTTCTATAATTGCTCTTTCCTCCACCTGGAATGCTCTTTTGACAGAGCTCAAATCCACAGTTCAGATTTTTTGTTGAATGTTTCTACTGTAAAAAAGTATTTCTTGATAATTGTAATACACCACGTGAATTACCCTGTCACATTACCCTGCTTTCTTGGTTTTCAAAGCACATATCACTCTCTAATATTGTTTTATATTACTGATTAACTACTATTTATTCCACGTGGAGAAGGGCTTTTTATCTTCTGCTGACTATAATATCTCAAATAGGCCAGGCGCAGTGGCTCATGTCTGTAATCACAGCACTTTGGAAGATTGAGGCAGGTGGATCACCTGAGCTCAGGAGGTTTCAGGGCAGCCTAAGCAAAATGATGAAACCCCATCTCTACAAAAATCAGCTGGGTGTGGTGGCGTGCACCTGTAGTCCTAGCTACTTGGGGGACTTGAGATGGGAGGATCACCTGGGCCAGGGAAGGTTGAGGCTGCAGTAAGCCGTGATTGTGTAATTGGAGAGCGAAAGAGAGAGAAAATTTTATCTATATATATTATGATTATATAATATATAAATTAGTTGTTTCTTAATTTACTTACCAGTATTTATACATATATAATTTACATATAAATGTATAAATTCTATATATATATAAATACTGATAAATTAGTTAACAAAAAATTGAATATCCTCTGCAAGTTACATGAGTAGGGCTATATGACTGTTCCTCTCTGAGTGCAACAGAACAGATTTGCTCAAGACAGAGTCTAGAGCAGAAAGGCTGCGGTCTAGGAGACTTCAGGTACAGAAAAACAGTTAATAAAACACCATATCAAAAAATCGGTATTTTAAGTAAAAATCTATAAATGATGCGGCCTCCACTTCTTTCAACCAATTGGCTCCTGGAATCTAGGCTGTCAGGCTTATACTTACACTATTTTTCTCAAAGGAAACTGACTAGCCTCAGAGCAAGAGATGCTCTCAATTTGAGAAGCCATAAAATTGCTAGACCAGTTCCTGACCATCTACTGTGATGTCTGCCTGTCCAAAGTCCCTACATAAAGCTTCAAATTAGCTTTGAATATCTGGGGGAAAATGGCAAAGTTCTTAGAAGCAAAAGAAAGTCAAACTGTCATCAGAACTGTCAACACCAATAGGAGGCCGTAAGACATGGAGTAACATTTGTTAAGATCATCTAGAAAAGAAAATTCAAGTCAAGGATTTAAAATCCACTCAAACTACCCTGCAAATATAAATGTCAAGGATTATTGTTCCTAAGAGCTCTGCCTAAGAAATCTACTGGAGAATAAACTTTTGAAAAGTCAAAATGATTGGTGATGCTGGCATAAAGACTAGTGAATTCTCCCATTTAATAAATGAAGAAATGTCCCTACTGCCTCCAGACTTCCCGTCAGCCTCCCTGGTGGGCACCCTTCGAAGGTGTTTTGTTGTGTTGTCTCCCCAGTGCTCCATCTGACCAACATGCCTGCAGCAAGAAAGTGGCTATTTTGGCTTAAGGCCACTCTCTCCTCAAGACCAAATTACAGGAAATAACGACAAATAGCTTCTAACATCAAAAAAAGAAAGATACCCCAAGACAGTGCAAAACAGAAAAGAAAAAAAAAGACAGCTACACACTATGTGCCTCCTTTGCAAATACACACCACTAACTATGAAGTATCTTGCCAACCCCTACTCCCAAACCCTGAATCTCACTGTGCCCTGAGATTTAAATATTGATTTAAGGAAACACAGGAGACAGTAACATATTAAATAGCATGAAAACATAATCAGCAAGATAGAGGCTATGGAAAATTGTTCAGAATAAGTAAGATAGCAAAAAATGGCACACACAAGGGCAGAGAAGAAACTAAAGGAAATTCATAAACTATAACAGACTTAAGTGGTATATCGATTAAATGCAGTGAGTGGATCTCCTTTGGATACTGAGTGCCATATGGAAAACAAAGTGAATCCCAGTCTCAACTATACACGAAAAATATTCTCACTGATAATTCCATCAAACATTTAAGGAAATAATAATGCAAATTCTATTCAAATTTTTCAGAAAACAGAGGAGGAGAGCATTTCCCAACTCAACTTATGAAGCAAGTATTGGCCTAATAACAAGGCCAGAAAAGTTGAGAATTAGAAAGACTTGTATACCCATTACCAAGAATTAAGCATTAAAACTGGATTTTTTTAAACCTTTACTTTTAAAATATTTTTTATGAAGAAGATATCAGAAACTAATTTACTATGATATGTTTTCATGAGACTATCAGGTCAGCCAGTATCCTTTTTACCTTATGGCATATATAAAAAGAGTATTTGTCCAGTGGTGCTATGGCAAATGGAGGATGCTGCTCCAAGACAAATGGGCTGGGGGTGCCAACCTTTAAAGTTGAGGGGCTCAATGCTTCAGTATACTTAAAACTGACACAATAGTATATATCACTGTACAAGGCTTATGAAACTGATTCATAATCAGGTCTGATTTCATAAGGGCAAAAACCTTATGCCTCTCTGGTTCTTTGACACGTGGAAAGTTACTAAACAAGGCAGTTTGTTTAAATATCATGTACAATGGAATCAAAGTCAAGAAATAGGGAAACGGAAATGAAAATCGGGCAAGAAGACAAGAGAGAAAGATTTTTTTAATTTTGTAACTTTTTGTAAACTGAATTTTTAACCATGTAGATATATTAAAAATAAAATTACAGGCCAGGCACAGTGGTTCACGCCTGTAATACCAGCTTTTGGGAGGCCGGGGCAGGCAGATCACTTGAGGCCAGGAGTTTGAGACAAGCCTGGCCAAACACAGTTAAACTCTGTCTCTACTAAAACTATAAAAATTAGCTGGGTGTGGTAGTGTGCACCCGTAATCCCAGCTACTCAGGAGGCTGAGGCACGAGAATCACTTGAACCCGGGAGGTGGAGGTTTCAGTGAGCCAAGATCGCACCACTGCACTCCAGCCTGGGTGACAGAGCAAGACTGTCTCAAAAAAATAAAATAATATAAAATAAAAAATAAATATAAAATTACAGAGACAAAAACCAATGGGTTGGATCATGCTCTCAGTTCTGCATAACTTTTCATAGATACTTTATTTCTGTGAGCTTTACTTTCTAGATAGGGAAAATAAAACGGATAATCTATTTCTTAAATACTCTGATACTGTGAGTTTTAAAATAAAAATAATAGAAACAAATAAAATCATGGCTTCTGGAAAATTTCTTGCTCCTTATTGCTATGAGTCATTTCTCGTTGATGTTGGAACTGTTTTGCTATCCCATGAAACAAGCCATAACAAGAAGATATCAGAAATAAGAATTTTTTAAACATAAAAATCAGGTCATCACTATATCATTAGTATTACTGGCAAAATCTACTTATCTATTTCCTTTCTTCTTGACATATTCCAAATACTGACTTCCCGACTCAGCAAGTACTTCAGCTTTTCCTGATCCTACTATTTGATATTCCTTTAACCTCCTTAAATACATAATCCTACCTGCTTCAGGTAGGATGTTGCCTGTTCAACTCTGTAACAGGAACCTTACTGTTTTATAACCAGTAACAAATTACCTAACCTTCAACAACTCATCATCCAGTTCAAAGGACTCTCTTAACATTATTAAAACAACTATACTAGTGATCATTGATGAGAATAAGTTTTATTAAAAAAGCTCACTTCCTCAGACTTCAGACCCTCAAATGTATCTAAAATGCATTATGAGATTCAGAGTACATGAAGAGAACAACAAAAAAAAAAGTGAAAAAGGTATTTACTAGATTCTCTCCCAAAACTTTGTTCCTGCAGCATTATTTATACTTATCTCATTTATGAGATACTGCAATCCTCATTTGACAAATAAAGAAACAGAATCCAAGATTAGGTAACCTGCTAATGGTCACACAGCTACTAAGGAGTAGAGGTAAGAACCCAATCATGCCTGACTCCAAAACCCACACGCATTATAAGCCACATTACTCAATTCTGACAACTCTCTAAATGATACCTATGACCACTCCTAAAGGACAATCCTATTTAATGATGTACTATTACTTAATTTAAAAAATTCTTACCTTTTTGTATACAGCTGTTATATCAGAATCTAAAACAATTATATTCCTTAGCTTTGCATTTATTTCAGTTTCTGAAGGCCTCATAATCATCTCAGAATCAAGCCCTAAGGGAACAAAAGAATTACTAACTGCCTTTTCTTTCATTTAATGTCTTTTAATTTGCTTTTTGTGAAATTTTGTTACCTTCAATCTTAATTTCAGAAATGTTACGTTTCTGATCTTGAATAAAGATCTGTAAACATGATAATTCTGCTAAAATCTGCAAAGTAATGATATCTTCATTCGTGGATAGTTTCAAAGCTGCAAAAAAAAAATCATATGGTAAAACATGAGGAAATATCACCACAAATAGTGATATTAGAGAAAACCTGATCTGCAAGTCAGCTGAAAGCAAGGTATGATATTCCCTATTGAATTGAAAATTCTAAAACACAATCAAATCTAATGAAAACAAAAGCAAATAGACAAAACATTGTTTCTAGAAGACACTAAACATTTGAAACTAAAACACTGTAGCTATAAATTTCAAAATTTTTTGAGAGCCAGTAATTACTAGGTGGTACTTGTCATTATCAAAATTGCAACTTTTCACTGCTTCGAAAGTATTATACTCTGATTTTAAAATATGCTCTGATACTCTTTTTGTTTTTTGGGTTTTTTTCGAAACAGAGTCTCACTGTTACCCAGGATGGAGTGCAGTGGTGCAATCGTAGCTCATAGCTTGCTGCAACCTTGAATTCCTGGGCTCCAGTGATTCTCCCGTGTCAGTCTCCCAAGTAAACTGGGTCTATAGACATACACTACCATGTCCAACTAATTTTTAAAATTTTGTTGGAGACAGGGTCTTGCTATGTTGCCCAGGCTAGTTTCGAACTCCTGGCTTCAAGCAATCCTCCAGCCTCAACCCTCACAGCGCTCGCCTCCCTGCACTGGGATCACAAGTATAAGCCACTGCACCCAGCTGACATTACTCAAATTTTGTTAGTCATATTTGTCTAATCTAAAATAATGTTATGAAATGCATTAAATTTTAATTTAAATCTAATCCTCCTACTGGGATCGAGGTGGGAGAAAAAAAAATTTTTTAATCTAATACTCCTACAGTATAATCTTAAACTAAAACCAATTATTATATATGATAAACGAAAGCAACATTTTCTTCAGCAGTAGTTTCCTTTATTTTCTAAAATTATCCTAGCATATAATGAATCCTTCTAGATATTAACCTAGGCAACAGAATTCTGAAGCCAATATTTGAAGTTAATGATAAAGTCAGAGTCTAGATTTATTGACCTACATGATTAAAAAAGAAAAAAAAGTTGATGCTAAATTTTTTAAAAACATACCTAATTTTTTAATGACATCTCCTTTGTCTTCAGTCTCTGTAGTGGACACTGGGGCTGATTTTTCCTCTGATTGCGGAAGGATATTATGAAGATAATTTATTGTATTCAGAAGTGCTTCAGTGTGTAAATGAATATCCAAAGAGGAAAAATTTACCTAAAGAACAAAGCTGATTTTAGTGATAGGTCAATAAATATTTGCTTGCCAGCTGTCTACAAGGCACTATGCTTTGTGGCATAAAGGATACAATTTATAGTATTTTCTTATCTTTAAAGATCTTACAATTCCAGTTAGAAAATAATTTCCATAAGAAATAGAAATACAGTATATAATTAAAAAATAAATTATCTACTCATACCTTAATCAATTGTAAAACATTGTTATAGGTACTTTTCAAGTTGGGTACATTCTTTTCAGCCTATCCAAAGAGAAAACATATCTGTTAGAACATGGTAGGAAGACATACAAATACAATTACATTATAGTCCTAATACACATTTATATGATTTTCCAGCTGTTCATATACATATATATACATATACACACACATATAATTACCTAAATAAGCAACTGCTTCACCAGAACAAAAGAAAATGTAAGTATGGGACTCTTTGGCACATAGCAAGTATTCAATAAATGTTACGTACTATCATTCTTATTATCAAGAGAGGAAATGTTGGATATTATCAAGTGTGGAGAATAATCATTCGGTCATCAACAACTCTGTACGGTTCTTCCTAATTCTTCCTGTATTTAAAAACAAAATTTGTGACAGAATTGTCCACCAAGTATCCAAATACTCTGTGTTTTCTTTTTCTTTTTAAAAAATTTAATATTTTTGATTGACAAATCATAATTATATACACTTATGGAGTACAATGTGATGTTCTGACATATGTACACAATGTTAAATGATGAAATTAAGCTAACTAACATATCTATCACCTCACTTTCCTATCTTTTTTTGTGGTGAGACATTTGAAATTCACTTTCTTGGTCGTTTTGAAATAAACAACACATTATTATTGACTACAGTCCCCCTGCTGTATAACAGATCTCAAAAATTATTCCTCCTGTCTATCTGGAACTTTGTGCCATTTGATTGACAACTCTCTATTCCCTCTCCTTCCCTCCCTCCCATCCCTGCTACCCTCTGGTAACCATCACTCTGCTCTCTACTTCTATGAGTTCAGTTTTATTAGATTCCACACATAAAGAAGATCATGAGGTATTTGTCTTTCTGTGCTTGGCTTATTTTGCTTAGCATAATGTCCTCCACATTTATCTATGTTGACGCAAATGACAGGATTCCCCCCCTTTTAAAGGCTGAATAGTGTTGTGTTTTGTATATGTACCATATTTTATTTATCCATTTTCTTTAGGTCTAGAACATTTTTGTTATATAAAAGCTATATAATGCATATACTACAACAAAAATCCTAAAATATCTAGTCAATAATGGATAGCAAAAGTGGTTTTAAAAGTAATGAAATGCTTTCTGCATTATTATTATAAAGTAATTATTAAAATAGTCTGACACATATAAAAATAAGTCAGCAGAGACATAGAAAAATTAGAAATATACCATAGTACATAGAAAAGCTTAACAGATGATAAAATGAATATCATAAATCAATAAAAAAGGAATGGAGTTATTGACCCTAGGAATATCAGGTAACTTCACAAAACAGTGGAAAATAATGGGAAAGCATCATCTTGTATCACATATAACAATATACTCTATCAAGACTAAAAAGTGTGTTTCTTTCTCAGTACCCCTGTTGAGAGAAAAAAAAAATCAAACTCCAGGTCATTTCTACTTAGAATATAATCTTCTTATTTTGCTATACAAAGTATTTATAAATCATAGCTATTTAATACAAGATGACAAAATCAAAAAAACCTTAGTATTAGGAGTTACAGAGATTATGTTAGGGTGAATATTAAGCAAACTGAATAATACCAAACTTACAAAACTTGATTATAACATTTCAGCTGCATACTTACCATATTAAGCAGATATAAATGAAACTGCTTACCTTTACATATTCCAGCGTTAACAGGTCTTCCATTGTGTTATCCAGGGTTGTAACCAAATAAACTGGTTTCCTGTTTTCATCTAAAAATAATTTTTTTAAAATTATCTTTTCATAGGAAAGGTAACTGAAAATAAATGCAAGCAATCTTACTAATTATGTAATTGCAAAAGAAGGCTTTCCTGTATGAGTTCTGGACCTTGGATTCTACCTTACTCAAGTCAAGTAAATTCTTTGTTCTTTAAACTCTAAAAATGTAATTTCTCTTCACAATTCCCTTACCTCCTCATGTGCCACAACACTGAAGTCTCATACCCTTCTAAACCTAGATAGGAGGTAAGGTAAGAAAAATAGGAATCAATTAAAGAGAAACCAGAATGGTTTTTACGAAGAATGAAAGGGCAGGAAGAGAATTCTGGCCCTGGATCACTGAAATAACTAAAAAGGAAATCATCAGAGTCCTTGAAAACCCACCTGTTCAGAAGACAGAACAGGAATGAGATGAAACAAAGTTTTCTGTATATTAGTTTAGATTAAAATAAACCCTATTACCATGTAATCAGTCTTTATTAGTTATATTGATATGGACAGGAGACAGGGAAATACTGGGTAGAAAAGGGCAGTTCCCCAGCAAAGGCCCCACCCTCAAGCCTAAAGACCAGAGGCCCTAAGGGAGAACAAGCATTTCTGTGTTTGCACCTGAAAAGCTGCCTTTTGGCCCACCATACCCACCATCCTGTGCCCATGTAAGCCCAAGGCCTTAGTGGGCACAGATACATGCATCTGAGCATTGAGAAGAGCAGAGGAACAGAGTGGTGGAACATGGCAGAGAGTGGCAGGGTAGCAAGGCAGAGAAAGAGAGAAGAGGAAGGACATCTGGATGCCGAGGGGAGTTCAGCTAGGGGCAGTCAGAGAAGAGTCCATCTGCTGGACGGCCCAACCTTAGCGGGAAGACCACCTTCCCACTCCATCCCCCACTTCCGGCTCCTCATCCATCTTGCTGAGAGCCACCTCCACCACTCAATAAAACCTTGCACTCATCCTTCCAGCCCATATGTCATACGATTCTTCTGGTACACTGGGCAAGAACTCAGGCCATCACACTGGCCCCCTGCCCTTGTGATAAGGAAGACAATCTATTGAACTGATTAACAAAAGCCGTCTGCAGATGGCAAAGTTGAAAGAGCATACTGTTAACACAGCCCCCTGGGCTTTGGGAGTTGTAGACACCTACCCCTAGATGCTGCCCTGGGGCCGGAGCCCAAAAGCACTCCCCACAGCCTCTGCACCTGCCCATGTGCATGCTCCCCCTAGAGATGTGCACACCCCTGTGGCACGTCCTGCAAGGCGGATTAAAGGAACTCTCCCATTTTAATATTACTGTTTCTGCTCAAAATGTGCTATACTAAGAAAACCACTGTAGAAGAGAATTCATAAAAAGCCTTTAAAACTCTCATCACCAAATGACTTACGGTTGCTAGAAAATTAGTTTCTAAAGACTGGAAGAAAGGACTACAAACTAATCATACAATTCCTGAGGAAAAAAATGCCACAAATTGCACAGACTCCTCCAAACCCAATGCTTAGCACATAAATCTGTTTTCTACTGCAAGTGCTAGCCACACTTGAAGCCTTAAAAAAGTTCCCACTTTGTTTACACATTTATTCATTCATTGAACAAGCATTTACTGATCATTTACTTTGTGCAAGAAACTGCTATTCACTCCCTCTGAGAAAACAGAAACAAAAATATTACAGAAATAAGCACAATAATAACTGTATACTCTTTTTTCTGTTTGCAAGGGTTTTTTAATCCTTTGTTCTTGGGAAAACAAACATAAGAATAAACATAAAAATCAGTAACTGCTATAAAGTTTCTGGGTTATTAGGGAACACTGTCCCATTGGTTTACTTTTCTTTCCAATTACTAGAGCAAACTGTTTCTTGATGATTTAGCAGTCATGTTCCTTGGTATTTACCCAGTGAAACTGAAAATTTATGTCTACACAAAAACTTGCATTCAAATGTTCACAGCAGCTTTATTAACAATTGGCAAACCTTGGAAGCAACCAAGATATCCTTCAGTACATGAATGGATAAATAAACTGTGGTACATCCAGACAAGAGAATATCATTCATTGCTAAAAAAGAAATGGGCTACCCAGTTATGCAAAGACATGGAGGTAACTTCAGTATATATTACTAAGTAAAATAAGTCAATCTGAAAAGGATATATGTGATTCCAATTATGTGACATGCTGGAAAAACTATGGAGACACTAAAAGGATCAGCAGTTGCCAGGGGTTACAGTGGGAGGGAGGGACAAATAGGTGGAGCACAGAGGATTTCTTAGGGCAGTGAAACTACTCCACATGAGAAGGTAATGGTAGATGCATGTCATTATACATGTCCAAACAGAAAGTATAACAGCAACAGTGAACTTTAAATTGTGGACTCCTGGTAACAATGATGTGTCAGTGTAGGTTTATCAATTGTAACAAATGTACCACTCTGGTGGAGAATGTTGATAATGAAAAAGCCTATGCAGATATGGGTACAACGAGTATATGGAAAACTTCTGTACCTTCTGCTCAATTGTCCCATGAATCTAAAACTGCTCTAAAAAATAAAGTCTATTTAAAAAATTTTAATTCCACCTCTGCTCATACATAATATTACTATGCTACAAAGGAGTTCAATGAAATGAAACTGGTGTCCTAAGAATTCCCTCTACTGTTCACAAATATCTTTCAAGAAAAAATCCAAAAAATAGAAATGAAGAAATATAAATACAATCCTCCTAATTACCTAACATAGGAAACAGAACACTTCCTTAGGGATCATATATCCATTATGATTCTGGAACACAAAAGGTTTGCAGTAAACAGAACACTGCCCTCTGCCCCCAACAAAGATACCTACACTCTAATCCCCCAGAATCTGAGAATATGTTAACTCATACGGCAAAAGGGACTTGGAAGACGTGATTAAGGTTAAGGTTTAAGGTATATTATCCTGGATTATCGAGGTGTGTCCAATCTAATCACTGGAGTTTGAAGAGTGGAAGCAAAAGGCAGAAGAGGAGGTTAGAGATATGGCAACATGAGGAATATCTGATGCCTTGTAGTGGTTAGCGGCTACGTGCAAAAAGCAACAGAGGCCTAAGGGCAGCTATCTGCTAACAGGCAACAAGAAAACATAGACTTAAAGCATGTGTAAATGAATTTTGCCAACACCTGACTGAACAATGAAATGGACCCTCCTCTAGCACCTCCTAAAAGGAAGTCCTACTGACACCTTGAGTTTTGCCCAGTGAGACGTGTGTCAGACTTCTGCCATACAGAACTTTAAGATAATAAATTTGTGTTGCTTTTAAGCACGCTAAGTTTGTGGTAAATTGTTAGAGCAACAATAGGAAACTAATTCAGTGTTCCAATACTCAGTTAAGTAGATTTAAAATTCAACCATTACCATCTGATTTTCCATAATGAATAAAATTATCTTCATTTTATCTTCGGTGTACCCACCAGATTACCAACAATAAAAGTTAAAGATTAACTAAAAAAGGAATGGTTCTCTGAGAATATTTTGGCAAATGTACTGATTCAGAGCCTAAAGAATTGAAAACTCTCTAGCAGGTAGTCAAACAATGAAATTAATTTATTTATTTTAAAAAATAGAGATTCTCACCCAAGTATTCTGGGCATTTTAAGCAGAACTCTTTCAAAAAGGCACTTGCTTTCAAATCGTATGTTCTAATCTCAATTTCTGTGCCCAATCCTAAAACATGAATTTCTACCACAGATAGTTCACAATCTCCAACAAGGTGATAAAACTCGATCAAAACCTGGAGAAGAAAGAAAAAAGAAACTACCAATACATAAAACAAAAACATGTTTAGTGCATAGTGGTTACATGTGAATATATGAGGTATACATACAATTGATATATTATTATCTAAAATTTAGGAGAGATTTTATACTGACACAGACATACAATACACACACAACATAAATAACTGTTTTCACAAAAACATGTATTGAATACCCACAATATATCATTTAAACCCTTCACTCTTGATTAAGGAAGTTAATCTTATTAAAAAAAAAAAAAAAAAGGAGTGAGGAAGAATCACACAGCCAAGTCAAGATTTAGTTTAATTAGGGTGAAAAAGATAGTGGGATGAAAAAGATAGTGCTTATTAACAATGAGACTGTATCGTAATCTGTAAATAGTAGAAACAGCAAACAAATTAAGCCATGTCAATTTCACCATAGTACCTACCTTTGGTACTTCAAATCGTATTTTAAACGTAGTCATATTCACTGAACAATCCTGCTTTTGTAACTTTCTGGTTCGAATACTTTTAACTCCAGTTGGGAACTGAAGAGGTTCTTCCAAGGGACTACATGGTGCATCAAAAAATTCCTCCTCTGAATCTAAATTTCACAGAACATTATTTAAGTCAATAATTAAAATGATCAATTTAACAGTATTTCAGTATTTTTCTGAAATAAATATGAACACAAAAACACTAAGGCTCTCTTTTAAATATAAAATATAAACATCAGAACAAAAATAAATTGAAAATAATATAGACATTACTGTACTTTTTTATTGTCAATTTTAAACAAAGGGATACTGTACTTTTAAATAACATTTTTGGCGACTAAGCAGCATGGAACATTATAAGATGTAATCTTTAGCTTAAGAAGCCCATCTTTTGAAATCATTAGTCTATTTTAAAATTGCTTAAATTTTACAGGAAATGCCAATGCCAATGATATACACACCATGAATACTCAAAGTAATGTGTTAATATGCTCACTCTACCTGGATAGTGTAACAGGACTTAGGTATAAACTCTGCAATGTTAGCAGCAGAGTTTGTATGAAGTAAACTGAGATCAAGCACTGCTTTGTATACGTATATACATACAAATATAGTATATGTATATACACGTTGATGTACATACACACACATATTGATATTAAAAAGGACTAAAAAGCATTAGATAACTTAGTAAAACCAATAAAACAAGGTTTAAATGAAACAATCAGAAGTATATCCCTAATAAACTAAGATTGAAATTAAAGTAGATGATCTCACAAACAACTTCTCTCTGGTGACTATAAAAAAAAAAAAAAAAAAAAATTGTTCTCTAAGAAACCAAGAATCGGCCAGGCATGGTGGCTCATGCCTGTAATCCCAGCTCTTAGGGAGGCTGAGGTGGGCGGATCACGAGGTCAGGAGATCGAGACCATCCTGGCTAATACGTTGATACCCCGTCTCTACCAAAAATACAAAAAATTAGTCAGGCGAGGTGGTGGGCGTCCGTAGTCCCAGCTACTCGGGAGGCTGAGGTAGGAGTATGGCGTGAACCCAGGAGACAGAGCTTGCAGTGAGTCAAGACAGTGCCACTGCACTCCAGCCTGGGCGACAGAGCAAGACTCCGTCTCAAAAAAAAAAAAAAAGAAACCAAGAATCGACATGGCAATTTCTGTTATTTAACATTTATCAATTTTTAAAATCTTAAAAATATAGACATACACCTTTTTTTTCTAATATGGTCATTAAAAAGCAGATATTTGGTATCAGAATAGTTATAAGTTTTTATATGTAAATGTAGATAATTAAGATGATTCTCCTTTAATAATATTTTTTTAAATGTTTTAAATATACTATAGCAAAATTTTCCAAATAACTAAAAAACACATTAGAAATTAAGACATCTATGAAGTTTTGTGGCATTTTTTAACTCACTGCCAAATAAAGATAATTAACTTATTAGTGGTCCCTCTCACTTTTTTTTTTTTTTTTTTTTTTTTTGATTCCGACTCTCCCTCTGTCGCCAGGCTGGAGGGCAGCAGCACGATCTCTGCTCACCGCAACCTCCGCCTCCTGGGTTCAAGTGATTCTCCTGCCTCAGCTTCCCGAGTTGCTGGGACTACAGGTGTGCGTCACCACGTCAGCTAATTTTTGTACTTTTAGTAGATACGGGGTTTCACCATGTTGGCTAGAATCGTCTCAATCTCTTGACTTTGTGATCCACCGGCCTTGGCCTACCAAAGTGCTGGGATTACAGGCATGAGCCACTGCGCCCGGCTGGTCCTTGTCATTTTGAGTTCAACTTTATACCAAAACAATCCCATTGCAAAAACAACTTTAAGGAATTGTGCTATTTCAAGTAAATTTTAGTTAAAATTTCCTGAAAATATACAAATATTTGCTATTGCCTGAAATTTCTTCTATGACTATTGAAGACCAAAATATGCCACTCGAAAACATGACTTTTTGGCATAAGGATTATTATACTGAGTCAATTATTTTGAGAAACAGTAGACAGGAAAAGCTCTAAAGACAGAACCTAAGTTTCCCTTTTGTAAGGGAAATTAACATTTATAAGAGAAATCTACCCTGTAAAGGTATCTTCCTTTCTGTTCCAGGGAAGATGACTCTTACTCACAAGACATTCTTATCAAAAGAGAAAATACTGACAAATCTGCGTAAGAAACTTTACCCTTGTGCACCATACGTTTTCTGGTCGCCTTCCCATATACCTTGCCTCCCCAGCAACCCCTATCCCTGAAGCTCAAAACCTCTTTTCCTTTGTTTAAGCCCAAACTGATATATAAACCCAAATTTTAATCACCACCTTGAGTTACTCATCCCTGAGTTTCTTGCATGTACCCATGAAATACAAATGCCAGTAAATCTGCTTGTTTTCTCATGTTAATCTGTCTTTCGTTCATAGAACCTCAACCAATAACCTAGATTTTAAAAGGAAAAGGTATTTCCCTTCCTCTATGTGGTCCTTTGAGAAAAATACGCCTCAAAACAGAAATTTTAATAAAGTAAGAAAAATATCCTTAAGCAGTTTCATTTTACCATCTTCAGAAACAGACGGAAGTTCCAAGAGAGGAATTATTTTCTGTGAAATCTGTGATGTTCCCAAAGAAGTAGATGTTTGAATCTGAAAGAAAAGTAATTCACTGTTGATTAGCGCAAAAATGTTTATTCACCGCTTATTCCAAAGATGTTTATTCAAAGTTCTACAACAGTTTTGACAAAGAGCTATCCAATTTGAATTAACTGAGAACATATCAGGTCTAAATTAGAAAAATAAATTATAAAACGCAGATTTTAAAGAAGTAGTTTTACAATTTTGAGGCTAAATAAAAATTGTGGAACTGTTGTAATAATGTCCTTGATGAGGCTTTGAGTAGAAAGAGATCTTATATTTTAACTCAACATAATATTAAATCAGGACATCTGTGAGGAACACACAAGTCACAATACTTAAAGCCCCTAGAATTGGGGAATTTAGTTTTATTTTTAATCTCTGAAAGGTATTTCAGGAAATTTACTTTTTTACAGTTTGGGGAAATAGAGCATATATAAAAACAAATCTTACAGTTTAAAAAATAATAATAAAAGACCCATCTGAATTTTCCAACCCAGCCAAGTAATAAAACATTACCATATCCTGACCTAGAAGCACCTTCTTATGTGTTCCTCCTGGATCTCATTCCTCCTCGTCACGTTCCCTACCTCTCATCATGATCTTGCTTTTATTTAGTTGTTTGTACTACAGCACCTATGAATGATTATCTAAATAATACATCATTTACTCCTGCCTCTTTCCAAACTGTAGCATATATGACATACATTTTCCCGTGACTTCCTTCTTTTACAAAACAATGTTTAAATTTTAGCCACACTCATAGTTTACTGAACTTTACTGTGACACTGCATTGCACTGATGAATAAACCACTACTTATTTGTCCACCATACTGTTGGTGAGCATCTGTGTTGCTTACAGAGTTTTGCTTTTGCTTGTATGCTTCTCATATATTCTAGATACAAGACTGGACTTGTAAAAATATTTTTGCAAGTATTTTTCCCAAGTGGATGGTTAGATGGTTTGCCTTTTCACCTTTTTTTTTACAAGTCTTTCAAAGAGCAGAAAAATTTAATTTTTATAAAGTCCAATTTATTTTTTTTCCTCCTGATATAGGTGCTTGTGGCTAAAACTTCCCCAAAGCGTAAAATTACATATGTTCACCTTATTGAGCACTATCAGACCATTTTCATAAGTGGTGATAAGACATAACACTAACACCAGCAGCACAGTTTCAGTATCTCCATATCCTCACCATGCTTAGGGTGCTCAAAGATTTTAAATTATATCAGTCTCACTGGCCATGTCATCCTAGTTTTAAATATAATTTCACAAATACATAATGGTTACATATCATATCAAACACAAACAGCTTCCTTGGTTATTTATATTTCCACTTCTGCGAAATTCTGCTCATTTTGGAAAGCAGCAGCAGCATTTTTTTTTTGAAGTACATTATAATCTACTGCACAAAGTACATAAACTCTAAAGTTCAATACATTTTCAGAAAGTAAACACACTCAAGCGACCAACTACCCATGTCCAGTATGAAACATTACAAGCAACTCATAAGCCTCCCTTAAGCTCCTTGCAATCATTAGGCATCCCCCGAAAAGTAACAACTATGTTACCTTAATTTCAACTTTTAATGTTTTGAAATTTTTGCATCTTACATTTATTAGTGAAACTGGGCTATTATTTTCCTCTTCTGTAATGTAGTTGTTAGGTTTTAGAATACAAGTTTTGTTAAGCTCTTAAAGGAATTTGCAAGTAATCCTGCATTCTATTCCCTAAAATACCCTGGAGTCTTGAGGGAAGCTCCCCCCATTCTCGATCACTGCCCATCACTGCTACATGTACTAGTATTTTTTTTGCTGAGTAGTATTCTACGTATAAATATACTATTTTTTCTTATCCATTCACTTCTGGATAGACAATTGGGTTTTATGCAACTTTTTACTATTATGAATAACCCTACTATGAGTATTCTAGTTCAAGTCTTTTGGTGGGCATATGACTTCATTTCTCTTGGGTAAAAACCTAGGAGTAGAATTCCCAAGTTATATGGTAAGTATATACTTAACCTTATTTTTAAAATCTACCAAACTATTACAAAGGGTTATGCTATTTTCAAGTTTCACAAGTAACGTGTGAGAGTTTTAAATCCTTGTCATGGCAATACCTTGACACGGTATTATCTTTCTTCTTATTTTTAGCCATTCTAACCATTGTGCAGTAGTATTTCTATGTGGCTTTGATTTGCATTTTTCTGGTGAGTAACAAAGTCGAACATCTTCTCATGTTATCTGTTTAGTCATTTATTATTGAGCTGTTAGTCTTCTCATATATTCTAGATACAAGACTGGACTTGTAAAAATACTTTTGCAAATATTTTTCCCAAGCGGATGGTTAGATGGTTTGCCTTTTCACCTTTTTTTTACAACGTCTTTCAAAGAGCAGAAAAATTTAATTTTCATAAAGTTCCATTTATTTTTTTTCCTCCTGTTATATTTGCACTTTTTATATCCTAAGATCTCTTTACCTACTGCAAGGATTCAAACATTTTCTCCAACATTTTTTGTTCCAGAAACTATACTTGTGGACTTTATACTTAGGTCTATGTTTCATTTCAAGTTAAATTCCACATATGATATAAGATAAGGGTTGAAATTAATTTACTTTCCACATGGAAATCCGGTTGTTTCAGCACCATATGTTGAAAAGTTGATCCTTCCCCCACTTAGCTAGGCTGGCATCTTTGTAATAAATCAAATACATATTAACCATATATTGCACAATTATTATTATTATTTTTTTTTTTGAGACAGATTCTCCTTCTGTCACCCAGGCTGGAGTGTAGTGGCACAATTTTGGCTCACTGCAACCTCCACCTCCCAGGTTCAAGTGATTCTCGTGCACAGCCTTCTGAGTAGCTGGGACTATAGGTGTACACCACCACGCTAATTTTTATATTTTTAGTAGAGGCGAGATTTCATCATGTTGTCCAGGCTGGTCTTGAACTCCTGGCCTCAAGTGATTTAACCAGCTGCAAGGAGAAACAAGACTGTGCCTTCAACATTTTACTTAAAAATCTCCACAGCTAAATATCCAAGTTCATCACTAGAACATAATTTAACCAAGATCTTTGCCACTTTATAACAAGGACCACATTCCTTTCAATGTCAAATAACATGTTCCTCATTTCCACTTGAGGTCTCACCAGAAACAGCTTTAACGTCCATATTTTATATCAACAATTTATTCAGCGATAGAATCTAGGTTTTTTTCTAACATATACCTCAAAATTCTTCCAATCTCTACCCATTACCCAGTTCTAAAGCCACTTCCACATTTCTAAGTGCTTGTTAAGCAACAACTCACTGCTTGGTACCAAAATCTATATGAGATAGGTAGAGCTGCCATAACAAAATACCACAGACTGGGTAACTTAAACAACAGAAACCTATGTTCTCACAGTTCTGGAGGCCACCTCTATCGTTAGCTTACAGATGACCTCCTTTCTGTGTCCTCACATGGGCTTTCCTCAGTGTGCATGCATCTCTGGTGTCTCTTTGTGAGATCAAATTTCCTTTTCTTATAAAGACACCAGTCAAACCACTCTAGTGGTCTCATTTTAACTTAATCACTGCTGTAAAGAATCTATCTGTAAATACAGTCACAATGTGAAATAGCAGAGTTAGGGTTCAGTATATAAATTTTGAGGGATACAATTCAGCCCATACACTATGTACAAATTTAACAACATATATTAACGAACAGATGCTTAAGCTACAAATCACCAATTTTTAAAAACTTAAAAAGACCTAAGCAAATGGAAAGATACACTATGTTAATGAATTGAAAGACTCAATACTGCTAAAATGTTAATTCTCCCGAATTCATGACACAATTTCTATCCAAATCTCAGCAGGAATTTTTGTGGAAATTGATAAGTTGATTCTAAGAGGCAAAAGAATCAGTCGAAAACATTTTGAAAATACAAAAAGTTGGAGGACTAACCTTTCTGGATTTCAAGACATTAAGCTATAGTATAATTAAGACAGTATGATATCAACAAAAGGACAGAAACAGATGGAAATGGTAGACACAGAAATCACTGGAAAAGAACAGTCTGAAATAGACTTACACAGTCTATTTATAGTCTGTGTCATATATAGTCAACTCAACAGTAAAAGAATGGTCTTTTTAACAAATAAAACGGAACTAACTATAAATGCAGATGTAAAACTAGAAAGAGGATCCCATCACATGCACCACATAGAAAAATTAAATGGATGAGAGACCTAAGTATAAAACCTAACTCTAAGAAATTTCCAGAAAAAAGACATAGGGAAAAATCTTCTAGACCTTAAATTAGGCAAAAACTGCAGGGATGTGATACAAAAAGTTCAATATCTGGAGAAAATATTGCTAAATTCAATAGTATTAAAATTAAACTTTTGCTCTCCAAAAAACAGTTAAAGAAACAAAAAAACTCACCAACAGACTAGGAAAAGAATATTGCAAAACACTAAAGTGAACACTAAAGTGTTCAGGAGTAATGGGACATTAACTCACTTTTTTCTTTTTTTCTTTTTTGAGACGGAGTCTCGCTCTGTCGCCCAGGTTGGAGTACAGTGACTCAATCTTGGCTCACTGCAACCTCTGCCTCCAGAGTTCAAGCGATTCTCCTCTCTCAGCCTCCTGAGCAGTTGGGATTACAGGTGCCCACCACCATGCCTGGCTAATTTTTGTATTTTTAGTAGAGACGGGGTTCCACCATGTTGGCCAGCCTGGTCTCGATCTCCTAACCTCAAATGATCTGCCTGCCTCTGGCTCCCTAAGTGCTGGGATTACAGATGTGAGCCACCACACCCAGCTAGTAAGGTACTCTCTAACAGACTGAGGATAAAACTTGTTTACACTGGTGGCTGGCAAGATGGCTGAATATGAACAGCTCCAACCTGCAGCTCCAGGCAACATCAATACAGAAGGCTGGTGATTTCTGCATTTCAAACTGAGGTACCCAGCTCATCTCATTGGGACTGGTTAGACAGTGGATGCAACCAAC